GGGGGGGGGGGGGGGGGGTTCTAGTCAGGCTCGGGTGGGGCTTTTCGATTCACGGACGAAAACATTTTCGTGAAATGTTAAATGGAAAATATTCTATAGAAAAGAACTTTTTCCATGGAAGAATTTTCTATAGGAATTTATCGACAATTTTTACAGTTTTTTCTACTTTATTTTCTTTATTTCATTAGAAAATTCGAACAAAAATACTTTGGAAATTTGAGCGAAGAAATTTCTGTAGAAAATCACAATAGAGTACATTGCAGACAAAAAATAGAATTTTATTGATTTTTGTTCATGGAATATTTCAGAAATGAAATAGAATTGTTTTTACAATTCGCTAGGTTTTCCTATGAAAGAGTTAGGGGAGGTTCGGGTAAAACGGACACTTTAGACTTTTTTAAAATTATTCATAACTCAGAAACAAATTGATCAATTGAGCTCAGTTTAGGCTCGTCACAAAGGGAAAGAATTGTTCTTTGTACTGAAAAAAAAAATTATTAAATTTTATCAACATTTCAACTCCTCATTAACATTAAAAAAAAAAAGTCAAGTGTCCGTTTTACTCCAACCTACCCTATCCCCTTCATGTTGATAAAAATTTTAATCCAACTCTAATTCACATTCAGAAATAAAAAAAAATATCTAGAATCTGAATTCCACATTGTATAATTATACAATCATCGATGACTCGACATCTGCAGAGTGAATTTCAACGAATTTGCCCTCATTTTCAAGATATTTTATTCATCTTCAAAATGAGGCCTGATTTATCTGAATCGTACCATTGCTTCACAAGTTATCAAGCATTAAAATACGACTCATTTTAATCACTCCTTGTCTTGAAATTAAAGGGCGATAGCAAAATTGTTATCGAGACCTTTTTGGCGCTCTCATTCCGCCCCAAAAATGTTCCTCTCATTTAAAGTCCTAAATATTCTCCAAAAATTAATTTCTCATTTGATCTGATGCCTCTTTTATCAAAAATTGATTGATATTTTCGTTCAGAGGTTATGAAATATCTCGAAAATGTGACGATTAGAAGAAAAACAAATGCAATAATTTTACCTGTGACATTACGTTGTGTGATATCTGACGGATTCACCAATAATCAAGAAATTGTTTTAAAAAAGTGGAGAAATCACTCTTTCGGAGTCTTGCTCCGTCCTTCGTTGGGATCTCGTGGCTTCTACTGTTGTGATGTTCACAGTTCACCCTGTGCTCTTCACTTTTTTAACTCTATTATGCGTTGTTTATCGAATGCTCTCCCTTCGACGAGAAATGAAAAACAAATTGTGACTGATGATACTCTTGAATGCAGTTGCACAAGTGATTTTCACCGATTTGTACCGGTGTCTTTATGTCTGTGTACCGAATGGTGTAGAAAGCTCCAGAAACTTATTGAAGCACGTTCCGTGCCCGAGCGTTTTGGCAGTGATATTATAATGATAATGATAACGTCAAGGTGGATTTTCATTCGCATGTTGGGACGACTGCTAACGGTCGCTGGCGACTACGAGAGGTGTTGCATCGTATTATTTTTCAAATGTTGAAATCACAAGGTTTGTTGTAACTGCTATACACAAATGTGTAAAAACGGCCATTGAAAAACGCAAAGAATTCACGAAAAAGGTCTATTGGATTGCTATTGAATTATCCATTAGTTTCTTTGGTCGATTCTGTTGAAGAATTTCGTAGGTTATTTGCGCGTCGTCTTTACAATAGGAATTTTTAGTGGAGATTTAGAGACTGATAATGAGGGAGGCTTCGTTGAGTTCTTTCAAATGGTTGGAAATTGCCAGGAGTGGATGAAGAATGATTACCAGAAAACCGTGTGTGAACCCTTCCAGAAGGTTTGGAGAATTTTTTGGAAAAGGTTCAGCTCGAAACATGAGCTCTTGGGTTTGGCTTTCTCTGTTGTCTTCAAGAGGGCAAATTTGAATCTGTGCAGCATAATGTTTGAGGGACTGGAGGATCAACAGAGGAAACTCCTTATGATGAGACCTACAAATTTGGGAGGGAGAGGCCGTCAATTTGACAAACAGTTTGCCGCGCAATTTGCTGAGAGTATTCTGAGGAATGAGGAGGAGAGAGCGTTGTTCTGGAAGATTTCTGCACTGTGGGTGTCATCAGAGCTTCAAGTGGATGCATAGAAATATCCCATGGACTTGATTCCAAAGTAAAAGTATTAATTCTAATGTTTAATGAAGTTATGAGGAATGATTATTGCATATGATGCACAAGTTTCTCGGGCATTCAGTCAAAAACTCAGACTGTTAGTCATAAGTTATTGATGTTAACTTTGTTTTGACATGATGTATAATGACTACAATTTCATATTAATATATTTTTTTACTGATGTAAGTGTTTACTGGCGTTTATGTATTTTTGCTTCCGAATGGAAGCATTGGAATCGTGAAAAATTGAAGAATTAAGGGACTAAAATGATTCCAAAAAATCTGAAATTGTGTCAGATTATAGGCACTAATGGGAACTAACTTTGTGCGTAATTTCAGCGCAATCGATCCAGCCGTTTTTGAGAAATCGCCATTTGTTTCTCAACGGTTTTTCGCAAATATCTCAAAAACTACTCAACCGATTTCAATATTTTTTGTTTCAAAATATTCGGCTCGATGTCTTCTATCTCAATCGATGAAAATATGCATACCCGTTCATACAGTTTCCGAGATATTTCCATTTTTCGATCAAAATCGTAGGTTTTATTTTTCTGCTTGCTCCATGTATTATCCTCTCAATTTCACTCCATTTGCGCAGAGCCCTGATGTACCCACTCGTCACACTGACTCGAGGAGGACACTATTCCAAATTCATTTAATTTAATTTGTTCCAAATTTATCCAGTAGACTTCATCTCATAAATTATTGAGAATCTTTTTGATTAAAGGATTCAAACCATCAGGTTTACTCTGCTGGAAATTATTGATAATAATTCATAGTAAATTAATTTAAGGGTATTTGAAAGGTTCATCTGAGGTCATTTATTATCAAGATAATTCACCATTCAAGATGTGAATAATCTGAATAAAATACTCTTTGCTTTTACTCCATAATCTCCAATTCTTTAATTCTTAATCTACTCGATTACACGAATGATTCATTACATTTTCATACAGCATGATTTTGTACAATGTCTGATGAGGTGGAAAGTATGGAAATATATTCGTACATGACGGTACAACTCCGTACCCAGGGCATTAAAATTTGTGAGTGAAATGTGAGAATTTCCTTCGTCTAAACCTAAAGTCACTCTCTCAGCAACAGGTCAATTAAGTTTGTACAAATTCAATCGGTGACAGTCATTTCCAAAATTTCGATAAATGACACACCTTTAGTCTATCTCTGACCGTTCGTTCTAGAGAGACCCCGAGGCGCTTCGAATTAAACGTAAATAATGATTATTAGAAAATAAAATAAACAGGATGATGTAAGATAGAACTGGACGGATCGTCCGAGCGGAAAGTAAGAATAAATTAATAATTCAAGTATTTCATCAGTTTCAGGTTTTCAATGTCTTCCAAAATTTTTATACAATCTCTAGAGGCTCTAGAGGGCTATTCCATCGAACACTTCTGATATTCTTCATTCAATTATCTCCAGCAGTAAGGAAATTTCACGCAAAACCCCATTTTTCAGAAATAAAATTCACAATTTTCTAAACACGTTTGAAAAAATTTCACATAAATATTTCTATTGGATTTCTATAAGTTTCCGGGCGATTCTATTGGAGAATTTCACAGCAGTAGAAATTTACAATGGGAATTATCCTATAGAAAAAATCAATAGAATTTAATTCTTTAATAAAATTTATTCCATTGAAATATTTTCTATAGAAATTCCTCGTCTCAATTTTTCATGTTTTTTGTTGCATTTTTGTTTTGAAAAAAGAATAGAAATAGGGTGGAAATAATTTTAAAAATTTGCGTCGAGGAATTTCTATAGAAAAATCAATAGAATTCAATTTTTTTTAATAAAATTTATTCCATTGAAATATTTTCTATAGAAATTTCTCGCTTCAATTTTTCAAATTGTTTGTTGTATTTTTGTTTTGAAAAGAGAATAGAAATAGGATGGAAATAATTTAGGAAATTTGCGTCGAGGAATTTCTGTAGAACCTCAATAGAAAAGCTATAAAAAGATAAAATTCCACTGACTTTTTATATAAATTAATTTCTCTCAGACATTCTTTTAAAAAAACGCGCAGTGAACCTACGAAATTCTCCAACAGAATCAGCCAAAAAACTAATGGAATTTTCAATAGAAATCGAATAGAATTTTTTATCGAATTCTCTAGAAATGATTATTCCTATGAAATTTTTTTTTCGTGCGTCAATTTACGCCCTGACGCCAATTCTCGGTCCTAGCCTAGACAGCGTCGGTAGATAGACATCGTCCTCATCAGAATCCTCACTGCCCTCTGAGTCCGACTCGGGTAAGGGTTCAGGTGTGGCGCCGAGTTTAACGAGATCGTTTGCGAGCTGGCTGTCTAGACAGATTGCAATTTGATAGGCAGTCAGACCAGCGTAATTGGGGGCATCTAGACAGGGTCTACATTCTTTGAGTAGAAATGACACCACTGAGTGACATCCGTGCTCTATAGCAATGTGCAATGCTGTTTTGCCGGATAGTCCTTCCCTCGCTTCCAAATCAGCTCCGAGTCTCAGTAATAAACGAACTAGGTCGACTTGATCCTTTGCTGCTGCGATGTGTAAACAAGTTTCTCCTGCGAAGAAAAAATATCAAACTTTCGAGTAAAGAACAGTTTTATTTTAGGAGAAACTAAAAGAAAGTTGGGGGCATGTACAAATTATTTATTGCGATATTCTATATGAAAATTAGAGTGGAAATTCAGGTCGAGGGATTCCTGTAGAAAATGTCTCAATAGAAAAAATTGCAGACAGATGAAATTCTACTAATTTATTCTATAAAATAGATTCGATTGGATATTTTCTCTGAAAAAATACACGCAGTAAAGCTGCGGAATTTCTTGATAAAGTCAGCCAAGAGCTAATTGAATTTTTTTTTTTTTTTTTATGCTTATTTTATATCGCTTCGAGTCTGATGAGACTATATGGCGATTGATCAAGACTTTAAAAATGGTTAGATCTCACCATTCTACCCGGCCAGGAATCGAACCTGGAACCTATCCGTTGTGTTAAGGCAACGGCCTTAACCACTACGCCAGGCCACCGGGCACAATTGAATTTTTAATGGAACTCCAATAGATTTTTTTTGCGAATTCTGTAGAAACCCAATAGAACTTTCTATATATTTTGGTAGAAATTTCCAAAATCTATAGAAAAATCTATAGAAATCTAATGGATTTTTGGAGAATTCTATAGAAAATTCTATTGGATTTTTATAAAATTGTCTATTAGTTTTTAGCCGAATCTATTGAGCTTTTATCAATGGAAAATATTCGATAGAAAAAATCAACAGTATTCGATTTTTCCATACAACTTATTCTATTCAGATATTTTCTATAGAAATTCCTCAGCTCAAACTTTCCAAGTTTTTCTGCCTAATTTTTTTTCATGAAAAAGAGAAGAAAATTAGAGTGAAAAAATCTGTCAAGAAATTCCTATAGAAAATGTCCCAAAGGAAAAATCTGCATAGACAGATGAAATTCTACTGATTTTTTCTATAAAACTCGCTAGGCTTGTAATAAGTTTCGTCCAAAGGTGCTCACTACTCCATAACTTAAATGTAAAATTCCCCGTCATGATTTCCAAATTCAGTCATTCATCATTTTGAATAAATCAACATTCAACATATCGAATGATCCCTGTGATCGAAGGGAATACAATTAGACAGGCATGTCCCACATGACTCTCTCTCTCTCTCTCTCTCTCTCTCTCTCTCTCTCTCTCTCTCTNTCTCTCTATCTCTCTCTCTCTCTCTCTCTCTCTCTCTCTCTCTCTCTCTCTCTCTCTCTTTCTCTATTCTTAACCAAGAATGAATGCCAATTCTCCATTTTTACCCCCGTTTATTTATAAACAATAAAAATCGTACGTGCCTCCAGTGATTACAGACGCAAGTAGGAAGCTACCGTGAATCACAGCCCGAGACTTGGCTAGTCTCCCGCGATCCAAACTAGGTTTGCGACGATCAAAGTGATTTTCTAAAATTAAAGTCTGGCATGCTCTGTTCCACACTAGCCCACGTTCTTTCCTCCTCCACTGGCGGAGGAATTTATACCCCCAAATATCGGCGCACCCAATAATTCCGATAAAATGTGAATAAAAATGCGTTCTCTTAGATTATTCGAAACCAATAAATCAAAATTTCTGCGCATACGCTGTCCGGAATCATCGTTAATGAATTATTGAAATACAAATGGAATCGAGAAAATTGAGTGGACGTTGTTATGAGGAACTTGTCCCCTCGAGGCTACGCCGCTGTCGGGCTTTCCCCAGAGATGAGTGCAGGCGCAAATAACCCCGCAGGTATTTAAAAAAAATAATCAAAAACATCGGACTTGTGTCTACGCTTGTGTGATGTAATATGCGGTTGCTGGTATTCATTAATTTGTGGGTTTATTCAATGTCAATTGACACCGCAAATTTTTTATATTATGGATCGAGGGCTTATTTATTTATTTATTCAATTCAAGTTCTTGGAGAAGTTCAATTGAATGAATAAACAAATAAATTCGGAATAAAATTTTTGAATTATAAAAGACATTATCGAGGAATATTTATTATTATTTATTATTGATTTAATTTATTTTCATTATAGAGGAATTACAAATTATAAAAGACATTATTGAGAAATTTTCGTGTTTCATTACATTTTTTTATCTTTGAAGATGAAAAATATCAGTGGAAATGTTTGTATTATACGACACGATCTGACGTTACAATACAGATTTTTCAATTGCCTATAATTTCCTGATCTTTCGTTATTCTTTGAGAGGAAATCTTTATATGATGTTTCTCGTTAAATTTTCGTATTTCATGATTTTATTGTCTTAAGCCGATTTAATACACATTTTCGCTGTTATTCATTAATTTGTGGGTTTACTTGATGTCAATTTATCCCTCAATTCTTGTTATTGTGGATTGAGGGCTTAGGCATGACTGAATTTCACGATTTGTTGAGAATTTTTAATTGAAATTCTCGGAGAATTTCAATTGAATAAATGAATTAATAAATTTGGAATTCAATTTTCGAAGGATAAAAAACGTTATCGAGGAATTTATTTATTATTAATTTAGTAGGACGCGATTTAATATGTTTAATTTATTTATGACGCGATCTGATGTCACAATACCGATTTTTTCAATTGGCTATAATTTCCGGGTCTTTCGTTATTCTTTGGAATGGAAGGAAGTGTTTAATACAATGTTTCTCATCAAATTTTCGTACTTCATGATTTAATTTTTTTAAGCCAATTTAATACGCATTTTCGACGGCAAAATGTTTTGTTAATGATCATTCAATTAAAGCTATTGATGACCTATTTCTACGACTCTCACGGACAATGGGATTTCCGCGTCGCGTCATCGAGTCGCTGGGTATTACCCGGAAATAAAAATAGTCATTACATTAAGGAGAAAGAGAGGTCTTGAGTCATTAATAATTTTGAAATCGACAGGATGATACGGAGGACAGGGCAATTTTCAAGTGGTAAAAACATTGATAATGGCCTCTTTGATATTTATCAATTCGCAATCAAGACATCTGATTTCATTAAAACGGTGCGCACGCCTCAAAAGGTTTAATTATTAAAAATCAGGGGTTAATCGATGGATTTTGTGGAAATTCAATTTTAGACTTTCATTATTCACGATTTTTGGGGAAAGTGATCGAGTGATATATGACCAGAACATCATTTATCCCTAGTGTATTGAGAGAAGGAAAAAAAGTTGAGAAAAACCAAATTAATCATCAATTTATTATAATAGAACAATTTTATGGTTATAAATTTGTCATTTCACTTTGGAATCTATTTTTTAAATGCAAAACTGACATTTAAAAGAACATGCCAATTTTAAAAAACAATGCAAAATTTAAAAAATATTTTTAAAAGAATGCAAAATGGCATAAACTTATCTGTTATCATGAAAAAAAGTGAGAAATCCCAACTGTTTTCATTTATTATTGTCAAAAGTTTGAAGATCAAATCCTTAAAAAAAATTTAAACAAGAAATTGACAGGGAATTTTTGTTTCTAGTATTCTCATCTTCATCATCATCGTTAAAACGATAAAATGTTAGTTTCTCCGCGAAGAACGACAAATCCTCATTTAAAAAAACAGTTATTTTGTCATTCGTTTTCTCCAAAATACAGGTCATTAGAAAATCGTTCGCGCGAAAGTACCCCTACAACCATTGGGCTTTCCCATCCTCAAATATTGGTCAGGGAAAGTTATCTTTGTTCATTGTAGACTGATAATGACGAGTGAAAATCGCAGGTCTCGCCCGAATGTGTGGGTTTTCCCCACGAGCCTCGAATCGTTACGATTCACGTCCCCTCCTGAACTGATTCTTCCTCAATTTGAAATACATTCACTCGACCGTGACGACTGCCCGATCATCGTCCACTGTCTCCAATATTTACGAACATCACGATAAAGCGAAAAAATAATGCAATTCAATTCGTCTTCAAATCAGAATTTGGAAGACAACTCTGAGTTGAGAAGAGATGAATTTTTATTTGGACTTTTCTCACGCAAATGAATAAATAATTCATTCATTTCCGTTAAATCTTTCATTAGAATCGAGGAAACTATCTATTTGATGTGAATTTTCATGTGATTTTTATTCACATTTACTCATCTTCGCGAAGCGAAAAAATAATGCAATTCAATTCGTCTTCAAATCAGAATTCGGAAGACAGCTCTGAGTTGAGAAAATATTAATTTTTACTTGAACTTTTCTCACGGTGAGATCAATTCGCAAATGCGAAAAATATACGCTGTTTACGATAGACACAGTAGGAAGCACATGCTTTACACATGGAAGTGTAATGATGTCGCTTGGTAGTTGGGAAAACACGCGCAAGGCTATATCTGACAAGGAATTTCTCGAAGCAGTCGAGTTGGACTGGGGTTTCCCCACGATAGAAAGAACGGCACTCGCATATTTTACGCTCATTCTACCTGAGTATCTGTCCGATTCGTGTGGTGATAAGCGATGAGTTTTGGGACTGATAGGGAGCGTTTAAAAACCCACATCGTTAACTTGAAATAATGGTTTGAAATCATACATTACCGGTTATTGGGTTGAGGTTGAACTCCGGTAATTGTTCTAGTCAGAAGGAAAAAACGACTAATTCACAATTTATTTTAAGATTTCAAAAACTTGATATTAATGAATTGGAAAATATTTGGTGAATATTTACGAGATTTTAATAATTTTCTGGATCTCAAACTGTTTTTCTTATGCAGAAATAACATTTTTCACATGATTCAAAATAGTTAATCCTAAAATTTGTGGATTTAAAATCTCGTGAATTGTCGCATTAATTTTTTATTGAAGATCTAAAAAATTAGAAAATAATAAAAATAAATTAATAATAATAATTTTGTTTAAGTTTTTGCAATTAAAATTGACCGAAATATCTTGATAATATAATAAATAATTGACTTCAAATAGAAATATATAAATCCATTCATGATAAAATGCCTCGATATCTTTCCAAATACGCATTAAATCGGTTTATAGAACTCATCAATACAGAATTAATCGTGAGAGTTTCTCATTCAGTCGTTTCGTCAGTGAGACCCTGGGATTTCCCAACACACATCTCCCACAATAAACTTAATGCCAGTATCATTGACTTATTCCACTCGATTATCGATGCAATAAAATCCCCTCACTATTGTTCCTTTCGCAGTTGAATATTCCTAATGGTTGAAGTGAGTATTTCACCCCAAGGTGACACTTGAGAGAATACTGGTGGGTAAATGGGTTTTATTTAGGCTCAAGTGCTGCCTTTCAAACGTTATCTGAATTGTTTTTCGATCCTTCGGGAAAACTCTGAGGCAGTGAGAAGAATCCTTTGCTGTACCGCTTGTAGACTGGCAAAATGGATACTTTTGATATTTTTTCATGTTCATAACTCAAAGACGAATTCATCATTTGCAATCAGGAGTAGTTTGAGCTTATCGCGAAGGGGAATAAAAAATTCTAAATTATCATTTGGAAAATAAATCTAAAATCGTTTTATTTTTTATTACATTTCTCTTGGAAAATGAATAAAAAATAAAACGAATGAATAAAGAATAAATTAAAGGATGAAAATCACCCCCAGGTGACTCTCGAGAGAATATCAGTGGGTAATGGGCTTTATTTAGGCCCAGGTACTGTCTTTCAAACGTTATCTGAATTGTTTTTCGATCCTTCGGGAAAACTCTGAGGCAGTGAGAAGAATCCTTTGCTGTACCGCTTGTAGACTGGCAAAATGGATACTTTTGATATTTTTTCATGTTCATAACTCAAAGACGAATTCATCATTTGCAATCAGGAGTAGTTTGAGCTTATCGCGAAGGGGAATAAAAAATTCTAAATTATCATTTGGAAAATAAATCTAAAATCGTTTTATTTTTTATTACATTTCTCTTGGAAAATGAATAAAAAATAAAACGAATGAATAAAGAATAAAATGAAAGGATGAAAATCACCCCAAGGTGACACTTGAGAGAATACTGGTGGGTAAATGGGTTTTATTTAGGCTCAGGTGCTGCCTTTCAAACGTTATCTGAATTGTTTTTCGATTCTTTGGGGAAACCCTGAGGCAGTGAGAGGAATCCTTTGCTGTACCGCTTGTAGACTGGGGCAAAATGGATACTTTTGATATTTTTTCATGTTCATAACTCAAAGACGAATTCATCAGTTGCAATCAGGAGTAGTTTGAGCTTATCGCGAAGGGGAATAAAAAATTCTAAATTACCATTTGGAAAATAAATCTAAAATCGTTTTATTTTTTATTACATTTCTCTTGGAAAATGAATAAAAAATAAAACGAATGAATAAAGAATAAAATGAAAGGATGAAAATCACCCCAAGGTGACACTTGAGAGAATACTGGTGGGTAAATGGGTTTTATTTAGGCTCAGGTGCTGCCTTTCAAACGTTATCTGAATTGTTTTTCGATTCTTTGGGGAAACCCTGAGGCAGTGAGAGGAATCCTTTGCTGTACCGCTTGTAGACTGGGGCAAAATGGATACTTTTGATATTTTTTCATGTTCATAACTCAAAGACGAATTCATCAGTTGCAATCAGGAGTAGTTTGAGCTTATCGCGAAGGGGAATAAAAAATTCTAAATTATCATTCTAAAAATAAATCTAAAATCGTTTTATTTTTTATTAAATTTCTCTTGGAAAATGAATAAAAAATAAAACGAACGGATGAAAAATTAAATGAATGCAGTATGGACTCACCCTGATAGTTGACTTGCTCTAGATTCTGTGGTAAAGCTGGAATTTTTTTATGTGAACCCAAGTAATTACGCTCGATAGGAGCTAGTGGATATGTGAGGGCTCTTGCAGCAGAAAGATCACTAGCTGCACAGGCAAGATGAAGAGCTGTGTTGCCCCGGCTGTCCCTCAACGAGGGATTAGCCCCTCCGAGGATCAATCGTCTGACGATCCTCGGTTGCCTCGTTAATACCGCGAGGTGTAATGGGGCTTGACCGTCGTCGTTGATTATGTCCAGGAGGCAGGGGTGTGGGACCATTTTTATGAGACTAAATGCAGCTGCCTCGAGGAAGCCCTGGATTATCGCGATGTGGAGTTGACTGTGGAATAATAAGGGTGGTTGGTCAATAATTGGGGAAGGGAATTGACGTTGAGGAGATGGATATTATCTGTTCTTCATTTATTGAGAATGTCCTGGGGATTTTCAATTTTTTTTTAATTTTGATTTGTTTTTGATTAATTACAGAATAAAATGAATGATGGTTGAGGGGGAATTGAAAGGGATATTTAGATTCTCATTAAAATTCATAACATTTTATGAGGAAGTTTATTATTTTCTGTTGTTAAGGAAAAATTTACTTCAACAATATTTTTGTTGATAAGCTCGTGTATTTAATTCAATAAATAATTGAAAATGGGTGAATTTAATTCACCTCTCCTTAATTTATTGAGAATGGCCTAGGAATTTTCAATTTTTTTTAAATTTTGCTTTGTTTTTGTTGAAATATAGCATAAAATACTAGATAAAAATATATTAAGGTCAAGGAGGTGATAAAAAGGATATTTAGATTCTTGTTCATAAAATCTCATGAGGAAGTGAATTTTTTCTTGTTATTTAAGAAGAATTTAGGTCAACATAATTTTTTTCAAAATTAATAAACTCGTGTTTTTGATTTAGTAAATAATTGAGAATGTTTGGATTGGATGAAATAATAAATGCTTCATTAATTTCGGTTAAATTAAATTAATTAATTAAATTGAATTAAAAAATCAAATGATTTTCAATTAGCAGAAAAAAAATTATTTGAAGTGAAAATAACAAAACAAAGAACAATTTAATTAACAACAAGTTGAAGGCAGCCAAAAACCCTAATTTCTGGACGACTGGGCCATATTTTTTTGCTCATTAAACGTCGATCAATAGGAAAAATAGCTGATCGCATGATTATACACGAGCAATATTATTGAAAAATGAAATAATGCGTACGATTTTCATTTTATTATTTGTGGAATATTCAATGGAAATAGAAATCGTCCAGAAACTGAACCTCGTCGATAAATTGTTCTGTTTACCCTATTTATGACGAAATGGCAAAAAATGGAATGCCGTCCCTCGGAAGCCAAAATTCCCCCGAAAAATTAATGAACCTGAAATTCGCGAAAGAATCGACAGCAGAAGATTTGTTCTAGGCGAATCTAGGGGTGTACAAATGTGTTTAAGTAATGGACAAATTCATTCGCACTTAAAAAAAATTTGTAGGGGAGGGTGGGGTAAAATGGGCACTAGACTTTTTTTCAATTGTTCAGAACTCAGAAACAAATTCATCAGTTGTGTTCAGTTTAGGCTCATCACAAAGATAAAGAATTGGTCTGTGCATTGAAAAAAAAAATTATTAAATTTCATTAACATTCAAATCTGGTATGAACATTTAAAAAAAAGCCAAAAGTGTCCATTTTACCCCAATAAATATCCCCTAAATTGAATATTTCGCTGACGATTATTCTAGTTTCAGCTCCATGAAAAATTAATAATCCCCAGAACGCTGTCTGGCAAAAATAGAGGAATTCCAAAAACTCACGTGTCCCCATCGCTGTCCTGAATATAATACAACTGCCAAGGCTCGATGTGTTGATCCTCCTGCTGCCTCTGCTGTGTCTCCTCGACCTTGACGACAATGGGCTCGAGTACGGGCTCGGGCTGAACACTCTCGCACCTCTGTCTCACCCCAAGTCGATTCAACTCGACATTTTTCAAGCTCAACTGGCTGAGGCTCTCGCTCAAGCCAACATCGACTCCACTGTCAACTCTCATTGATGCTTCCACCCTTCCACTGTTTCCTGCCACCTTCTGCGGCTCTTCCCGCACCTCTGGGGGGTCAATATCTCCCGTGATATCTTCACTGAGGTCACTCGAGGCTGGAATATTCCCCGAGAGAAAGCCCGAGTCCACGATTCCCGAATCCTCGCTCTGTTTTTCACTGCAAACATCTTTCCCCACTGACTTGTTTGTCGATTGCTGCCACATGTTGTCGATTCTCGGTGAATTATTGGCGCAGGAATATTCTCGGGTGACGACGCTCACCACTCGATGCCCAGTTGATGCGTTAGAGTTCACTTTGGCAGTTGATAGAATGCACTTTACGTAATTCAAGAGAGAAAAATCACGAATCGTCAAAGTTCGGAGGGATAGCTCATGGCCACAAACATTTCAATTTTTAGGTGTTGACATTCACACGAGAATATATCACGATTTTGGGGCCGAGTGATTGTGTAACGCGCGATTACTGACGCTCATTTCCTCGGGGTTCAAATTTTTTACTGCGATAGTTATTTTTTGCGCTGGTTTTGGGGGTCGAGAGACACTTGTGCGTTGTTTGCGGTGGGTAATGGTGTCTGGCGTGCTTCTGCAAGGCGCAATGAGTGCTGCCAGCGTCGCTTGAAGACTAAAACCAGGAGAATTGACGAATAGGGGGGCAGGGAGTTGGAGAGGGGCCGAGAGGGGCCGAGAGGTTCGCGGGAGCAGAGAGAGGGGGCGCCTGGAAAAAATGGCGGATAATTAGCGCGTGAGTGAGTGCGTATCGGAGTTGTTAGTTGGTCTCGAGGAATTTACCCCGATTTATTGTCGAGAAGTTACTGCACGTTGAGGAAGCGAATTCAAGAGGGATTTGGGCGTTTGGAGTCCGGGGAAGGCGATCGGAACTAGGGAATCGCGGCGACAGCTGGACGAGAGGTTAGTTTCGGTGATTAGTCGAGGGGTAACAGAATGCGGCCAATTTTACAAATTTTTCAACAATTTCCTGTCCAGAGTTATCGATAGTTTGATAAATCAAAGCACGTTGATTTCCAGGGGGTGATGGTGAAGGTCAGTGTGCTGTGGATTAAAAAAATACTAATAACTTTGGGTAGGACATTTGTTTGAAAATTTCGAGGAAATGTTGCCCCTGTTACCCCTTAAGGGCACAGAATTTCTCTTGATATGATTCATATATTGTTGTTGTTTTTGGCGTGCGAAGGAAACTTTGGTTTTGGATTTTGTTTGTGTAAAATTCGGGGGGAAGTTAATCTTTTCAATGGAGGAATTTGATGTTTTTTCTGCAAGTGGAAGTGTTGAGTCATTTCCGTCGACGTTAATTGAAATTTAATTTGTATATCACTTTTTAGGATTTTTGAGTTTTTTCAATTTAACGTTTCTTGTTCATTTTAACATTTCATTTTAACTCCACATTTGATTTGTAGAGTAATTGAGAAGTTATTGTACAGAATGGAGCAAGTAGTAGTTTCTTTATTTTTGGCGTTCGGATGGAGCTTTGTAATGTCTCAAATTTTAGTTTAGGATTTTTTTTTCTGTAAAATTTGGGGCGAAATTTTTGGCCAACTGCTCGTTAATAAATCGATGGAATTTATTATTTTTTCCTCACGAATTCTTGATCATTCTTTCATTTTTTATTTATTAATGTTGATAAATTATCAATTATTATTAATAATTATTCTGGGTGCCCTATTAATTGACATTTGCAGCATTCACAATATTTAAAAAATTAAATTTAATGCAATTAAACGAACAATTGATAATTTAATTATTGATCAAACGCCATTTAATTATTTACAATGTTTTAATTTTCAACATTTAGAGTATTCAATAATATTGCACAGGTGAATGGGGCAAAATGGACAATTTTCTTTTAATGCTAATGATTTTGTTTTTATTTTTCAATTATGAGCTTAAACTGATCTCCACTCATAAATTCTCTATTCAGTTATGGACATGGAAAATAATTTCAAGCGTCCATTTCGCCCCACTCCTCGCCTTTCGCGTAAATTCTTAATTATTAACGAATAAGTTATCCATTAATAACGAATAAATTATCAATTATTATTGATAATTATTCCTTTAGGAGAAAACAATCCTTTAATCATGGTGAAAGTGAATCCTCGAGTATTCTTCGATGTGGAAATAGGGGGTCTTCCAATCGGACGAATTGTATTTGAATTATTCACCGATTTGTGCCCCCAAACGTGCGAAAATTTTCGTGCACTCTGCACCGGGGAATTGGGCCTGGGGAAAACGACTGGAAAACCACTACATTACAAGGGAATTATCTTTCATCGTGTGGTCAAGGATTTCATGATACAGGGGGGCGATTTCTCTGGGGGGAATGGCACGGGGGGAGAGTCCATCTATGGAGGCACTTTTCCAGGTACGTCATCTTTTACTCATGCCCTTCTTTTTGTTAATTAATTATATATTTTTTAACCGGACCGAAGACTATTTTTAATTATTTTTTAGACGAAAATTTTACTCTCAAACATGAGAAACCTTTCCTACTTTCGATGGCAAATCGAGGGAAAGACACCAATGGATCGCAGTTTTTTATGTGAGTATTTTGCTGGGTGAATTGTATTTTTACATGCCGTCATGCAGCACTATTTTTGCACACTTGAATACAATGTGTTGAAAACATCAGGCACTTGTGACCTTTGATCATGAAAATGCTTCGAAATTAACTCATTCCTCTTTTTTTTTTACGATTGTTGAGTTGAATTATTGATCAATAATTATTCGTGAATATCTGTTTGTTTCAATGAACATAAAAATTTTTTGTCGTTAAATTTGTACTCAATGTTTTGAAAATTTTCAAGAAAAAGGTTAAATTGAATGATAAAATACACATTTTTCTGTACATGTTCATTTTTCTTCAAATCTCACAATTGCAGGAGCAGAACAATTATATTCTAACTAATAACATTCAGTTATTTTATTTTAGAGTGCCAAGAACATAATTATTACTATTATTTATGTAATTCTGCAGGCGCAATCCAATCATTCCCAAATTTATTGTTCATTGAAAATTCTCTGCACAAAAAATGGGGATATTTTCTAATCCAGGAGAAAATTATTTTCAATAACTTTAAAAATACGAAATGCAGCGAATGCTTCATCGGCGAATTTAAGTCAGTCCATCTCCAGAGATTAAAGTTATCCAAAGGAAAAATTATTCATTATTTTTCTTATTTATTTATTCGTCTCTTTGGTGTTACAAACATTTACTTTGTCGCCTCCTCCTCTCCTCACTAATCAGCTAACGTCAATTATATAAAAGGGAAAATAAAAATACTCCCGTTGTGGTGGAAAATACAATAGATCATGGATCCACGGGAATAAATAACCAGCACTGTTTTTGCGTAGTCATGAGCGAGGACTTGCTGTACCATTGCTACACCACAATGACCCGATGAAAAGTTGAAAAAGCTCTCTCTACGCCTTTTATCATCTTAATGTAATTTTGTTGTTATAGTACAACGCAACCCGCTCCTCATCTTGACAAGTGAGTGTACATTACATTGAATTTATCGTCCTGAATTTTGTCTAGATGTTCTCATGTCTGATGAGTACTAATGAGACTCTTGTTGCAGTGTCCATGTAGTTTTTGGAGAGGTTGTTTCCGGACAGGACTGCGTCTTGCACATTGAGGGATTGCCTGTTGATAGGATGTCAAGACCACTGCAGGATGTCAAAGTTGTTCACTGTGGAGAACTTGTGTTGAAAGTTAAATCAAAAGGTACGGAATAATTCATTTCGCGAGGGAATTCAACTCGTGATTGATTAAATTCCCATCAGACTCTTTCTCTTAAGGATGTTTTACACCCTTTCTGCCAAAATTCACGTTTTTTTAATTTTTCTGGCAAACTTATGATGGAATTGACATGAAAAAATATAACGTTTTTGCGTTTTGTCATTATTTAATGACTGACGAAATTTTAAGGTGGTGCGAACATTTTCCTGCGTTTTCTCTAAACTTTTAAAAAGAATCACAAAACTGTAGAAAAAACGCATGAAAATTATCGCACCACTACGCAACTTCGTGAGCCATTAAAGAATGACAAACCACAAAATCGTTATATTTTTTCACGTCACTCCCATCGATAATTTGCCAGAAAAATGAAAACAACGTCAATTTTGGCTAAAAGGGTGTCGAACATCCTTAACATTTTTTGTTCAAGTCATTTTTTATTTGAGATAAATAAATGTTAATCGGCATAAAAAAATTATTTGAACGAAATTAACTAAATTTTATGCTTTGAAACTTGGAATTAAAAATTTGAAAAGACCTCTTTTGATAAAATTATCTCTTGACGTCTATTTAAGTTCATGAGTTCTTCATATTTCAGAAGAAACACGAAGCAGCAAGAAAACGAGGTCCTCAGATTCCACATCTGAATCGGGAAAACACTCGAAGAAAAGAAAGAAACATAAGAAAAGGTAACAGATTTATTTTTGTTAAATTTTCGCATGGGTTTTAGTGAATTTGATTAATAAGTTGATTTGTTTTTCATCGTCTGCGGTATTTTTTTCAATTGAGTGTTGACGAAAACACTGAAAATAATGGGATTCCACGAACATTCTTACGAAGACGAGTCTTGTTTATCCGTCGGAATTTATCGAACTCGCGCAATAGAATGAGGGGATTGATATATGTTATTCTTCTTCGGTTTTATTTGAAAGCTGCAGCAATTACGTCATTGAAAACGCCAATTACATATATTCCTGAGAATTTGAAGAGAATAGTTTATTTCCATGACAATGTGTTTTGTCTCTTTGTGTTTCTGGAAAAACCCAGTTATCAACAATTGATAAATCTTAATCCTAGAAGATGAATTCAAAAATAATCAGAGGTGGAATAGTGAGAAAATTATGTGTCCAGAGAGATTTCACTATTTAAGTCACAAAAATAATGATTTCGCTCTAAATTTCTGTCAACTAGTCTCATTTCCACTGAACTGTCCAGATGATTTCAACGTATAGTTTATCCATTAACATTTTTTAGCGATAGAAGAACAGCAGAATCAGACAAGAGTGGAGATGATGAAAATGATGGAAAAGAGTACCAAAATCCCCATCCACTAGTGTCAGTCACGAAAATCGATCCCGATGAAATACCGGAAGTGCCTGCCAACAAGTTCCTGTACCGCGCTGGACCCACCACTAATTCCAATCAGAAAGAGTATAAACAATATTATAATCGAGAAGCTGCTCGCAATTATCGGAAGACTGGACGGGTTTTCAAAGGGAGAGGAACATTCGTATGTATTCATTTAAAAAAATCACATTCAATTCTTTATTTCCCTAGAATTAAAAAAAATTATTCATTTCTTAAAATCAAGTTAATTTATGTAGTTAATCGAGTACACGAAACATTCATTTGATTAATTGTTATTAATTGAGGGTTTAGAGGTCTCCAAATGAACCTTTTTCAGTTAAAAAAATTATACTAACTCCTGAAATTTAATTGCAATCCCTAGGATAACAAATTGAAAAATAAAAAAAAGCGATACGAATCAAAAAGAAATACGAATGAAAATTCACAGATATTGATTATAATTAGTCTTCAATGCTAATGTTTTTTTATTTTCTCAATGAATCGTAAGTAAAAACCCAAATAATTCAGTTTTGTATTCATCTATTTATTCCTTTATTGTAAAAAAACGTGATATATTTTTATTTTGGGCTAGTTGTTGGAGTTTTTTGAGGAAAATTTCTCCTAGAATTTTTTCATCATGTCTGTTTGATTCCAGAGGTATCGCACCCCATCTCAAAGTAGATCCCGCAGTGCGACACCCCCGCACTGGAAACAAGCGCAGAAACGAACGATAAAACTGGACGATTTGAGGAAAATGACCAGAGATGAGGGGGAGAGGGGCCCCAGGCGATTCACCGAGGCCTACGACGAGGACAAAAAAATAACGAGCAGATCTGCCAACGAAAATAGAGGAGTTGAGAACAGCCCGGATCATAACAGGTCCAATTACGAGCAGGAGAGTGTCCACAGGCGTGTGCAGAGTAGAATTAACAATTTGAGATCTTACGAGGGATCTGAGAACAGGTCAGGGAGGTCGGGGGCGAATGGGAGGTCATCGTGGCGTCAATCGAGTGGTGATCGACGTCGCAGGAGACGCTCGAGGTCCAAGGAGATCAGCAGGGAGATCTCGAGGTACAGCAGTCGTCGGAGTGACGTCTCCCACAGGCACTCCACGTCCACAAGGTCCAGGAGACATTACGATGAGGTGAGGAATCGTGAGGGCGACGGTGGGATGGAGCAGTCGAGGCTCAAGAGGTCCTCACGCAGCGCTTCCTCCGAGAGCTACCATTCTAAACGTTGAGGATTTTTCATTCTCAAAATTTCTTTTTGCACTGAAATCACTTGTTTTTTTTGTTAATGCGTAATTATGAACATTAAGTGGTAATTGATTCCGTGATTTGTCCCAAGTTGAAGAGGAAAATCGATGAATAAATCAATATTTTTTTTGCAGTGAAATCACTCGTTTTTTTTTAATGTGTAATTATGAAAATTAATTGGGGATTTTATTGCATGAGTTTTTGGTTTAAGGTGAAGAGGAAAATGGAGAAATCAATATTTTTGGTCTCTCAACATTCAAAAGAAACTTTTTGAAATTAAATCACTCGTATCTTCAGATGAATGCGTAATTAACAAAAATAAATTGGGGATTTGATTTCAGTTTTTTTGCACTGAAATGACTCCTTTTTTTTAAATGTGTAATTATGAAAATTAATTGGGGAATTGATTTGCATGAGTTTTTATTTCAAGTTAAAGAGAAAAATGGAAAAATCATCATTCTTGGCCTCTTACCATTGAAAAGCAACTTTTTTTGCAATTGAATTACTCGTGTTTTAGATGAATGCATAATTAACAAACATAAATTGATTTGATTTCAGAATTTTTTTAGTTCTTGTTGAATACTACATTACTTTGATAATATGTAATTTAATTGAGAGGAAAATGGAAAAATAAATCAACGTTTTTGTTGAAATAATGCATAATTGACAAAGATATTGAAATCAAAACACTATGACTCACTCTATTAATTTTTCATCTCCAATTGTTTGGAAAATAATATTTTTCCACTGAATTTTCACATGTTAATTAAAATTGTCCAATTGTATGGAGACGAATAAATCACGAAGGGATGAAGGATTAATCGCATCTGCAATTTTTTTCAAGTATTGGATAATGACTTTGACTACTTTTAATAGTATGAACTGAATTAATAGTTTATTGACAACAATATAAACAAGCGTCAAGCTTCCACTGAATTACAATTTTATGTAACAAGAGCATTATCGACATAATTACTTTCTGCGATGTCCCGCATTCACCAGGGATTCTGTCCGGGACGCGGCTGCTCCCCAGGGTATCGTGGAAATGTTGCGTAGCCAGGATTGTATCCGGGCTGGGGTTGCTGAGGCTGGTATGGGTAGCTTGGGGCACCGTATGGAGCTACATTCAATTAGTAGTATTAAATCATCAGTACAATAACACTTAGAACTAAATATAAACATGATAAGGGTTTCTCTTGGATTTTATAATGAAAAACAAAAAAATTGAGGAGAAAAAAATTGAAAAATTTTGACCCAAAATTTATGTAGAAGAAATTTTTACATTTAGCGACTTTTTTTTCTAAAATTTTTTTGGAATTGTAATGGAATTCCAAGCGAATAAATTGTGTAACGGAAGTTTTCTCTTGGATTTTTAGGACAACAAAAGAGAATAGAGAAGAAAAACCTGAAAAATTAATTTCCCAAAATTTCTATAGAAGGAATTTCAACGACTCGCGGTTTTTACCTTAAAAAAAATATTACAAAAAATGTTTGAATTCTAATAGAATTCCAATATAATTCCCACGGGAATTCTAAGCGAGTGCACTGTGTAGCTGAAGTTTTCTTTTGGACTTGTTAATGAAAAACAAAAAAAAAATGAGAAAAATTCGAAAACATTTCAACCAAAATTTCTATAAAAGAAATTTTTGCATCTAGCGACTTTTCTCCTCCAAAAAGTCAGAATTCTATTGGAATTTCACTATAATTCCCATCAGAATTCGATAGAATTTCTAATGGACTGTGTTTATTCGAAGTTTTCTCTCCAATATTTGAATGAAAAACCAAAAATTGAGTGCAAAAACTCTGAAAAATCAGTACCCAAAAATTTCTAAAGAAATATCAAAATCCGTTAATTTTTCCTCTAAAAAATATTTGATATCTTTTATTTTAATATAATTCTTATATTTTTTTGAGGAAAATGATATAAAATAAAAAATATTTTGTTTTTTATTTTATATTATTTTGTATATTTTATGGGAACTAGAATCCCCATAAAATCCCGCTGTAATCCAACAGAAATTCTACAAAATAAATAAGCGAACATTCCGTGTTCTCCATTGAATTCCTCCACCCATGATTCCACAAACTTCTCCATAAACGAAGTCTTCTAACTGACACTTCCCCGCCAAAATTACCAAAACCCCCAACCCACCCCTCACAATCTACTCACGAAACAACACAAGATTCACTACCTTGATTAGGACACGGCATAGTGGCATACGGATTATACGTATTAGGCATCGATGGTGGCACATAAGTGGGATAAGGTGCAGCGGGTGAGGGGCCATAAGGCACAGGCATGCCGCCCTGGTACTGCGTGGGATAAGGCAGTTGCGAGGCTCCCCCAGCCCCATACCCAGGCTCGACAGGTGCGGAATGATGAGCTGGAATGCTAGGCGTCATAGCAGGACCACTGTGACTCAAATTAGTAGTCAAATCCTTCATGAGCTCCTCCTTCTCAGTCTTCCTCGCAAAGCAGAAGTCCGATATTTTATTCTGGAAGACGACGAGCAGCTGCGTAAGATCATTATAGAACTTGGCCCCCTCGTGAAGATTATTCTTCAGCTCCTTGAATGCATCGTAAGCCGAGGCGAGCTTCCTGAGCATGGCCTCCCTGTTCCCCCCACATCCGCTCTGTTCCCTCGTAAATTCCGCGTGTGCAGACTGAATAGCGGACACGAGGCTCTCCTGTCTGCTCGAGCTCTCGCGGATCTGATTGGTGAAGGCGCCGTACGTCTTCCCAATGCTCTCGACCGAGAGATTGGGCTCGTCGATGGCTCCGTCCTTGGCGAGGGCAGCCAGAAAGACCGACTTCATGTCAGCTGTTGCTGACTTCAACTCACTCTCGATGACATCTCGCTCGGCCTTCAGCGTCTCCACCTCCTCCATAAGCTTCTGCAGCTGGCTGACAGCACTGCTGGCTTGCAGAGCCGAGCCCGAGGGGATGCCAGAGGCCAGCTGACTCTCCTCCATACTCAGCATCTCCATTCCCTCCCTGTGTGCCTCGAACTTCTGGCGGACAGTGCTGTCAGCTGACACAGCATTGTCGATGATGGCTCGATACTTCTGGGCGTTAACAGTGAACTGTTGGGTCAACTTCTCACTGGGGATTCTCGTCCAACGCTCCTTGAACTGCTCCCTCAGCTGATTATCGGAGTCTCGTTCCTCCGTCAACATCTTCTCGGTCTCGTCCAGAATGTCTTTGTTTCGTTGGAGGAGGTCTGGGAGATCGTTCATCGCTGTCTCCAGGGCTGTTATGCCACCAGCTGATCTCACGTAACTCGCCTTCTCCAGCAGGGACTGGGGTATTTCCGTGCCACTCGTGTCCTCGATTGCTGCTGGCAGGTTCAGGCTGGCTAATACTGTGTTCAGGACTTGTGTCATCTCTCGTAATTTCGAGATCTCACAGTTCACCAACTCGTTACGGCGGATCTCGTACGAGGAGATCGCCTGGTGGACGCCCACTGGCAGCAGCTCCTCGAAGATGTCCTTGAAACTCGAGCTCATTGGGTGGCTCAGGGGCAGGAGCTTTGCCACGTTCGCCTTGCCAATGGGCTCCAGGTTCTTCACGTTTGGAATTCTCTCGTGGTAGATGAAGTCGTTGTCCTTTTTTACTTCGGTCAGACGGCGCTGGGCGCGTCCGGAGTACTCCTCGAAGAGGTTCGGCTTGTTCGAGCGCTGGGCAGCCGCTTTGAACAGGTCAACCGCGTACTCCAGTCTGGCTATCTCCTCGCCGATGGCTTTTTTCGTCTTGCAGACTGAGGCCTGGTACAGCTCCGCCATCGCTCGGTAGCCAGACTGCTTGCCTGTTATCAGGGGCACCCAGTCCTTGTCCCAGAAGGAGCGGAACATGTCCTTTTGGAAGAGCTTTGCTGTCTCAGAGTACATCTCCTCGGCCTGGGAGGCCAGCTTGGCGATCACTCCTTCCTTCATTGAGTCGTGGATCGCTTTGTGGACGAAGATCTCTTGGGCCTGCGCCAGCATCAGGGAGGAGAGGGCGCTCAGGGTGTCCGGCGACATGTCGGGCGTCGGCTCTTGGTGGATCGACAGCATCACGTTGCCTTTTAGGTAGTTGAAGATTCCTGCTGCTTGCTGGAATGGGGTGAAGGGTCTTGGTTCATTCGGGCGATTATTTTTTTTAATTAAAATTTTCATTGGGAAGTCTGGCGAGTTCGTTGGGTAATTCTAGTGGTTTTCTAGTGAGAATTCCATTAAGTTTGGAGGATGGTATTGAAAAATGGATACAATTTTATTTTTCTATATAAGTTATTCTACTGAGACATTTTATTTAAGAATTCCTCGATTGAAAGTTTTCTAGTTTTTTTTTTGCTTGATTTTTCAAAATGAGGAAAAAAAATTGAGCGAAAAAACTTGGAGTATTCATATCGAAAAATTCATGTAGAAAATTTGGCAATAGAAAAATTTGGACAGAAACCTGAAATTCTATTAATTTTTTTTAATAGTTTGTGGTGAATATTTTCAAAATTCATTTCCCCAAATTCATAATTCGTAGATTTCGTCCAAAAATGAGAAATAAAATAGCGGGACAAATTATTGTCGAGGAAAACAGGATTTGCATGCAGTTTATTTTTCCGTTAAATCATGAATTATTGAATAATTTCTCAAAACCTGATCTTTAATTTTTTTTGACTACTCACTTGAAATAATTTCGCAGACAATTTCAAGCCCTCGTCACTCTCCATCGATTGCCCCGCAGCTACAGAGCTCTGTAGAGCTGCGATGTTGAACAGCACGCACATTTTCTCGTATGAAAGTGTACTGATAGCTGGGGAAAATACCAGGATTGTTAATAACAAAATAAAATTCGATAAACTATGGAGAATTGTTTTTGGGACGTACTAAGACTCAATTTCCCGCCGAATATCGTATGATCGAAAGCGTCTTTCCATTTGAACGGAATCTGTAGTTCGTGAACTGGAATTTTTCCCTCTAGGGAGCAGAGTTGATCATAATAGCTGAAATAGAATAAAAATAGAAACTTTGAAAAATTCAGAGAATTGGTGAATTCGATGTGGAAAATAGTGAAGAATATTTGAGAAACTATTCATAAATAATAAGAAAACTACAGCCTTCAGACCATTCCGTTTTTATTTTTATAAATTAAATACTTACGTTTTTGTGAATCTAACGATTCCAAATCTATAATTAAAATCCAATTTGACAGTCAATGCAACTCTAGATTTCTTGGTTTTTGAATATTCCTGAATTAAATCCTGTGTCTAACATAAAATTGCTTTCCATTGAATATTTTCTTATCAAAATGAAGTTGTCATTATTCACTTTAATGAAAAGGTAAGGGTATGAACCTGACGTCGATCAATAAATTTATTCTTTTGAGAATTCTGGAGACGTTAGTAAATCCTTTAATTCACTAGAAAATTCGGTAAATTATGGACTAAAGCTTTCTCATGGTGAATTAAAACATTTGAATATTTTGCTATGTTCGGATATTCTGCAGGGAATATCATAAAATTCGGGTTAAAATTGACATGAAAATTGTCATCTAAATCTCAACTCATTGATGCCCACACATTCTCAATGGATTTGACATTCAAAATGATGACATGTTCCTGGAAGATTGTAGACAAAAATTAATCATGAATGCAGAGCGATTCAACCAGGAATTTCAACATGAAAATATCCCAGCTTCATTAGTTCATTAATTATCATTAAAGCTTGAAAAAAAAAATGACTTTAAAAGGAAATTTCAAGAGTTTTCTTTAGAGTTTAATGAATTCCCGATGAAAAAATCTCTCAAAATTCCTTTCCAAGCCATTCATTATCAACATAATTAAATTAACATTCCTAATGAAAACAATAAACCAATAAAAAAAATGGGGATAATTCAGCTGATTTGTTCTGCCAAGAACCTGAAATTGAAGAAAATCCCAGTTTTCACCTGATGACATCAAACTAAAATGTCGCGAAATTGTCGCCCGTCATATGACGTTCAAACACTGACCAATCCCTCGGCGAATTCATCTGAAAAATTGATAATTAATAAAATGACTCATACATACTTGTAAATAACCTCCAGAGAACTCTCGTATTTTTCAAAAGCTCGCCACAGCGCATTGTTCCTCAATTTACTGAACTCGTTGATCGCCTCGCCGTAATCCTTCTGATTGGTGTCTGAATTGTACGTTGATTTAATGACATTGGTGAGGGGCTTGACAACGTCAACGTCCGACGGTTTTTTCAACGGTATTGCGATTAATTCAGCCATTTTGACGGGTGTGTTTCTCTCGTCTGTTGCGTTTGCCGACTGTTCGAATTCACCAGAATTCACACAACTGACGGGACGCACTATACCGTCTTACTGCATGCTGTATACTTACGGGTGAGTCATTTGTTTTTGTATACTCTTGTAATGGGAGCGAGAGAGAGATTAGGGCTGCTTAGAGGTGCTCTAGAGCTCTAGAGAGAGAGAGGCGGGTGCACCTGTGAGTTCTGATTGGCGCCGCCATTGTTAGGGCAACTGGCGGGAATTTTCGAATAATTTCATATGATTGAAATTTGCATTATGCAATGGGAAACTTGAAAAATTCGTTCTTTTGGGAGGAACTGGATGAAGCGAGCTAAAGTTGATAGGAGCGGGATAAATATTTTTAAGAAATGTTCAAAAATGCGAGGTGTAGACAGATGTGGGCAGCGCCATCTTGTTTGGATACCCCCTCCCCCTGCGAAAAGGGGCTCCGAAGATGGCGACGCCTTCACCTCGTGTTTTCAAATATTTTAAAAAATTATTTATAATCTTCAGATCACTCTTAACTCGCTTCGATGGTTTTCTATTGGAGGAACAAATTTTTTAACATATATTTCAGATTTTTTTTCACCTTTCACTAGCCGAAATTTTCGAATAATTTCATGATTGAAATTTGCCTTATGTAAAACCTCGGAATTAAAAAAAAAGCTTGAGAAATTTGTTCTTTTTCTGGGAATTGAATGAAACGAGTTGAAGTTGATATGAAGATCATGAATAATTTAGAGAAATGTTCAAAAATGCGAGGTGTTGACAAGTGTGGACGCCGCCATCTTGCTTGCAATGGGCGCCCCAAGGGGCTTTAAGATGGTGACGCCCGCACTCCGGGTTTTTAAATATTAAAAAAAATTATTTATCCTCTTTAGATCACGCTCAATTCGCTTCATTCGGTTTCTACGAAAGGAACAAATTTTTTAAGTCATGTTCCGAATTTTTCCAGCCCTTTTTGGTTGAGAATTAATGGTGCGAATTTTTTCCCGCGTTTCACTATTTCTTTTTACTCGTGAGGCTTCTGAAATACGGGTGATTTTCAGTTTTTTTTTAGCTGTGAGGTTTCATGTTTTCATCGACATTTTTGGGGGTTAAATATGACTCATTTAGGGGATTTTGATGACTATGACTTCGATTACTCAACTGTAAACAGGTAGTTATTACAAATAATTCATACTTTTGTCCTACACGATAATTTCTTCATGATTAAATTACTGTTTGCGGGACGAAGCGTGAAAATTAATTTTTTGCATTTTAGTATAAATGATCGGCATTCAAAGCCTGAAGAAATGCGATTCATAAATCCAGCGATTTACGTGGAGCCCTTGAAAACCGATCAAGGAGAATCGATTAAAAGTCGTCGGAAAGTGAGTGGAAAAATCATTCATGAAACCAGTGGAGATGGCGCGGAATTTTCCGTGGGTTTACCACAGCTTTCCCTCAACGATAATCCCCAAATGTTGAATGCTTGCCGCTCGCAATCGACAATGTCATCGGTCACCCCATCCCTGACTTCGGTGAGTCAGGGTAAATCGACAGCGCGGGTTGAGCGTCGGTGCATCATTGATGAGGGAAGTGATGAGAGTTTAGAGAGTCCGGAGATAATCCAAAGGTACCACAATCCGATAAAGTCCATTCACATGCGCTATAGGATTTTTTGAATATGTCCACCCAGCTAGGAATTGACGATAGGCTTGGAAATGCTCAACCTGGGCAGCTCAACAACTGGAGTTCCGCGTGATTTTTAGAAAATCAATTTTTTTCGAAATTTTCTTATAAAGTATCAATCGAATTTCATGATTTTTTTTCGTGAATATGACTTTAATAAACTCTATTCATTAACGTCAATTAAAATTTAATTTGTTTAGAGATTCGAAAAAATTTATATTTTTCCAAAAATCGATTTCTCAACGATCGCTCAAAAAATTGTCATCAAAATGGAATTAGTCATGGCTCAAAAAATTGATAACAATACCCTCATGATTCTATCAGAATATGATGGGGTCGCACAATTCGTTGTTGAGACTACCGTCATGAGCTTTTTATATCAACAAAATCTCTATCTCTATATTAAACTCAGGTAGCAGTCTATTATATTGAATACTTATTCATATTGATTCACGGTCCCGACTAACTTCTGACAGAACCTGGTTTAACTCTGGCTAAATCCTGAATAAACCCTGATTAAATCCCGGCTATACACTGATTAAACCTTGATTAACCCCGGACTGGAAACGAATTCGAGTCTTGAGAGGGTCTGAATGTGGAACTATTCCCCAGAACGAAATAATATGCAAAATTTTGATGACATTTCAATTGATGATAGTACAATGACGTGAAAAATTAGAAGAAGAGAATAGTGAAATAAGGAAAGAAGAGAACGCATTCGAAAGCAAATTGCTAATTTATTAGTAACAATTACGATAACCATTTATAAATGAAAAATGCATCGCTCGTCCGGACGTACGTCTTTAGATACACCACAAACGGCGAAAGAGTCCAGATATCCGCGTCCCTGTCGACCTCGAACCTCTCGGCCCGCGAGTACTCCAGCAGAGTATCCCTTCCCCGACAGCTGGCCCACGAGGAGTGGGTCCAGAAGAAGAAGCTCGAGTCCCTCCGACTCAAGAAAAAATCTGAAAAAATTGAACTGGAGAAAAAGGCCGAAGAGGAGAGGCTCTCGCGCGAGCGAGAGGAACGCGAACGCAGGGAGCACGAGAACTTCTTGGTGTGGACGAGGAGGAAAAATCAGGAGGAAGCCAAGAAGCGTAAGCTAGCTGAAAAAGAACGAGAATTGGCGGAGAAGTTGAAGCAAATCGAAGAGAAAGCTGCTGTTGCCAAGGAGATATGTCTGCTTCAGTGGTCGCTCAATAAAAATAAAGCCCAGAAAGGTGAAAAAAACAATGAGATGCAAAATATTCTAGAGAAATTAATATCGATTGATTTTTTAATTAATTTTCAATTAATTAAATTAATTAAAATAAAATAATTAATATAATTAATACAATCAATTAATATAATTAATGCACTTAATTAAATTGATTTAATTATTTTAATTCAGTAGCAAAATGATAAAACGGTTCAAGTCAACTTCTCCCTCAGCTGAGTTTTCGCGGAATATCTCTGAATCTAAGGGAAATACCGAAATTTTCGTGAGTACCTTTTTTGTAGGGCGCATCGAGGGCTACAAAGAAGGTCGTGACAAAAATTTTGCTATTCCCCTTAGATTCCGAGATATTCAAGAAAAACTGGTCAACATCGACCTGAACCGTTTTACCGCTTTTGAAATTTTCTCCAGTTCAAAAAGAAGAGCAAGACCGGAAATTGCGACAGCTTGAAGAGGAGAAGAAGAAAAGACTCGAGGAGAGTGTGAAAGCCTTCGAGGAATGGCGAGAGAAGTCCAAGAACACCCCAAGACCTGCGACACAGGGACTCTTGCGTTAGTTCAACCCTTCTCATCATAATTGATTAATTAATTAATTAATTAATTTATTGCATCTTCATTCCCTTAAATCAACGAATACAATAAATCAATAATATTCTTTGCATTTATTGCATTCCTCGATAACTCCAATGAATAAAATATTTAAATAAAAAATTATATAAATCAAAAGGAATAAAAAACGCGTGAATAAAATTCAAATTTCCTTATAATCATCTCATTTTCAGCTCATCAGAAAGCAAAACCAGCTTACGTCAACCCCATCCCGTGGATCAGTGAAGACCCAACCCCCGAGTTACTAAAAAATCCCCACGAATTCACTAGGAACATGAGGAGGAACGAAATACAGCACTGATTCAATGAATAACGCCAACAATTCACCTCATTCGAGAAAAAATATGCCATTTATTTCGTCATACATAAAACAATCAATCCATTCACTTCACCATCGTTTTCTCCTCCTCCTGGAGCCTCTGTATGTCAGATTTATTCATGAAGTAGTAGGTCGGCTGTCTCGATTTCTGGGAAAATCGATCGGAACATTGAAAGTAGTCTAATCTCAGGTGGGGTCGTATTTATTATGTACTCACCAGGTCTTTTTGCACTCGTTTGGCGCCGGCTTTTATTAATATACCGCTTATTGCTTCGACCTCGTGGACTCCCATGGCGTAATGGAGGGCGGTTCTATTCAACTGCAGGTTGTAATCGGTTATTATTTATTTTCGAACTTTGTGAGGGTGAATTCATTTTTAAAATTGAGCAAATTAGGGATTTCAAATTATTGAGGGGCCTCGAGAGTGGAAAAAGTTTTCTTTATGAATTCTCAGCCAAAAGGAGACGGAAAAATATGAAAGATGGCTTAAAAAATTTGTTCCTTTTATAGAAACAGGAAGGAGTGAGTCGAGGGTAATCCAAAGATCGTAAATAATTTTAAAAAATGATTGAAAACACGAGGTGAAGGCGCCGCCATCTTTGAAGCCTCTCGGGGCAGAGGGAGGGGTACTCAAGCAAGATGGCGACGCCCCCATCTATTCACCTCGTATTTTTTAATGTTTCTTGAAGTTGTTTATCCTCTTCAGATAATTTGCAATTCCTTTTATCTTGTTCCGAAAAAAGGAACGAATTTTTCAATATATTCTTCTGATTTTTCCCATGGAGCATTTTCGAATAAACAATTATATTAAATAATATTACATTATATTCTATTAATTAATATAATTTAATATAATTTATATTAAATTGCGTTAAATAATATACTATAATAATATAATACAAAATAAGCCAAAAAAATCTCATTACATTATCTCCAATCCTGAGAGTTTCCGGATAAGTATTCGCTAGATATCGAACAATGTCAATATGCTCGCAGAGAACGGCAATGTGTATCGAGCACCGTCCTACCGTATTTTTCCCAACAGCCAATAGAGTCCCTCCCCCGCCATATCTCGAGAGGATTTCCTTCGTGGCATTGAGGTCTCCCCCACGAATGGCCTGATGGACCTCCTCCCTCTGGCCCTAGAAGAAAAACCGTCGTTTCATTGCAAATATCCCCGTTCGTTCCAGCCCCTCGTTAAGAGTAATTGTCCCAATGGATATATAGGCTTGCTCAATATATTTCAGTATTTGTTCGGAGGGACTCATCCCATTAAAACCAGCAAATGGCAGCAATGGCCTCCACTAATTGCACGTCAACGGAACAAAGTATCGTACTAGGTAAGTAGGGATGCCCTGCAGAAATTGAATAGTGGCTTCGTGATTTCGTTCAGCGGTTATATCCACAATGTTTACTCCCCCGTCCTCGGCGTCGAGAATGTGATCGTATCCCTCGAGAAGAAGTTCCACTAGCTTTTCCGTTTCCCCCCTGGCCGCGAGGTACACCACGTAACGGTCGATGTCCGCGACGTTATCGTGGAAATTGGACTCTTCCGCTACGTCGCGAGCCGTTCGGTACAGCTCGTCTCTATAGCCTACGTTGATTTGGGTCTCTTGGAGAATGTGGAATAGACCGTCCTTCGGGCGCGAACGGACACCAGCGAAGTGCAACATACTTTGACCGTGTTCATCCTGAGGATTGGATAACATTTTTTAAATTGGGGGTGGCGAATGGACGGTGAGTTTGAGGATATAAGATGCTATAGAAATGGTTAAGAGTGGGAAAAATGAAGGGGAAAGCTATTGGAGATTTTATTCAATTTTTCAAGCAATTTCATGGAGAATTTCGTATAGTTTTTTTTTCTATAGATTTTTTTCTGTAGAAATTTTTTTTTCCCTATAAAATATCGATTAGAAAATGGCACGGCATAGTTGCATAATTTTCAATAGAAATCGAAACTAAAGAAGAAATTTGATGAAAAAAATCTATAGAATTTTTAAAAAATATCCAAATTCTATAGAATTTTTTTTCTATAGAATTGTTTTTTCTTGTACATGAATTTTTCAATCCTTGGCCGCCATATTTTTTTGGTTTGTCATTACAAAGTCGACAAAAAAGGGATAATTTATCCCCAAAAATTCATATAGAAAAAATCGTAATAGAATAAGTTCTATAGAAAAATTCACATCCATGGATTTTTTTCTATAAAAAAAATTATCGAAAAATTCAAGGCGACGTTGCATAATGTTCTATGGAAATCGGCCCAAAAAACATAATTTCGATAGACTTCTAATAGAACTCTAATAGCATTGTTATAGACTTCTAATAGAAAGTCAATGAAATTCTCAGAATTAAAATTAACTCTTTAACTTCGTCTATAGATTTTCATTAAACTCAATTTCATGAGATCTAAAATTTACCCTATTTGTCGGGGAAAATGCTGATTCTGGAACGTCTGAAACCGGACTTCTCATGAAGCCTTCATCATCGGGAGTATTATTAGGATCCTCCATAGGCGTACTACTACTGTCCATATCTACTTGCTCTTCGGGTCGATCGGGTACAATTAAAATTTCGGATTTCTGCAATGAAATCATCATTTCATTCCCCCATGAGTTCAATTGCACTAAACAATTCACTCGCATGTTGAAAAAAAACTTTTCATTCAGACGTAATCAATTTTAAAAAATGAAAAAAAAAACGTAAATAAATTTTTCAACATGAAAATTTATTGCTCTTCCAGTGTATATTACAATATTTATGTACCTGAATCGAAGCCCCAGATTTACTTCTAGCAAAATTATATAAGTAAGTGGCGAGGTATGTCAGAGGATCCTTCGGTCGACTTTGGGCGACTTTAGCCAGGCCTTTTATCAGGGGATCACCAACAGCTATCGATTGAGTCACATATCCATGAATAACCAGTTCAACTGGTATTTACGAATTAATTGCATTGTACTCACATGACGCCAGATAGCGACCCTCTTCCTCCCTGAATATCGGAGTTTCCATGTTGGAATGCTCTAGAAATAAAGCAATCGGAAAATCCCTTTAAAATTACATGCCACCCTTGGACTCAATTAATCTTCAATTGCATCGGTTCACTACCGCCAAGCGAGATGGCGTTGTTATGAGAAATCAGTGATCAATAACAACCGTGAAAAGACTACGATAAACAGACGAAACGAACTTCAACTGGTGCAGGCTAAAGAATTTTCACACATACGAAAAGCGTGATTGAATGGTCATTATCATCATTGTTTTAATAACTGATTAATAATAGTACATTTATGGAATGGTTGAACTGAGGTGACGCAATTGGTTAAAAAATGCGGAAAACAGGCCTTAGACTGATTTTCAAGAGGCCTTGGGAGGGAAAAAAATTTGCGCCGTGAATTCTCAGCCAAAAGGAGATGGAAAAATGTGAAAAATGGCTTAAAAAATTTGTTCATTTTATAGAAACAGGATTAAGCGAGTTGGAGGTAATCTAAAGAGGATAAATGATTCTTAGAGATGTTTGAAAATGTGAGGTGGGGCGCCGCCATCTTTAAAGCCGCGGGAGGTATCAAACAAGATAGCGGCGCCCAGATCTGTCAACCACCTCGCATTTTTGAATATTTCTTAAAATTATTTATTCTTCTCAGATCACCTTCAACTCATTGCATTCTGTTCCTAGAAAAAGAACAAATTTCTCAAGCTATCAAAATTCTTGGAAATTTAAATTTTAAAAAATTAATTAAAAATGTATTTAATTAATTAATTAAGAATTAATTAATTCTTGGACATTAATTTTTAATTTTATAAATTAACGTCCAAGAATTTCAATGAAAAAATTGCGAAAAAACTCATGGAGTATTGTAATAAAATGTTGACGACCTCAAGCTGTACCAATGGAATCACCTCAACCCCCATCAGATAATCTCCAACTTGGAAAGATATGTGCCTCGTTTTTTTTCGCATGCGAAACATTGACACGTGCGTGTGGCACCAAAAGCTGACATGAGATCCCTCTTACGTCGCTATTTCCGTGTTCATAAACGGATTTATGACTAATCCACATAAATTAATGATAGACTCCATGACTTCATTAATCGAAAATAAAAAAACACAAAAACAGCGGCAAAGCATCTGCCTGTGTGGTAAATTGACATTTCATTTACTAACCCCAATACATAATCCAGTCATCTCCAAGCGGCCTTATCGAACGTCCCGTTACTCATCATAATTTAGCCATTTCATTAACAATTCCATGAGACAAAATCAGGTGAAAAATAACGTTCACACATCTTTCCAAAGTGTTCAACAATACAACATTGATACAACATATTCATGAAATTTCATAATCCATAAAAGATTCATTCATTATCACAGTAACGTCAATAGTTTAAGCGTATGTTCCTGAGCTCGATAATCCACCGACTGACTCCCCTTATCCGTAAAACATCAACTCACAAAAAAACTTTTCGTCACGATTTACAAATAAATAACAATGATTCAACTCTGAAGACGAACAAAAAATATACATTATATCTCCAACTCCCCCGAATCAGCCTTTGAAAATGGAGTTTTTACGTTTTCTGAATATATTCGTCACCAACGTCGCTATTTTCAACGAATTCGTCAGCACCATTTCCTTCTCAAGTCCCAAGACACTGCGAATAGCGCGAATAAAGTCTTGGAGTGTCTGGAGTTCCGTAATAGTGAGACACTGTAAATTGCTAATCTTAAAGACATCACTGCGCATGGTTTCGGTGACCCTCAACCCCCTAGTGATGCAGACCTGCTTAAGATTATCAGACTGTTTGGAAAGACCCGATAGCTTCGCTGTGCAGCAGAACCTCATGGTGTTGCCGATGGAGGCAGGCCTAGCGCTGAGGAAACCCAGCTTACGATCCTTTTTGAATCGCATTCTCCTATCAAAAATGGACAAGATCCTGGCGATCCTCACATACGCCTTTCCAATCATCCCGGGATGGGATTCATGGGTGCGGCAGATGATCCTTATGTGGTCCTGAACATTCACCCAGACAGCGACATCCCCCGCAGACGCCACGTAAACACCGCGTCCGTACGGCCAGTGCTTGCCATGGAGTCTCCTTTCATCGCTCAATTCCGTCTCCAAGATGGGCCCGAGGAGTCCAGCCGCCTCGAGTCTCACCCTGATGTCACTGGGCCTCTCCAGGATCTCGTTCAGGGTGTAGTAGGTCCCTGCCTCGTCCTCGGAGGAGCCCTCCGCCAGGATAATCGCCACCTCCGCAGACATCAGGATCCCCGTGATCCTCCTCTCGGTCTCCTCAAGCTGATTGATGGTGAGGGTCAGGGGTAACGTGAAGCTCTCTAGGTTCCTGCAGGCGTCAATCGTCGTGACCTGCACGTACTTCCCGGTGGGATCAATATCGTAAGTGGACAACGTCGACATGACCTCCTCCAAAGTCTCGTCGTCAACCTTGGAGTCGACGTCCGTGAAGAAACAGGAGAGAGGCTGATCAGGAAGATCTCCCGTAGCTGTCACGCAGTGCAAATTTCTGATGAAAGGGTCAAATAACTCTGCGAAGACTATGTAACTCTCATAATCGGGGGCGACAATGACAGCAGCAAAGTCATCATCAACATCGGGAATGCTGGATCTTCGGCTAGAAGCGCTTGTGTAGCTGCTACCGTTAGGATGATTGATACTATATTTTTTAACAGACGGCCAAATAATGTCAAAGAGATTGTGGTCCATGCGTGTCACACGGTGCTTTATTTGGTCAAATATGGTACGTTTTAGACAACGACCCAGTATTGTACCAGCATTTGCTGAGGCTGTACTCAGTACTGAACCCCTACGTGTTGGTACCAGCAACCGGAAACATCGCTCAAGGGTTGATAGGATGTCGGCTTCGTTAACGTCCCGACGTGCTGAATATATGTCACCGTCACCCACTGCGCTCGGTACGGAAATTAGTAAAATGATAATTACATTTTTTTATAATCGTTAGTACTTTTGGGGACATTCATCTGATGGAGGTCAACAACTCGTTGAGCAAAATTGATTCTAGTTTTCGTAAATGAGAAAATGTCATTCAAGCGTGATTAATGTGGTTCTGTGCAGAATATTTATCAAAATAATCAGGCGCAAGTCATGAATAGATTATTGATATTTGAATCAAGTGGATTGTTAGAGAATCCTAGCTGCCGCAGTCAGCTTCAGAAGGCGATGAAAGAGAAGAGAAAATTGTTATGTCTAAATAAAACAAATGTCAACTTAAAAGTTGATAACAAGGTGAATTTATTATCCCACACCGGCGATAACAATCAATTTACAAAATAAAAGGTAACATTATGAACAGGTTTAAGCGTTAAGGCTGATTTAAAGGTTACTGTTGATTCAAATATAACGGTGCGATCAAAAAAATTTTTTCAGTGTTTTTATGAGTGGTAGATTGGTAATTGATGATTTTCTACCTTTGTCCGTTAGCATTTCGTCGGCTAGCTCTTCGCGAGCACCAAAATCACGGAGCAATTGTTTGTGGGATAAGTCGGATTGATTCTCCTTGTAATAGTCGGCTTTCTGGCCAAACTGATTCGAAAATTATGGGTATTATTAGGTATATTTTGGAGGTATTGGTAGTTTTTGTTTAAAGTAGTATGGCCACTAGTCGAAGCATTCAGCGGGAATGCCAAAATTTAGGCTGTGCCCTGAATTATTCAATATTCATAAACGTAATTTGAAAAGGGAGAAAAATGAGGGCTCTTGTAACCGGAGGGGTCATAAGAGTTGATTGTTGCGAAGAAAAATCAACAATTGTCATATAAATATCAAAGTTTGGTCCTTGTGACCCTTGGGATCATGAATTTCCTTTGGCCCGGACTACTCACAGTCAAGTCGGTCAGTGAAAATTCAAAAATTGAGGTTGTCTACTGCATTATTTAATATTCATAGACGTAATTTGAAAGCGGAAAAGAATGAAATGAGTCCTCGTGTGACCGCAAGGGTCAAATTTTGGGGAGATAAACCAACACACGTCATAAAGAGGCCACAAAGTGTGACCCTCGTGACCTTTAATCGTCGCAAACCTCGCGTTCACGACATCCAACACCATGAGATTAATACTTCAGCATAACTTATCTATGACCATACTATTTTAAATCCTTTTCTCAATGACTCACATTGTCCAGCGTCAGTGGATTCGCTCCCAGATGCAGCAAAAGATTGTAGTAATGCCCATTATCCGCCAGAGTGGCAGCATAATGCAGTGGAGTTCGTCCGTCAATGTCGACAGCATGTGTCGTTTCCGGAAATCTCCCAGCCAGATATCTGGAAAATGATAAACTCCGCAGAATAAACCGCCCCAAATCATTGAGCACACCTCGAAAATTGATCCAACCGGATGAACTTTAAACTTAACTCGTCCCTGCCAGCATCGACCCATCCCAAAATCCAATAAAATTCTTTTATTTATAAGCACTTCGCCTCAACTCACCTTATAACCGAAGTATGTCCAAAAATAACGGCAACATGAAGTGGAGTAGCTCCATGCGGTGATGCCCCATCCCTCGCGATAGCAAATTTGCGTCGATCCAAAGCATTCTGAAGATCCCTGAGATTGCCCTCCCTCGCCGCAATATGAACCGCGTGAATTTTTCCCTGAAACGCACATGACGTTGAGATGAAGAAAATCATAAATTATGAGGATAATCGGAATGATCAGTACAATGTACGATGGCACATTATCAATGAACGCCTGGAGCTCGGGATTGGAGGACTGCCGATTAACCAATCGTCTGCCTTCACCATTGAGCACAACCGAAGCAAGTTGCTCCATATTACCATTCACCAGGAGATCGTCAATTTCTGGATCATCCAGGTTGTCACCATCGTTCAAATCAGCCTCAAGCACTTCTTCGTGCTCGCCAGCGATAACCTGAGCACAATCGGAGGATATTGGTAAAGGCAAAAATGCGCATGAACGACTAGACGAAATAGAAAAAAAAACGAAGCGATCAATAAGTGAGAAAAAAAAGGCGTTAATCATAGCCGGAAATCTTTCGTAAATGCGAATATTATCGATCGTACGTGCTCGCGTGGTCGCGTGAAAATATGAATAAAAAGAATAGGGGGAGATGAAAACCTGAACGATAAAAATAACGATGGATGGATGTGATATGTTAAGCTACTTTCTACTTGTATGACGAGCCAATGTGGATAGGGTTTGCTCTTCGGGAATCCCATTTTAACAGATAATACGTTTTTCGTACACGTTTTTATTGCTATAATTTATGTATTTTTAATTCTCATTATCATCAATATCATATCTTTGGTGTCTAGAACAACTCAGGTTTATTTTTATATGGGAAATATGCGATTCTTATCGGGTGCATGTTGCTCGCACCTGATCGTCCTCCAATCGAGACTCGTCAACACCAGAATCACCGGTGCTTGGCTCGTTCTTCTCTTCTTCTTGGGCCTCATCGTCAGCGGGTTCTTCAATGTTACCGCTGTCGGCGTCGTCTGGCTTTTCTTCTTCGTTTTCTTGGTCGAGTTCACCTTCTTGTACTTCAGCGTCATCGTCAGCCTCTTCTGGCTCAACTGCCGGTTCTTCTTGTTCTTCGTCTGGTGCAGGTTCTTCTTCTTCCTCGTTAGGAGCAGCTTCTTCTTCTCCTTCTGTTTCAGGAGCTGCTTCTTCTTCTTCTCCCTCTTCAGGAGCAGCTTCTTCTTCTGCTTCTTCTTCAGGAGCAGCCTCTTCTTCTCCTTCTTCCTCAGGAGCAGCTTCTTCTTCTCCTTCTTCAGGAGCAGCTTCTCCTTCTTCGTCAGCAGCAGCGTCTCCTTCTTCCTCAGGAGCAGCTTCTTCGTCAGCTGCAGCTTCTTCACCTCCCTCAGTCTCTTCATTCTCATCACCTCCCTCATCCGCAGCATCATCATTCTCCTTCTCATCAGGCTGCTCATCCTGTCCTACCAAATCATCCTTTAATCCCTCCTCATCAGTCATCTGAAATAGGTAACTCTCTCCACCCTCTGCGAGTATTCTAACACGAAGACAGACAAGTATCACGCCAAAAAAAAAGAACGAACGATGAATGAACTTAAACGCAATCAGAGCAACCCCAAATGATATTCAAATAATTTTGACAAATACCAGATAATGAGCAAGCCTGACACACACAAAAACTAAACACCCTTGGTTTATCAGCTAAATCTATTGCTTCGGATGTGTTTGAATCGTACCCCAAAGACATTGTCTGAGCTCTCGGCGCTCTTCAGGGCACTCTCGGCACTGCCGAACGCACTGTCTACGTCCACTTGGGCGTCGAGTTTCTTCAGGGCTCGGAGGGACATTCCGTCGTTGTCGAGGATACGCCAATCCCAGTGCTTCGGGTACTTTGTGCCGGATACTCTAGGGGCTTCCGGGATCACCACGAGGTTCGAGAGGTCTATGTCGCCGGGACGGTTCTTGTAGAAGGCCGCTGCCTTATTTCTCTGTCGATTCAGGGGTTAATAATTGTGGAAAACATTGTTTAATATCACATTGATTTTTTGCATTTAAAAATCTAGCGAATTCACTTGAAAATTCTATTGGATTTCTATTAAAATTCCTATTTTTTTTCTATAGAACTTATGCTGTAGAAATTTGCGAACAGAACTTTTTCATTTTTTCTCTTGGATTTTGTGATGAGAAATGTAACAAAATGCAGGAGAAAAATTTTTAAAAATGTGCCCAAGAATTTCTATAGTAAAAAAGATTGAGAGAATAGATAATAAATCTATCAACTTGTTTAAAATCGAATAATTGTCGCAGAAATCAGGGAAACACTAACAGAATTTCAACAGATTTCTTATAGAATTTCCCAGCGAAAGCGAGGTTTTTCTATAGAATTTATAGAGTTCTCTATAGACCTTATTTTCTGCCTATAGAATTTTGTATAGAAAACTTTATAGAATTTTTTTCTATGGAAAATTTTAGACAGAAAATAGATTTTAGAATTTTCTAAAGAAAATGCTATAGACAGAAAAATTCTAAATTCTTCTTTTCTTTTTTTTTTTTATTCTTTTTTTTCTATTTTTTCGTTTGACCATTTGGCTCTCGATTTCGAAACCGTATGAACCACTTACGTTGTCAAGTTTACTTTCATCAGCTCCATATTCAGTCAGGAGTTCATACATAGCTCCCCCATCTCGCACGGCTGCACCATAATGCAATGGGGTTTTTCCGTCATTATCTTGGGCAAGAGCTGCTGCTGGGTATCTCTCCAGGATCTCCCGCGCAATGTCCAGGTACCCAAAGCCCGCAGCCTATGAAGGAAGTACGATTATGAAGGGGTTTTGGGTGGGGATGGGTGTTTGATGGATTTCTACCTTGTGGAGAACATTCAGACCGTTCATGTCCTTGCTGCAGAGGATGACTGGGGACACTGGGTCTGCTATTTTTTCTAGGAATCCTTCGATGTCATTTTTCACTACCGCATTGTGAATTTGCTTGATTGTTCCCTGAAAATATTTCTTTATAGACTCTATAGAAAGCTATAGAAAATTTTTATTAAGAGGAAATCGTTCTATATCAATCAATAGACAGCTTATAGATTAGGCTATAGAATTTCGTGTAGAGTTTATACACAGTATGAAATCTATAGATATATTATAGAATCTATAGACAATATCTCTGTAGATTCTATAGAGAATTCATTGGGGATATTTCATAGAAAACACGTAAATTAAACTTGTTTAATCTATAGAGTTTTTTCTATAGCACTTGATAGTAACGTCGATAGAGACTTCTATACGTTTTCTCTATAGGCACTAATGCCCACACGAGATCTATAGAAATCTAATTAAAAAAATTAATGAAATTAAAGAAATTAAATGAATTGAATTACAAAAATTGATTGAAAAATCAATTAAAATAATTTTTGTAAATTTCTTATAGATCGAGTTATAGAATTCTCTATAGAATTCATACGCAGTAATATTTTTGCTACACATATTACCATAATAAACGGCGTAGCCTCTAGGAACCTCCGAACCCTCGGATTATTACTGATTTCACATTTTAACTTCGAACCATGACCTTCCCAAAGTACCTGCTGTAACTTCGCTATATCGCGATTGTGAATCCATATTCTTATGTTAGACGGCTTGAAGTCTAAACCTGAAAGTGTGAATTAAGTGGTATTAACATCAATCATTCCTCGCGGGGATAATGATCATTGGCGGAAGTATTTCATTAATTCGCCATCGGTCAACCGCCGACTGCATCGACACGAACATCAGATATAACTTATGATTTAGACATCAACTCAGTGAGAGCCATCACGTGCCTATTAATTTTCAAAATAATATTTTAAAATCGAGGGAAAATGTTTATAATAGCGAGAAAAAAAATTATTGAAAAATTATAGCAAATAAATCTTATGGATTTCTATTGAAATTCTGTTATTTTTTTTAATTAATTCTGTTGAAGAATTTCGCACCTTATTTTTGTTTTGTAGAAAAAATTAGTAGAATTTCATCTTTCTATACAATTTTTTGTATCGAGACATTTTTTATAGGAATTCCTCAGCAAAATTCTGCATTTTCTATAGACAGTGCAGAATTTTTCTGAATGAATGAATAAATTTGCTGAATGAATAAATAAATAAATTCAAATTGAATTGATTTTCTGTTGAATTTTTCCATACGTGCATTCATGAATTGAAACAGTTACTTCACTCGTACTTTTCATTTTTACGAGCGCACCCGACGGAAATTATTAACGAAAAACTGAACATCCCGCATTCTCTACAATTATCGAAGAAAAGCGATATAATTTGCGAGATAATTGCAATATAATTTGCCGCCCATTTCTTCCGGCTTAAACCGAACTAAAACTCCCAACACGAAAAATCATCGTGAACACTGCCCTTCAGACCGAGTAGATATGCCCCAACAATTCGTAGAATTATCGAGCGACGCAACTTACAGCTCATAAAACATTTCCATCATATCGATTGCGTTTTTTTACTCAGGGGTCATCGGAAAACGTGTTTCTAGGCGTTTACCTAAACCCCCAGGCTTGAATCCATAAGTCTGAGTCAATTTGAATGCTAAGAGTGGACATTTGTGAAGGACAAGCTTCGCGTGAGGTCAATTATAAACTATTTAAGTTTATACGTAATTGCGAGAATATTCAATTTGTCGGGCTCACATGGTTAGGGAGAAATTTACTTGCGTCTGAATATTTTAGGGGATGACAAAACCTGATAGGTTTTTAATGCGAAGCGCATGTCGATATTCCCTTCACCAACTTCGTTTGAAACTTTATGTGTTTGACATTTGAAATGCTGTTTATTTTCAAGTGACTTCGCCTGGAAATTATGTCATTTTCCCGTATGATTTTTCCGTTTGAACGTATTGGGCCTAAATTTTTTACAAGTTTTGTAGCGAGAAATGAAGAAAATGCAGGAGAAAAATCTACATAAAGTTTTGTGTGATTTTTTTAATGAAAAGAGAAGAAAAGAGAGTTGAAAAAAATTTGAAAAGTTATGTCGAGGAATTACGGTACACTGAGAGAGAAAATTAGTTCTGCCAAAAAATTATATTAAACATTTCCCATAGAAAAAACATTCTTCAATAGAATTGTCGAAAAAACAAAAAGAATGTTCAAGAGAAGTTCAATAGAAATCTAATAGAATTTTCTAATGGCCATTTCCCATAAAAAAATTCTTTAACAGAATTATCGAAAGAAGAAAAAGAATTTTCGATAGAAGTTCAATAGAACTCCAATATACGGAGAGAAATATTCAGTAAAAAATACCGAACAATTCACGTAGCCCGCAGTGGAGATCGTTTTCCGGAAATTTTTATAGGAATGGAAGAGAAGAAATCTGAAACCTTGAGTGAATTTTCAGGTTCATCACCGAACAAAGTACGAAATTGTCACGTAATTTTTCCCGAAGAAGTAAAATCTTACAGAAACTTGCCGACTTATTATGCCTCCAAAATCAAAAATTCTTGAACGTTCCACAATTTTTATGAAGCTGGTGAGTTATTTCTACGTTCCGTTCCATAAAATTTCTCAATCGTTGGGGAAAAAGTACGGAACGACTTGTTGTTCCCATAGCGGTGAGTCATCAGACGGCTGGTTAATTTTTACGGAACAAGTCGTAGAATTTACGTGGCGATTCGTACAATTTCACTTCAAACTCACACTTTTTATTGAATTTTACTTCGCTCGCGGATTACTTTTCGCAACGTAATTTTTTTCTGGTAATTTTTATTTAATTTTTCTCTCCGTGTAGAATTTTCTATTGCACATTTCCTATAAAAAAAATTCTCCAATAGAATTATCGAAAAAACAAGAAGTATTTTCTACAGAAGTTCAATAGAAATCCAATAAAATTTTCTATTCGATATTTCTCATAAAAAAAAATTCTTCAATAGAATTATCGAAAGATGAAACAGAATTTTGAATACAAGTCTAATAGAAATCCAATAGAATTTTCAATCGCATTCCCTCCGTTTTTCGACGATTTCTTTTTCTCCCGCATTTTTTTGTTTTGCATGAAAAAATGATTGATTTCACATTCGATTTAATTCCACCAACACTTACTCTCACTCTTCGCCGTACTAGGTTTAGTTGCCATAGCTTCGGCGTCGGGCAACTCAATCTCCGATGCGTGCTCGAGATAATAAGCCGCTGGATGTCCGCGTTTATCGCAGACACTGGCGTCACAGCCGCCCTCGATCAACAGATCCCAGATGGATTCTGGATCCTTGCAAGCAACGCAAAAATGCAGCGCCGTTCGTCCCTCCTTGACATAAAAAATTGTGTTTCTGAATAGAATATCAAATTGTCACAACGAAATTATCACGGACTATCTGCGCCCACAACAGGGGAGAATCTAGTCGAATGGAGGTTTTCGTTCCGACGAATATCCAGCCTTCGAACTGGGANGTACGGAACGACTTGTTGTTCCCATAGCGGTGAGTCATCAGACGGCTGGTTAATTTTTACGGAACAAGTCGTAGAATTTACGTGGCGATTCGTACAATTTCACTTCAAACTCACACTTTTTATTGAATTTTACTTCGCTCGCGGATTACTTTTCGCAACGTAATTTTTTTCTGGTAATTTTTATTTAATTTTTCTCTCCGTGTAGAATTTTCTATTGCACATTTCCTATAAAAAAAATTCTCCAATAGAATTATCGAAAAAACAAGAAGTATTTTCTACAGAAGTTCAATAGAAATCCAATAAAATTTTCTATTCGATATTTCTCATAAAAAAAAATTCTTCAATAGAATTATCGAAAGATGAAACAGAATTTTGAATACAAGTCTAATAGAAATCCAATAGAATTTTCAATCGCATTCCCTCCGTTTTTCGACGATTTCTTTTTCTCCCGCATTTTTTTGTTTTGCATGAAAAAATGATTGATTTCACATTCGATTTAATTCCACCAACACTTACTCTCACTCTTCGCCGTACTAGGTTTAGTTGCCATAGCTTCGGCGTCGGGCAACTCAATCTCCGATGCGTGCTCGAGATAATAAGCCGCTGGATGTCCGCGTTTATCGCAGACACTGGCGTCACAGCCGCCCTCGATCAACAGATCCCAGATGGATTCTGGATCCTTGCAAGCAACGCAAAAATGCAGCGCCGTTCGTCCCTCCTTGACATAAAAAATTGTGTTTCTGAATAGAATATCAAATTGTCACAACGAAATTATCACGGACTATCTGCGCCCACAACAGGGGAGAATCTAGTCGAATGGAGGTTTTCGTTCCGACGAATATCCAGCCTTCGAACTGGGAATCTTCATACCCTAGTACTTTACGATTCACCACCCCCTCGGGCCTCGGGTGAAAATAGTTGGAAGCATTTTGTTAGATAGCCATCAGGCACGGAAGCCGTTTTTGGTATAGAAAAGAGAACAGGTGGTTACATCGGATGATTATGAACGGCACGCGAACACAAATCGTTGGAGGAAAATCCTATTTTCATAAATTTGGTCAACACTTAGGGCGACATTTATAGTTCTAGGAAATTATGTATGACGACATTTCATAGAAAAATTTAGACAATTCTACTGAATTTATATGGAAAATTCTATTCGCTTTTGGCCGATTTTATTGAAATATTCTATAGAAAATATTCTGTAGGAAAATCTGTAGAATTTTATTTTTTTATATAGCTTTCTTCTATTGAGATATTTTCTATAGAATCAAGAAAATTCAAGAGAATAAGTTCTATAGAAAAATATAATTGTTTTGACTTTCCTATATATTTCTATAAAATTGTATTGAATTCTTTCTATAAAATATTCTATAGAAAATCCTATAGAATTAGATTTTTGTATACAATTTACTCTAGTGAGACAATTTCTATAGAATTTCCTCAGCTCAAATTTTTCAAGTTTTTTTGTTTCATTTTCTTGATGAGAAGAAAAAAAATTTTTAAAACTTGGAAAATTTGAGCCGAGGAAATTCTATAGAATGTTTTCAATGGATTCTAGTATTTTCCATTCGATTTTTCTCTCTATGAAGTTGTTGAAGGTTACAATAACGTCAGCATTACACCGAAATGTCAACGAAATCATGAAGAATATTAAATTTCCTAGTAATTATTGATGCCTAAAGCCACTTCCTCGACTCCCTCTCTGCACTTTTTGCCATTCTGAAATAAAAACTAATGAAACAAAAAAAAATGGTGTAATCTCCGCCCTCCGATGCCGCCTCAAAGACCTTAAAAATGGAAAAAAATAAATGTGTTACCCGATCTTTCTGCACAGCAGTGTTCGGATAATTATCGAGTAGCCACTCGACGACATCCTGATGATCGTGATAAACGGCTTTATGAAGTAGTGGAATACCCGCGGCGTCTTTAGCGATAGCGAGTTTCTTTTTCGGCTCATCGGCTATAATTTTTTGGAGTTCTGCCAAAGCACCTCTGGTAACAGCCTCATGCGCTTGACTAATTTTTGACTGCATAAAACAATTCGTTAGAGGGTGAATTGTTCGAGTTATTGATCTAACTACTTCGGTGATTGCAAATCTCACCAGGTATGTTGGAAGTCCCTTGAGAAAAACTCGAGTTCTCAGATCTGGCGAGTGTTCATTCAACAGTCTTGCCCCTTTGCCCTCCAGCACATAATGCTCAAGCTTTTCAAACTCTCCACGTGTCAACCACGTTTTAATCGTTGAAGCTGTCATTTTGCATATCTGCCAAAGGTGTTGGTGACATCAATTGTATTCGTTAGGGCTCATGCTGCATGCTCACGCACGAAAAAATTTTGTAGCAAAACTTGGACTATTCTATTGAATTTTCTATTAGTTTTTGGACGATTCTATTGAAATGTCCAATAGAAAATATTCTATAGAAATCTCTATAGGATTTTATTTCTCTATGTAAGTTATTCCATTGAGATATTTTCTAAGAATTCCCTGTTCTATAGAAATATATCTCAATAGAATAATTTGCATAGAAACATCAAGTTTTATTGACTTTTTCTATAGAATATTATCTATCGAAAATTTCAATAAAATCGGCCAAAGACTAGTAGAAAGTTTAACGGAAATCTAATAGAATTGTCTAGCGAATTCCCCAGATGTTTCTATAATTTTTTTTCGTGCGTGGTTCTAGGTCTAGTTCGTGAGATATTTGTTTATACGTTTGAAGAAATTCTATAGATTTGTTCCATAGTAATTTCTCATAATAAGGGAATTCCGTGGAATTGTCGATGGCGGTATTCTATAGAATTCCTTATAGAAAGTCTCTAGAATTCAAATGCGTGGTCTATAGAATTATCTGCGAGGAAATTTCATTGAATATTCTATGGGCCATTTTCGACTATTTTGGAGCGAGTTCGACAGGTTGTTCTATAGAAAATTCTATAGATTATTTTTTCTATAGTGAGTTCTACAGTGAGAGAGAAAATTAGTTCTGCCAAAAAATTATATTAAACATTTCCCATTAAAAAAACATAATGATATTATGTTATAGACTGTGAGATAATGTCTATAGGCACTGGAATTCCTGAGATTCTATAGAAAATTATTGTTCCCCAGAGAACAATTTTATTTTATCCATTTCTTTCAATTTAAAAATCGTGTGGCTGCAGAATTGTTCTATAGAAATTCAATAGCATTTCCTAGCAAATGAGTTGTTAAATTTTTTGAATTTCATGAGGCCGAATTTCTGTAGGCATCATTGCTATAGAAATTTTCTATAGAAATCGTTCGCAATGGAAATTCTATAGATACTTCTGTGTCACCATCTGCAGAATATTTTTACAGGTATCGACGTAAAACTGTCATCATACAGTCAAAGTCACCTATTACCCTAGGTCGTGCATTGTCAACTGTCTATACACACTGTACGAGAATTAAAAGTGATCACGCAAAACCACTCGACTTTGCACACGTGCAAGTTCACACACATAATTAAACAGCCATCAATCAGTACGAGTGTCATTTCGGTCCCATGCGCCTGGGGAATTGATACGCAAAACACTATTTTTATTTATCTTTTCCTCCTCAGACTGAAATCGGTGAAGTCCCGACTTCTGAAGAAAAATAAACAATTATTTGCACTGATGTTCGATTACATTACGCTAGCCAATCAATTCACCATTATCGAGGACACGTTTGTCACGATAAACATGTTGCAATTGGGGAGTTGTGAGTCAGTATCACGATAATGTGAGTGGAAGATCATGACATGTTAATGGAAAAATGGCATTTACTGATTCAATCCGATCGACGGAATTTATTGTAGATTTACATCTGTTGCGATTTTTTGACGGATAGTTTATTACAATTCGAGAGATTAACATTTCTCTGTAGAATTTATTTTTCCGCAGAAATTCGTGGACAATTTTTTTTTAATTCCATAGAGCAACCTAATGAATTCTATAGGAAATTCCATTGGATTTCTATTAAACTTCTATTCGAATTCTGTCAGTTTTTCGGGAATTCTATTGAAGAATTCTACAGTTTTACTGCGATTTTTTTAATCGGAAATGTCCAGAAGACAGCATTCTACAAAAAAAAACAGAATGTCATCGTTCGATTGAATTTTTTCTATTAAGATATTTTCTATAGGAATTCCGGGACATGAATTTTTCAAGTTTTTTTCACTCTCTTTTGCTTTTTATTTAAGAAAATCAAACCAAAAAACCTGAACAAATTCGAGGAATTTCTATAGAAAATGTCTCAGAATAAGCTGTATAGATAAATCTCATTCTATTGATTTTTCCTATAGAATATTCTCCATTGAACATTTCTATTTGAACAAACGTGCGGATACGCTGCAGAAAGTTTAATCAAAATGACAATTTTTAATGTTCTATAAAAATTTTCTGAAGAAAAAATCAATAGAATTCGATCAATAGAATTTCCATAAGAATTCTTCTCATACAATTCATCAAAATGAATTAAAATTGTTCAAACAATTCCCTATGCCTCTATAAAATCCGCCACATAATTCTATTGAATTCTATAGAAACGGGAAAAAGCAACAAATGTAATTTCCATAAACCCTCACATCTCCAGTTCATCAAAATTCATTCGAACCCGTCAAATAGTGTGTCCGATGTGCACTTATGGTGATCGCAAACGTGCAGACGAGAACACCAACCTCTCAAAGAAAATACCTTGTGTGCCGGTTACCAATGGACAATCGAGACATTCGATTGATCTTATCGAATGTGTAGCAATGCCACCGGTTTCGATCGACCGCCCTGCCCAGTCCGACGTGAAGAAGCGTCGGGAATGGAATGGATAGGCGGCGTGATAGACGAACGCCACCTCCTCACCTACCCCTACTATGTCCACACCCCTTTCCTCAAACTATATTCAACGAACAATACGCGGAACGCATGTATCAACTTTTGAATTCTCATCCGCACGGACACAAACACCTTTCCCACTTGTTTATTTCATGTTCTCGGAACTGTTGAAACAAACACGATATTTATCCGAGATATTGATTTCAGTTTTTTTTGCTTATCGGTGACTCCAGAGTTTACACTATTTACATTTTATATTTTTGAATGCACAATTCATGGAGAATATGCGGTTCTGGGAATTGACGAAAAATGTTGGGGCGAATTTTCGGTCAAATTAGGACTGATTGAGGGGAGTTTATTAAATGGGAAATTGTTTGGGCGGAATTCAGTGCACCATGAGACTTGATGTTTTCCGTCCACTACCCGCGGCCTCTGAGGACTGTCGTTGCAGTGTCACTGCAGCAGTGGCATTACACGTGGCCTAGTAGTTGTGTTGCTCGTCAATTATTCAAGATCCTGAATGGTTGAAAACAACCTTCTCTGCTACTGTACTCACGTGAAATATTCGTTGGATTATACATTGTTGGGTGTGCATGAGAGCTTGTGACATTTGGAATGTCTAGGTGCTTTGAAAATTATGGGTAGGGGGTAGATTCTGTTGTTTGAAATTTTTATGGCGAAGTTTGATTTTTATTCCTATTTTCAATGATGAGGGCACGCACGAAAAAATTTAATAGAAAACCCTATAGCGAATATAGCGAGATACCTATAGCGAATTTGCTAGATTCTGTTGGATTTCTAGTGAACTTTCTATTTAGTTTTTGGCCGATTCTATTGAAGTGATCTATAGAAAATGAACTCTATAGAATCTTATAGAATTCATTCTATTGATTTATCTATAAAATTCTATAGAATTAATGTTCTATAATTTGTGTAGAAAAATCTAATTTTGTTGGGTTTTTCTACAGAATTCTATAGAATTTAGGCTGTTGATGTTTCTATAAAACTCAATAAATCTATAACTCGATAGAATCAACAATTCTAGACTTAATAATTTAACAATTTTAAACTCAATAATTTTAGACAATAAAACCAATTTTAATCAACAATTTTAGACTCAATAATTCTATAACTCTATAGAATTTTATAGAATTGATTCTATTGATTTGTCTATAAAATTCTATAGAGTTTAATAGAAACATCAATAGCATTAATTATATAGAATTCTACAAGCACTACAAAAATCAATAGAATGAATTCTATAGAATTCTATAGAAAAACTACAGAATTATATTTTTCTATGAAATTTTTTCAATACGAGAGAACATTCAAAAAATCCATTTGCATCCAGTAATTCATTTTAACAAAAATTGATTCATTCCTTTCAATAAAAATATGAATAATCAACTTTAAGTTCGAATAAAAGCTTTATTACAAGACATCCACATCAACTCATCAATTTACTCCAAATAAACCAGTGAAAATAATTATGAAATTTATGCCCAGGAATTTCTGTAGTAAAAATATCAATAGAATGAATTCCATAAAAAATCAAATGCGTTCTATTTTTTTCTGAAATTCTCTCACACTTCTTCATTTCATAGAATTAATTTTCATAACATATCATCGACCGTTGGGGCAAAATGTTTTTTTAATTTTTATTTTTCAGGGTTAAACATCCCCATTATTATCTCAAATACTCCTTTGAAGGAATACTTAATCCACCCAATAATTATAAAACCGTCATTATTATCCGTAATCCACATATTAAGTGACCTCTCCGTGAGGGCGACATTGGACAAATCGAAGGAATAATTCATTGACCCCATTTCGTACACAGAACTACAGCCTAAGGTCCGACTAAGTGTGTCGCATAATCGTTAAATTCCACCGAGTCGTCGATTATTTTCGATTTCGTCACCCTTCATCGATGCCCGGCACTTCGGTTCCCCTTTTTGCATTACGAAATGTCGCGATTTTCGCAGATGTCAGCTCCTGCGGGCGCATATTTCGTTGTTGTTGAAGAGTTTTGCTCAGTCGTGGACGAGACAGGACGCGAACATGGAACTGTACCTGATATTCTTAGCGTGTTTTATTTTTGTCAACGCCAATGGTACGTGCATTATTTATTCAGCTGAGGACTCGAAACACTTGGGAATAAAAAAATGTGTTCCAACTATTTTTGTAACCATTCATTTATTTTTGAAAAATTGAGGGGCTGGGGGTGACAGTATATTCTTGAATAAAGACTATTAATGAATAGATCTGAAAATAATTGGAACTCCGTCTGCTCTGCATTTGATTGATGACGTGTAATTAATCGATTCAACAGAAAGAAATGCGAACAGAACGGATTTAAAATGCGTCGGTCATGCCCACTATAACGTCTCTTTGACTGCGTATTTTCCTGATTACGAGAGTGACAACGAATACGATTATCTGGATGTGAGAGGAAAAAAACTGAGAAATCTGCAGGTATTTTTTTTTTATTTTGAAAAATTTTAAAATATGGGTTCAATATTTTTTGAGTCTCTAGAGCCTTTCGTGAGGATTGTTTCCCATTTTTGTAGGATTTTCTGGACGGACGGTGTGAATATGTGACCGCAGCCATGGACATGATCCCCGAAATTCCTTACGGCACTCGTGTGTGCATTCCCGAGTTAAATGAACATTTCGGACGACAAATTCCTATTGAGGTGGGAGTTTATTTCATTCATCACTATGAATTATCTATTTAAGAGGCAAACAAAAGGACTGGGGGTTCATAATGGGTCTTAAAAAAATTGAACAATTCGTGGAAAAAAATTAATTGAAAAATCTAGGGAAATTTTATTGAATTTTATTGAAAATTCATCGAAATTCTCTTGAAATCGCGATTTTTTAATAGAAAAATCGATGGAAAACAGTCGATAGACTTTTTTTTACTTCTATGAATTATTCTCTCAAGATTTTTCTTAACAAAATAGACTGAAAATAGTCATAATTTACCATAGAATGAAAATTTAATTTAATAAAAATTAAAAAGAACTTTTCAGTTCTTCTTTTTAATTACTTTATACTTTCAACAGAATTAAACAGTAACAATCAAATATTTTTAATCCTCCCAATAGATACGAGACTACGGAATAGATTTAAAGGACCAGCGCTTCTCCCAAATAGACATCTGCGTGAGGAGCGAAAGCGATAGTTACGATATTGCTGTGAACAAACTAGTTACAATTTATTTATAAATTCCTAGCTATAAGTGTCATAATTAACTGCTCCTGTATCATGTAATCATCGAGTGAATAAACGATCTTTCCACCGCCACTATCGGATCACGTGCATTCACACGGGTTAATGAGTCTTAAATAGTCTTGTTTACATTTTTAATTTTTTTTAAATGTGTTCATTACTGGAAACGATCGTATCGATATTTTCTGCGAATGTTCATGATGAATTACACTGAATCGATAAAAATAACTTTAAAACACTAATGAATACCACGTCATGTTGATTTAAAGAGTCTAAAAAAAATGAAACACTTTTTCGGAAGAAGAAATATATTTCATGCGGTGTTAAAAAAAAATACTAATTAAAATGAATAATAATAGTTTAGTTTACTTTAGTTTAGTTTAGTGAATAAACAATCTTTCCACCGCCACTATCGGATCACGTGCATTCACACGGGTTAATAAGTCTTGAATAGTCTTGTTTACATTTTTAATTTTTTTTAAACGTGTTCATTACTGGGAACGATCGTATTGATATTTTCTGCGAATGTTCATGATGAATTACACAGAATCGATAAAAATAATTTTAAAAAACTAATGAATACCACGTCATGTTGATTTAAAGAGTCTAAAAAAAACGAAACACTTTTTCGGAAGAAGAAATATATTTGATTCGGTGTTGAAAAAAAATACTAATTAAAATGAATAATAATAGTTTAGTTTACTTTAGTTTAGTTTAGTTTATTGCTTAAATTAGTTTCAAATGTTTTTTAGTAAAAATATGTTTTTTTGTAAAAAATCATATTCTTTTCCAATGCGGCCAAGTTTGGATCAACTCGTACAATTCATCACCGGGACAAGTTGTGGATTTCGTTTGACGATGTCCTAGTAGAGTGTAGTCACTCTTGATTGTTCCATTCGCAACACCGAATCCCAGCAGGTCTTCGGCAGCTTTGATTGCTGCAGGTTGGGGTTCGCGAGCTGAAATGTCAAGAATTGAATGGAAAAATATTGCTCAGATTTTTTTAAGTTCACAACATTATTTCATAACTAAATATTTTTTTATAATAGTGTAATTATTACACTATTATAAAAAAAAATTGGTTATGCAATAATAAATAAATAATTTTACACTGTAATATCATGACGAAAAAAATTCATAGAAAAACCTGGGGAATTCGGTAGAAAATTCTATTGAATATTCTATTCGTTTTTGGCCCATTCTATTAGCCCATTGAAAATTCCTCGACATGAATTTTCAGTTTTTTTATTCACTAAAATCCTTTAATAGGAAAAGAAATGAAAATTTGAGCCGAGGAGTTTCTATAGAAAATATCTCAATAGAATAAATTGTAGAATATTTTCCATTGAACATGTCTGTTGAACCAAAACACAAAGATAGGTCTTGAAGTTTCTCAATAGAATCTCACAGGATTTTCTAACGAATTCGCTAGGTTTTCCTCTCAATTTTCTTCGTTCGTGATTATTCCACAGCACTCCATAAAAAAATAACACCCTCTACGATTTTATACTATCTCAAAAAAAAAATCATTTCTCAAAAGTTAACTCGTGCGACAAAAGATGAATTGTGAACTCACATTCGAAATTTCCAATGAAACAAATTCCCAAACTCTTCGCGTTGTAGTTCGGCGAATGCGCCCCTCTTATCCCCCACCCCCGTCCCTCATAGACATTGCCGTCCTCCCCTACCAGGAAATTGTACCCGATGTCGTCCCAGCCATTGTGGTCCATGTGGTAATTCTGGAATGGAATAACATTGCGTTTTACATACACTGAGTGAAAAACAAACACATTGTCAAACAAGTCTTGTTTGGGTCAACAGAATAACTAGTTGAAAATTGCCAAAAACTAATTTGTTTGGTTCGGATAATTCACACCAGACGGTGCCTTTTCAGGATGAAAATATCTCATAGAGGAAAATTTATCAACAAATATTTTATCCCTAAGTTACAAGATTGCTATCATATTATTATTATAAGATCTATGCGCGCGCTGATCTATTCATTTGTTGAAATGAAGAAATGGAATTCATTAAGTTTCATTTTCTCATGAATACCTTATGAATATTGATAATGAATCAAAGAGAATTCGACTAATGATTGAAGCGAAGTAGAGTAAAAGAATCTATAAAGAATTTTTCATTTTCAATTAATTATATTCAATTCTTAAAAATAATCGGTCTCCATAAAAACACAGAATTTATTAATTTCACCGATAATATATATACATGTGAAATATATATATATATATATATGACGTGAAAAAAAAATTACCTCTGAAGAATTTGAAAATGCCACGTGTTTTTTTTTGTGAATAACTTCGTGTCACATATTGACCAATCAGAATTAAGGATTAGCGGTCAGGCAGTTTCGAGATATTTCGATATAAAACAACTTCACGTTTCTTTCATGTTTAGTAAAATAGGATTGTTTCATTTAAGGGTTCATTTGTTGTCTGTGATTATTAGAAACGAAAAACTACACGGAGAGAAATATTCAATAAAAATTACCAGAAAAAAGACGTAAAAATTACGTTTCGAAACGTAATCTGGGAGCAAAGTAAAATTCAATAAAAAGTGTCAATCGTCACGTAAATTCTACGATCTTTTCCGTAAAAATTACTCATCCGTCCGATCTCTCACGGCTAGCCATGAGTCACCGTGAGGGGGAGATTTTAACAACACGTTCCGTAATTTTTCCGGAACTTGTTGTAAAAATTCTTAAACATCCAAGAATTTTCATGTTCTGAGGCATAATAAGTCTTGAAGTTTCTGTTAGATTTTACAACTTCCAGAAAAATTACGTGACTTTTTCGTATTTTTTCGGTGACAGACCCGAAAATTTACTGAACGTTTCAGATTTATTCTCTTATATTCCTATAGAAATTCACTGAAAACGATTCTCGCTTGCGGATTACGTGAAATGTTCCGTAATTTTTCTTGAATATTTCTCTCCGTGTACTACCCCTTGTTCCGCATAAAACAAAGATTTTTCGGGAGCAAAATACGTATGGGAGTATCGAATAACGAAGGAGTAGTGCTAGAAATGACATTTCTTGCGTGTACAGAGAATGCAATTTTTTTTCAACTACTAAATCCATTTTTGCGACAAAAATTTTTCATTCCGGTGCACTCTCTGCATGTTTGGCACAAAAAATCCTTTTTTGACGATTTTTAAAAAAACTATTTTCTTGGCGCAAGTAAGACTTGTTCGAGAACTGTCGTTTTTCTCTCAGTGTAGAGGTATAATATATCGTCGATGCACTATCGCCCTGCTGCATCGATTGGAGGGGTCACTCTCTGACGATGACTATTATCATAACATTTGCCCCTGGCTTACTTGAAACTCGAGGCTATCAAGCCACCGGGGGGAGTCGGTTTAGGCGCGCTCAAATTAATTTTCAGTGAGTACGTGTATTCCACGACCTCTTTTTCAAGTCTGGTGTTGAGGTATTCATGTGTGAAAAAATTCTAGAGGCGTTTTTCGAAAATTCATGAGAGAATATTCAGAAACGAAATTTATGCATAAAATAAATGAATTGTTATTTCTGCGAGGGCTTGACCGCTCGATTTTTTTTTCAATTGACTTCACGAAAAATTTTGAATAGATCCACTAGTTCACCTCATTGAATCATAGCATTCGATTGAGTTGAATACAATTTTGAAAATTTTCGTCTGAATTTTTCGTGCGTAATTCCGGAAATTTTTATTGTCTTCAAGTTCCACTGAAATTTCAGGCAATCTTGTCACTGAAAAATCAAATATTCCATTGATTTTCTGTTCAAATGATCTAAAAATTGATAAAATACTTGATTTTTCAGTTCAATTATTCTATGAAATTTCTGAATTTAATATTCATGTTCCACTGAAAATTAAATCAAGCTGTGAAATTTTTCAAAAAATTTCTAACAGTATACAGTCGACCACTAAAGTTCGTGAACAATCTGAACTTGCATTCAATGTATTCTGTTTACGAACTTTAGTGCTCGACTGTACACGATGAAAGTTTAAAGTACAAAACTATTTACTTAATTTATCAAACAAGTCTTATCAGCTTCTGGCGAAATTCATTCGACTTCGAGGCGCCTCAGGACTAAAAAAATACTGAAATGCCGTCACATTGGATCGGGACAAACTACCACATTATTTATTACTTTGACTGTTTGATTAATTACCTGGAATGAACGGACGCGTGCCTGACATATCGCTTGCGAGGTGCACCCGTTCGAGTCAGAGTGGTGGATTACGACGAATGGGGGTGGATTTATTCCGAGTCCTTCAGGTGTTTTGTTCGGGGCTCTTGCGCCCCATTGCGCTCTACTTACGATTGTCGGAGAAACTGAGGAGTCATCTTCTGTGTATGAAATTAGAGGGTGGAGGCGAAATGTAATATAAGAAATGGGGGAAAAAAAATTATGCAATTTATACATTTTACGTAATTTATGAAATTACATATGAAATGATAAATTTAAGGCTCGGGTGTACTATCTTTCGAATGTTATCTGGATTTTTTTCATCTTTCGTAATCCAAAATTGTCAATTGAGTGGTACATCATGTAGAAAGTCCCAAAAATTATGATAGAATGATAAAAAAAAAATAGAAAAAATTCTGGACTTTTTCAAAGAGCGTTTTTAATTGAGCTTCAGAATGAGTTGAAAAAAGTGGAAATTACAAATATCTGATTCGCTGTGGCAAATTATCTATTAGCTGTCATTTTCCATGGTGGATAACAAAACACTAACTCCTCATGGGAAGTGATAGCTAGGTATCTCAATTTTCAAAACAGTGGCATGTAGTCATCTACCATTTTTATGTGATAAAAGTGTGATTAAAAAATTTTCCAAAATGTTACAAGAATATATCGAACATCATATTTTTTTAAAATAAAAAAAAGAGAAACTAAAATTGAACAAGTAGAATTTTTTATATTTTTGACTCATTGTGATCTTTTTGGATTATAATGGGTTGATATAACACAAAAAACGTAAAACGTGTGTTTGAAATAATCACAAAAATTACCCTTCTAACCAATAATTCTTTGGAATTAATTTATTTTGACTTTCACCACAATTAAAAATAAACGTAATGGGAAAATAATTTTTTCAACGAGATAAAATAACAAATATAATGAATATAAGTTGTAAATACCACTGGACCCAGCCGCCGGACACGTCCATGCTATTAACGCAAGATTTACCGAAACAATCGCCACGAGAACTTTCATCTTCGACGAGGAGCGAGATACTAACGCCAGCACAAAAATATTGACCCGTTTTGTGCGCGTGATATTTATCTGCTGCGTCACTCCGGGGTTCCCCTCCGTAATTTTATTTCGTGACACCATTAGACTCGATCAACCATGAAGTATCACCAAGAAATTATCCGATATCGCTAATCAATACCCGGTATGGAATTACAGGAAATTAAAAGTCGTTGATTAAGCAATTTCAATTTCATTTACTCGTGTACAATTTAATTTTATCAGATAACAATTTGAAGAGTACAAGTTTCACAAAAAAAAAGGATCTATTCAATTTTTTTAACTAAAGAACAAATTAAAAATATTCGAAATTGAAGTTCTATTAAATATTCCAATTTTTTGAGGCTTTTCATACGATTTTTTAACATTGAAAAAACCCCAAATAGTTTTTTAACTTCATTCAATTGAATTCGAATGGAAATTATACATGAACAATTTTTTTCAATTGAAAAAATAATTTTTTAAGAATTGAAAATTATTTTTTTTTAGGCTTTTTACCCGATTTTTGACATTCAAATAATTAAACAATTAAATAACACGGAAAACAGTGAATGACAAACATTCCCTCGTGTACAATTTCATTTTAACAAATAAAAATTTCAGGATTACAAGTTTCACCAAAAAAATCAGAATCTATTTAATTTTTTAAATTAAAGAACAAATTTAAAATAGATATTCCAATTTTTTTAGGCTTTTCACCCGATTTTTACCATTCAAATAATTAAACAATTAAATAAAACGAAAAAAGTCTCTGAATTCTGAATGTCACCTCCATTTATTCGCACACGAAGACAATTAAATAACAGGAATGGATCGATCCGATGATTTATGAAACGTTCCACTGACGCATGTAATAATCTCTACTCGACTTTAGCATGAATAAATATGACATGTATGTGGTCTAGCTTATTATGCATTCTTGGAGTTGGTAAATCACACCAACGTGACAACATTGTGGCTATCGTTAGACGGATGTCTCAGCCCATCAGCACTGTGACTACTCGTGTTCGTTGCACAGTTCGACATGCAAACTGGAATGGGATCCGCCGTCCACCTCGGCATCTTCATGACGTACTTGTAGAATGTCTCGCCGGGACACACAGTGTCTCGGACCTGACGGTGGCCTATTACTCGATAGTCCGGACTTATTTTTCCTAACGCCACTCCACACGCAATTAGTTCGTCTAAGGCTTTGAGAGCTCCGTCATTCGGGAGGAAATCTACAAGAAAAATCGTTTTCAATCGGAAAAAACTATTTTACCTCAAGTTTTTGTTTTTGGAAATTGATCTATGGAAAATTGAATAGAAGTAAAAAAATATGAATAAGGAAATGAATGAGTGAATGAATGAATAAATGAGAATTGAACAGAAACAAAATTGCATAAAAGGTAAAAATTTAAAAATAAATAAAACCAGTTGGCAATGAAATTTTAATTCCCTAGGGAATGATTGAAAAATATGAATGAGTAAATAAATGAGGGAATGAAGGAATGAATGAGATTTGAATAGAAAAAAAAATTGAATTAAAAGTAAAAATTCAAAAACAAATTAATTGTTAATAAAATTACAAAAAAAAATCTAAATTTAGGATCGAATGAAATGAATTGTTGATCAAATTTAAATTCTTTAGGAAATTATTCACAATTTGCTCTTCAATAATTCAATAATTGACGCGCGAAAAATTTTATAGAAAAATCTAACGCATTCGATAGAAAATTCTATTGAATTTCTATTAAAGAATTCTACAGCTTTACTTCGCGTTTTTTATGCAACATAATAAAAACTATTTTTTAAAAATCAGTGACATTCATCTTTCTGTTGAAACGTTTTCTGAAGGAATTTTTCTACATGAATTTTTGGAAATTTATGTATGAAAAAAAAAAAAAAATATATGAAAAAAATATAAATGAGAATCGAATAGAAAAAAATGCGTAAAAAGTAAAAATTCAAAAGCAAATAAAAATAATTGTTAATAAAATTGAATTTCTCTAGGAAAGTATTCACAATTTTCTCGTCAACAATGACGCACGAAAAAATTCATAGAAAAACCTAAGCCATTTGACATAAAATTCTGTTGAATTTCTTTTTTATAAAAATTAGTAAAACTACTTTACATAAAAAAATAATAGACATTTCATCTCTCAATTGAGACATTTTCCATAGCAATTAATTCTTCGACGTGAATTTTCCAAGTTTTCCCCCTGTATTTTCCTATATTCTTTAAAAAAGATCAACAAATAATTTCTATAAAAATTATTTAAATAAAATAAGTTGTTTTTGTCTATAGAATATTTTCCATTGAACATCTGAAAAATTCAATAGAAATCCAATAGAATTTTCTACCAAATTCGCCAAATTTTTCTATGATTTTATAATATGATTTTCGTCGTTCGCGTTGTGTTCACTCGTGATATTAAATTCACGTACGAGAGAAATCGCCGATAACTGATACTCCAATACTCTGGGAATTGTATCCCGGTGCGTGAGCCCCGACGTAGTCCCAACCCCGTCCCTCGTAGACGTTGCTGTCCTCCCCTATGACGAAATGGTATCCAATGTCCAGCCAGTGGTTCTTGTCTATGTGGAGGTCCTGGTACGATCGCACGATAGCCGAGCATTCCGGCTGATCGTAGCAGTAGTGGAGTATCCCACCGTGATGAACTACTACGTAAGGGATTGGCGTGGTCCACAGGGGCTCGAGACCACTCACGTTTCTCGCGTTCCACTCTCTGCGGGTTATTATTCGCGGACAAGTGGCTCCTGCAATTTAATTGATGAAGAATTTATTCAGCCGAGGGGACTGGGCCGCTCAATTTTTGGGAAATGGGCGAGAGATCGCGAATTTTTTCTCTTTAAATGTTTGAATGGAAGTAATTTTAACGGAGAAATTGGAGGCTGTAATTTTTTCTTTTGAATTCCAATGGAAATATCGGGGAATTCTCCATAGAATTCTCTGCAATTTCAACAGGAATTCAGTAGGAAATCTAGGGCAGTTGAATTTTATTGAAATTCTATTGGAGATTTCATTAGAAATCTCTTGTGTTGAATATTATATACTTTTGATGTTCAATTTATAGCAGATGTTTTTAATATATAATTGATCATTTTGGTGTTCAACAAGATGACAAAAGTTTTTTTATTAAAAAATTTGAACAGAAATAATTTTAAGGGAGAAATTAGATGTAATTTTCTGCAATTTCAATGAGAATTCAATAGAAAATCTAGGGAATTTGAATTTTATTTACATTTTATTGGAGATTTCATTGGAAACTCTTCTATTGAACATTATATATTTTTGACGTTTAATTTATAGCAGATATTTAATATGAATGACTAAACAGATTATAATTTTTGTGTTCAACAAAATGACGAAAGTTTTTCTATTTAAAAATTTGAATAGAAATAATTTTGCAGGGAGAAATCAGAGGCTATAATTTTTTCTTTTGAATTCCAATGGAAATGTGGGGGAATTTTCAATAAAATTGTCTGCAATTTCGATGAGAATTCAATAGAAAATCTAGGGAATTTGAATTTTATTTGAATTTTATTGGGGATTTCACTGGGAACTCTTCTATTGAAAATTATATAATTTTTGCGTTTAATTCATAGCAGATTTTTAATATAAAGAACTCAATAGATTATAACGTTGATATTCAACAAGAAGACGAACTTTTTCCGATCGACAATTTGAACAGAAACAATTTCAGGAGAGAAATACGAAACTGTAATTTTTTTTTTTTTAATTCCAGAGAAATGTCAGAGAATTTTCCTATGAAAATTAAATAATTTTCGCGTTCAATGTTTAGTAGATATTTGATATAAATAACTCAATAGATCCTAACGAATTTTTCCATTTTTCACCATCAATTTTCTAATCAGAAACGAGAAAAATCCAGCGGAAAATTTTCAAAAATTGATGCCCAAGAATTTTCAACTGAAAAAATTTCAAGAGCAGAATGTCAATGTTAAACAAGAATCCATTTCCTTCAATCGTTTACGAAATCTTCAATAAAAATTGGTAAAAAACAATCAGAATTTCGTTCTAGTTTTTAAAAATCTCCTGTTGATTTTTGAATCGCTCGTGAATAAATACCAGAACTAATAATTTTCGGATCAACGGGAAGACTCTGTGCAGCCCTCCGCAGAAGACAAATAACCGACATCTGCAGGAGAATAGGGACTGCGGTTCTCATGGTGGTATCACAATCGTTGTTCAGTACTGAGCTACCACCCAAGCGCCTGTGTATTTAAGCAAAAATTATTGCGATTGCACAGGGAAGTCCCAGAGTTGCGATTTGGCTGTTCAACTCCCACTCTGTAACGCGGACTCAAACACGTGCAGTCTTTCAGACCCGCCGAGTGTCAGGAATTCACCGTAACGAGACTGATGTTTGTGACTGTGATTTCCGCGTCCTACTGACAATTTTTGCTTTTTCGTGGTGAATAAATATTGCTATTGTAGGAAAACAAATGGAGGAAAAAGTCAATGGGATGATAAATGAGATTGATTGGCTCGGCCAGCTACCGAGACCATTGATGTGAGTTATCATCTTATCGGTTCGGAAAATAAGAATTTTGATGATTAGATTATAAATTGCTTAGAATTTGTTAAAAAATTCTTTTTTTTTTATATCTCAATTTTTCTGGAAAAGCAATCTATTCAGGAAAGATAATTAGAAATTTTCTAATTTTCGATTTTGTAATTCGAGACGAAAAATAGAATTAAGAAAAATGATAAAATTGCTCCTCAGGGATTTTCATACAAAAATAATAGAAACATTTAAATTGAAATAGAAATTAAAATTAATATCTGTTGATCTCTGGAGGAATATTTCATTTTTTCATTCATTTGCAGCGTAATCTTTTATATATTATATTGAAAAAGAATAAAAATATGAAATTTAATGAATTTTATTCATTTGCAATGCAATATGTAAAATGTGACGTAAAAATTTTAATTTTAATTTCTATTTCAACTTAAATTTTTCTATTATTTTTCTATGAAAATCCCTGAGGGGCAATTTTATCATTTTTCTTAATTCTATCTTTCGTATCAGCAATACTGTTATTCATTTGCAATGTCATATTTTTAATATTGCATTGCAAATGAATAAAAATATTGCTGAGTTCACAATCACGGCAGCAGGAAAAATGAAATATTACTGGAGAATTATAGTAGTCGAGGAATATGAATATTCCGAGTACCTGGAAAATGAGCGCCCAAGGTCACATTTAGTTGCTTCCTGTTGTTAGGGAATAATTGCAGCTTCATAACAGTGTGATTTTCGATCTTCAAGGAAGAAGTGAAACTAATCTATTTTTTCCAATGCCCGAGAGAGATTTTTTCTCAGATTTGAGTTTGAAATAAATTTTCTCCGGGCAACGGTTAGAGCAAATCACTGAGATCGGATGGAGGATTTAAAAGGGGTAGATGAAGAAAAAAATCTTTTTTTTTCATTCGTTAATTTTCTGAAAAAACGGTCGCATGTTTTGCAGCTGTTTGATATTCACGGCTTTTCGATGAAAATACGTATGATTTCTTTCGTTGAAGTGATGCGTACGATATACATATTCATGGAGAGATAAACAACTCATGAATTTTTTAGGAGCTCTGAAATTATGATAATTTTCTTGCGGTTCGCGAGTGATTTTCAATAGAATAACAATGAGGCAATTATCGTTTAATATTGCATTATGCATATTTTTTTATTTAATAAACATAGTGATTCCCAACTTTTAAGTTAATGAAGAAACCTAACGAATTTACTAGACTAAAAAAAAAAATTAATAAATAAATACTATTAGTTTTTAGTGAATTCTATTTTTTATTTTTCAATAAGAATACTCAATGGAAAATAATCTATATAAAAATCAATAGAATCGAAGTTCACGAGATATTTTATATGAAATTCTTCGGCTCTAATTTTTCAATTTCTTTTATTCGATTTTTTTAAATGAAAAGAGAAGAAAAATAAAGGGAAAAAAGCTTTACAAAATCATGTCGAGAAATTTCTATAGAAAATGTCTCAATAACAATCCATTAGAATCAGGGATCGGCAATAATTATTACTAACTAATTTTAAAACAAGTTTACCGTAGATTAATCACAGTACCTTATATTTTTATTTAAATTTCAAAATAATTTTTAATTTCCAATTATAATTAAACAATTAATTCTAAATATCTGAATTTGATTTTCCAATTAATCGAATAATCATCATTCTTGCGAAGTTGATTACTAATTTATAAAATATCTGAAAAATTGATAGCGTTGGTTGATAATTAACAATAAAACTATCATAAAATTTGAAAAATCGTACAATACCTGATTTTATATGTAATAAAATAATTTTAATTCTGCATTACAATTTTGCCTATCACTGAATAAAATTTTTTATTCACCGGGTTTTTCTAATATAAAATCTTTTCGAGCCTGAACATAAAAAAAATAATTATAAATAAACTATTAGTTCCCAAATGATAAATTAATGTTTAAAAATTATCGCAAACGATTCCCAAACGACATAATTACCCCAATTAATATTATAAATAAATATTGCAAATTATCAAATTACACAACCCGGAGAATTAGGTAGATCCCTAGTTTATCAACATAGTCGAAGACCACGTGCACGTGCTAGTGTTTATTTATCCTCACATTTCCGGTTTTCTCAAAGTCCACCTCTTCCTCAAAAAACAGAAAATCATCCGAGTGAAGCATGTTCAAATTCGGATTCTCCGACGATAACTCACCCGCAGGTACCTCGAGTCCTCATCCGAGAAACGAAAAAGATCAGACTTTACTCAGGTTTAAGGTTAAACAATTATTTGCCGCCAAAAAACGTAATTGTTGTTTCAGCTACGGGGAATAACGAGACCGCGAAACTCGATTGGTTCCCAGCCAGGGAAATTCAAATATCCGGAGAGAAAATTTCCGAGTTACCGGGGGAAGATGATACGATAAATACTGCATTCTGTGGTATTCATTTGAAGCTCGTGCGTTCGGATAATGTGGCCTTCAATCTTGAAAGTGATGAGCATGAAAATATTATTAAAGCTGAGATGCAACATTCGGATTTACTTCCCGCAATTTACGAAGGTAAAATGAAATCAGAAAATTTTAAGAAATGTAGATCGTGAATAATTTGAAGATTGTGAGGGATTCTGGGGAAATCCATTATGTGAACGCTGAAGCGATGGAAAATCAGAGAAAATGACCCAGTCGAGCTATTCAATTAATTAGTAGAGTCAGTTTTTTTCGTCTTTCTTGGATTCTTAACTTTTTCCGCTTCGGAATAACTTCGGTTTGTTGTTTTGTATGGGGATTATGTGAGAGTCATATTGGGGTTTAATAAATGGGAAAATGAACGGTTGAGTCTCACGACAAAAGACGTTGTTTGAAGCCTTTTGTAAATCATAAAAATCTCATTTTTCAAAGGAGGTGAAGCATTCTGTTCTCCATCAATGTTTTCTTCTATATAATACGAACACCTAAATATACTCAAGGAGATTGGGCGGAGCGAGCGGAGCGAATGGGGGGCGGAGCCCCCCTCGGTGGGTGAGCGAAGCGAGCAAGGGGCGAACCCCTTCAGTAATAAATATAAATAAACAATAAACGTTTCTTTATTTAATATTTTTTGTAATTGAGACAAAGCAGAAATTTTCAGGGTCCATATGGGGATTATATGGGGGTCATATTGGGGTCTAATAAATGGGAAAATGAACGGTTGAGTCCCACGACAAAAGGCGTTGTTTGAAACCTTTTGTAAATATTAAAAATCTCATTTTTTCAAAGGAGGTGAATTATTCTGTTCTCCATCAATGTTTTCTTCTATATAATACGAACACCTAAATATACTCAAGGAGATTGGGCGGAGCGAACGGGGGGCGGAGCCCCCCTCGGTGGGTGAGCGAAACGAGCAAGGGGCGAACCCCTTCAGTAATAAATATAAATAAACACTAAACGTCTCTGGATTTAATATTTTTTGTAATTAAGACAACGCAGAAATTTTCAGGGTTCATATGGGGATTATATGGGGGTCATATTGGGGTTTAATAAATGGGAAAATGATCGGTCGAGTCTCACGACAAAAGACGTTCTTTGAAGGCTTTTGTAAATAATAAAAATCTCATTTTTCAAAGGAGGTGAAGCATTCTGTTCTCCATCAATGTTTTCTTCTATATAATACGAACACCTAAATATACTCAAGGAGATTGGGCGGAGCGAGCGGAGCGAATGGGGGGCGGAGCCCCCCTCGGTGGGTGAGCGAAGCGAGCAAGGGGCGAACCCCTTCATTAATAAATATAAATAAACACTAAACGTCTCTGTATTTAATATTTTTTGTAATTAAGACAACGCAGAAATTTTCAGGATTCATATGGGGATTATATGGGGGTCATATTGGGGTTTAATAAATGGGAAAATGATCGGTCGAGTCTCACGAGAAAAGGCTTTGGTTGAAGCCTTTTGTAAATAATAGAAATCTCAATTTTTCAAAGGAGGTGAATCTTTCTACTCCCCATCAATTTTTTGTTCTATATAATATGAACACCTAAATATACTCAAGGAGATTGGGGGGTGGGGGCGGAGCCCCCCCTCCGTGGGTGAGCGAAGCGAGCAAGGGGCGAATCCCTCCAGTAATAAATATAAATAAACAATACACGTAAATTAATACTGAATAATATTGATGAAAAATCAATCGATCGAAATAATTCACAGGTGGTTTGAAAATCTGGGAATGCACGAATGACTTGAGTCAATACTTAATCACTCAAAAAGTTGATTTAAAGAGCAAAAAGGTTCTTGACCTAGGCTGTGGCGCAGGTGTCCTTGGGATCATCACTTTATTGAAAGGAGCTATCGCCCATTTCCAGGATTACGTTTGTATCCTCTCCTGAGTATTATTAAATAAATATTCAAAGTATTGAGATTGCATTCAGAGGATTTTTTTGTTGCTATAGAATTCCGAAGTGATTCAGTTAGTGACGATTCCAAATATTCTACTGAACCTGAAGGACCGCGATTTGCTTAAAGAAAATTGTAGATTTTTTTCCGGAGATTGGGCCGCTTTTACGGAATTATTTTGCGAGAAATTTCCGCGCGAGGAGGGGAAGTATGATGTGATATTGAGCAGCGAGACTATTTACAATTCCGAGAATCATGAGAAGCTGTATCAAGTGTTCAAGAGGTGTCTGAAGGAGGATGGCGTTGGGTAAAGATGCATTTTTTAATTGAGAATAACTTTTTGTTAAATTAAAAATACAGAAATTTTTTTAATTGAGCATATTTTTGTCGTTGATTTGTTATTTGTTATTCGAGAAGATCAAAGTCCTTATTCAAGAACATCTCTTTAATTTTTTATTGTTGAGGAATTAAGAATAATTTTTTTTTTTCAAATAACAAATAGAGAATTTTTTTAATTGAGGATATTTTTCTTGTTAATGAATTATAAATCTTTATCAAAGAATATCTCTTTAATTTTAATCACTGAAAAAGATTTCCTTCTCACGTAGAAACATCTTCCACTAACAATTCCAACCATTTCTGCCAGGTACATAGCTGGAAAAACATATTACTTCGGAGTTGGCGGAGGGATGCGCCAGTTTGAGAATTTAATCTCGCAAGATGGTGCATTCGATGTTGAAACCGTGTGGACAAGTGAACAGGGTAAAAATAATGTTTCACCTGCCTTCGATAATCCCCATAAACCTTTTAATCATCAACACCAGCGAAAATTTTTTCTAGGCTTACAACGAGAGATACTGAAGTTAACGAGACTGAAGCAGTGATTGTTCGCTATTGCCCGTACAAATAAATAAATTCCACTAATAACAAATTTCAACTAGGCGAACAATGCGCTCAAGGCGACAGTCTCTCGAAGACCCATCCGTCCTCCCCCTGGTGAACTAGGATATTGTCGATTTTTTCGTTCGGATGGGGCCGACGAAAGCGAATTCTGTCGTGGAGGCGATCACTCTGGCCCTGCCAGAATTCCACGGACTTGGGAATGACGATGAAACCTCCCCTAAAACATGAGAGATTACGTAAAATTTAATTTATAACTCAGCACATGTTTTTCTTAAATCTTTCTATTGGCATTTTACTCGAAATTCATTGAAATTCTATTGAAATTCTACGGAAATTCCCATTCTTAATAAATTGATTATTAATAATAATTAATCTGTAATAATTATCTGTTAATTAATTATAATGAATTATTTTCAATTAAAAACTAGTATTAAAAAAATGGTTAGAAAATCTTTCTTTCAAATTAAGTAGCAAAGATCTAAAACGGTTTATCTCCGAATCTAAGGGAGATATCGAAATTTTCATAACAACCTTTTTTGTAGCTCTCAATTCGCTCTACAAAAAAGTTTATAACAAAAATTTTGGTATTTGCCTCAGGTTCCGAGATATTTAACGAATACTGACCGATAGTCAAAGACTCGGTTTTACCGCTTCGCTACTGAATTTTCTCGTGAATAATTTTTTAATTTCCCCGAAAACTCTTTAAAAATTTCCACATACCAGCAAGGAGGTCTGGGTACTTTGCCCTCTGGAAACTGTGCGAGCAGTTCCCTCTCCTTAATCATCAATGTATCGCGTCCAGCAATTGGTGCACTCTGTTTACTCGCGTGTGCCCCAATCTGACTGGGGAATGGTCTCGTCGAGAAATATATGTCCGAGTCTTCCTCGGAGGTTTTCTCGACCCGCCCTTCAATGCGCACCTGAAAATTCAACGTCGGAATTATTTCTCCAATATCCCCTGACCTTTCTTAAATTAATTAACACCATTGAGATGAAAACACACCCATGAAAAAATTAAATAGAAAACCTAGTGGATTTCACTAGAAAATTCTATTGGAATTCTATAGAAATTCTATAGGATTTCTATTGGAGTTTTATTGAAAATTCTATTTGTTTTTTGCGCTGATTCTATTGGATATATAATAATAAGAAAACGTCAATAGATTTCGAATTTCTGATTGAATTTTACTCTCAGATTTTTTCTATGAAAACAAAATTTTTTTTTTTTATGAAAAATAAAATATGGGGATAACGACGTGTTACTTTTCATCTCAGAGACTCCCAGGAAAATACCAGAGCTGCATTGGGAGACGCATGAGAAAATTCAATAGAAGACGTATTTCGCTAGAAACTTCTATTGGAATTCTATAGGAATTCTTTGGGGTTTCTACAGGATTTCTATTGAAAAATTCTATTTATTTTTTGCGCTGATTCTATTGGATACACAATAATAAGAAAAAGTCAATAGATTTCGAATTTCTGTTTGAATTACACTCTCAGATTATTTCTATGAAAAAAAAAAAGAATAAAAAAAATAAAAAATAAAATATGGAAATAACGACGTGTTACCGTTCGTCTCAGAGGCTCCCAGAAGAATACCAGAGCTGCATTGGGATTATCTGCCTGGAATGATCATTCAGAGAGTCATTTCAAGCTTCGAAGTGTAAATTTAAGTAATAATACAGCATTTTTAGATTATATTGAATTCGCTCATTTCACGTACCAACTCACGACCCTTTCGGCTCTCGTAATTTGTGTAGAATTTAAATCCTTGAGTGCTGAAACCTTTCAGGAGAACTGGTCTCGCTGAAGGAATTCCATCCCTAGAATAAATTGGCGGAGTGATTCGTCTGAACAAAACGCGTGATGTTCAACGCATTTTTTTTGTTACAAATGTCAAAACACGTATGGAAAAATTCTATAGGATTTCCTATAGCAGTTTCCATGGTCAATTCGAGCATTATCTATAGGATTTTTCAGATAGGATCTCCTATAGAATTTATTATAGAATTTTCTATAGGATTTTTTAATAGAATTTTCTATAGCATTTCCGATTAATTTTCTTTTGTGTTGGATACTCTAAACGATTTCACGAACGAAAAAAATTCATTGAAATATCTAGCGAATTCTATAGAAATATCTAGCGAATGCTATAGAAAATTTTATTGGATTTCTATTGAGAATTCTATTAGTTTTTACTGCGCGCTTATCAATAGAAGACGTCCCCTGGAAACTATTGTACAAAAAAATCAGTAGAATTTCATTTTTCTATAGAAATTTTTTCTATTGAAACATTTTCTATAGAAATTCCTCGCCATTAATTTTTGAAAGTTTTTTTTCCAACTTTTTCCAACTCTACTCATCTTCTCTTTCCATTTAAAAAATCCGCAAAAAGTTAGGGCTGAGAAATTTCTATAGAGAATATCTTAACAAAATGGGTTAACATAAAAATACGGAATGTTATTGATTTTTTTCCGTAGAATACTTTTTATTGAACATTCTCTATTGAAAACCGTGCTGTCGATAACCTGCAGAGTTCTTCAATAGAATAAGAAAAAATTCAATAGAAGTGCAATAGAATTTTCTATAGAATTCGCTAGATTTTTTGTTTTTGTAAAAAAATTTTTCGTGTGTCTAAATGATATTCCCCAGTGCATGTACCTCGTAGCAGTCGCCAGAACCATAGCATTAGGCTCTTGAATACTGGGTAATTTGCATGCAGCATCGAACCAAGCCTTAAACTGCCCAAAGGGCTCCTTGCAGTCCAGCTGATCCTCGGTAAAAGTCTCAGACTTGTCCTTGTATTTGATCCTCATTCCTGAAGAAAAACTCAATTCAATTCATTGATTCCCTTGATGTTGCAGAAGTGATTTCTTTATTCTCCCCTCAGCCTATACATTTTATTTATTTATTTATTTATTTATTGCGGCACGAATCCAACAGAAGACACGAATCCATGACAAAATAAATTGAGCATGCACAAAATAAATTAAGAATGCATTGTTTTCACACAAGAGGTCAGCAGATACAAGACATATGAAGAAAATATAAAAAAATGAGAATAAAATAGAAATAAAATGGAATAATTACGAATGAAAACTATTCTGCGATAGAAAATGAACAAAAAAACAAAGTTATAATAATGTAAATAATTCATAAAATTAATTTCGAATAATTATTTTATATTTTGGTTTTCCTGCGGGGAAGTTCTGTACCTCAAGGCAATAATAAATTGCTTCTAATCTAATCTAATAATTATTACCATTAAAAAATCACTCGAAAGTCTTCATTTTCTGAAATAAAAAGTTTAGGAAAAATGAATAGGAGAGGTTGGGGTAAAACCGACACTTTTGACTTTTTTTAAAAATGTTAATGAGGGGTTGAAATGTTGATAAAATATAATAATTTTTGTTTTCAATCCAAAGAACAATTATTTCTCGTTATGACGAGCCTAAACTGAGCTCAATTGATAAATCTGTTTCTGAGTTATGAATAAATAAAAAAAAGTCTAAAGTGTCCATTTTACCCCACCCGCCCCTAATCGCTGGAGGATTTTCGCTCAAGTCAATGAATATTCGGAAAAAATAATTTCTTTCTCCCTGGATAAATCCGTCACAGTACAAGCCTCAAGAAAAACAATTAATCCCAAAGAAAGCGAATAAAAAGAATGGCCCCTCCATTTTAAATTACGATGTATTGACCTCCCAGATCAACGCTGTACGCAGCATTCGACGAGGCCTTGGTCGTTGACATGATTGTTGAAAAACAGATAATGTTGCGTTCCACCAAGATACCTTTGACAATCGACCCCAAACATACACGCGCTGTCATCAAGTGTTGGTGCGTCGCGCTGAGGAATAACGAGTTTATGAATTATCTTCGATAAATTATCAGAAGTGTAAGTTCTGCATTCGATACCATTATTTTGGCCAATCGCCATGTTTTCGGGATTGTACTCACGATATTCCGAAGACGTGGAGGCAATAGCAATTATCACTGCTGTCTCTGGAACATATGCCACTGACGCTTCGAAATTTCCTTGAATTATTGCATAATGTTTACCATTGGAATCGAAAAATATCATTCGCGATCGGATGACAGCGGTGGAATGGAGGACTCCGTCACTGATTAGGGAGAGCGGTGGATAAGATTGGAGAATATAACGGAATTTTGCGGTCTGAAGGCCGTGGAACAGCTGTGAAGGGATTCAATTGATGGGGGAGATAATTTCCTTTCGTTTCTTTTTGGGCTCTTGGGGAAAGGGAATGGGCATTCGAAATTGGTTGAATAGTTTCAGGAAATGTTGATGTTTGTCGGTGAAGGAGGAAAGGGGCTCCGGGGACGATCATAACCTAGAATGGGTCGTTTGGTAATTGAAATGTAGAATTTTTTTATTCAAAAACAATAAAAAATGAATTTAATTGGTACACGAAAAAATTTAAGGGAAAATCACAGCGAATTCGATAGACAATTCCAGTGGATTTCTATTGAACTTTTTATTAGGTTTTGGCCGATTCTGGGGAAAAGTTTAATAGAGAATATTCTATAGGAATAGTCAATAGAATTCGATTTTTATGTACAATTTAATTGAGGTATTTTTGTAGAATTTTCTCGGTTCACATTTTCCAAGTTTTTTCAACTCTAGGTTTTTTTTCTCTTCATTACGAAAATCAAACAAAAAAACTTGGAAAATTTGAGCCCAGGAAATTCTATAGAAATCCAATAGAATAGACTAGCGAATTCGTTAGATTTTTCTATTAAATTTTGTTATATGTTTTGAGTTCAGTTGAATGTTGGAACGTGAAAAATTTATTAAACGGGTCTTGTGTGGGAATTCACTAGCTTTTTCATGCACTTTTTGTGGAAAATTTTCACTAAGAATGAGATAAAAAAGATGAACAAATTTTTATTTTTGATATAATCGTTGAACAAATATACAAAAAAATACCCTTCCATTTCTCTATTCGAAATAAATTAGAGATTGTAATGGTGGTTGATAAAGCCTAATTTGAATTGTTAAACAAAGAGAGATATGAAGATTTTTATGAAATTCTGGTTGTTGTTCACATTTTGAGGGTTTATGTCGTTATTTTGAGCATTTGGTGGTTTACATAATTGCTTTGAACACTCTGTAGTCCTGGATCTTGAGAAAATATTGTAGTTTCCTGTAGATTTTTTAAAATAAAAATTCCTGAGCTTAAATTTCATAAATTTTTAATCAGTCCATTTTTTCGTTTTAAAAAAACTTTGGAAATTCATCTCTTTGAATTTTTATGAACAAAAATCTATTGATTTTCTTCTATAAAATATTGCTTCCAAATATTTGAAATGGAGAAAAAATAGAATTTTATAGAGTTTGAGACATTTCAGTTAAACTCTCGTTTCACGCATTCATCCACTCGATTTTTTCATATTTCCTGAGCCTTTTTGTTCTTCACAAAATTTTCTCGAGCCAGTCCTGCAGCTGTTCAATCTCGGCCGAGGTTTCGGACTCTTTGCTGAAGGCACTGCACTCAGCGAACTCAATTTTCATGCTCACGTCGTCGAATTCAAAGTCCTTCCCCTCTTTACCGAGGAATGTGTTCGTTGAGGATGCGTCGGTGGCCTCGAGTTGACTGGACTTCGTCACACGAACGAGATTCAACTCCTTCTCCAGGAGATTTCTGATGACTTTGCAGCCCTTCGCCAATGCTTGGTCTTGTTTATTGCAGAGGACGAGGATCGGGAGGGATTTCTGGAGTGACGAGTCACAGAGCAAAGTGTATAAGAACCTGAAGAAAATAATGGATGAAGGAAATTTGACAGAAAAACCTAGAGAATTCGCTAGAAAATCCTATTTTAAAAATTCGCAGTTCATCTGCATATTTTTTTCAATAGAAATGTTCAATGGAAAATATCCTCTAAGAAAAACCAATAGAATTCAATTTTTCTTGTATTTTCCAAAGTTTTTTCGTTTAATTTTTGAAATAAGGAAAACTGAACGAAACAAATTTGTCGAGGAATTCCTATAGACAATGTCTCAATGGAAAAAAATCAAATTCCACTGGTTTTTCATACAGAATATTTTGTATTGAACATTCTTTATTAAAAAATTCAGAGGAGAGTTGCGGAATTTATTCTCTTGACACAACTTACTCTGCAACATCACGAATATCTTTTTGGAAAGTCACGGAGTCGATCACGAAGATTAGACCTCTGGCTGATGATTTGTATTTATCAAAAATTCTGTATCTCAGTCTCTCGTGGCCGGGGATGTCGACAATTTTGAGGGAATTCTGAAAAAGAAATTTAAATGTTCTGGACATTTCCAATGGAATTTGCATGAAAGAATTCGTGAATTAAATTGTGAATGGTTTCTTCGCATTAAATAAACTCTATTTGACTCAAATAAATTGTTTATTTGATTTTAATAATTACTTTGGATTGAATAAATCAGTTATTTCAAATAATTGAAACGATTTTATTGAAATGAACTCGGGAATTTATCAATTTCTAGCGAAAATATTGATGAAATGAGTGGAAAAATTCCAAATGAAGATGTTTTCCTATTTAAATGCATCACTCCTTTGATTTCGTGATCCTCCAGACATTAGAATTATTCTGAATATTTCCTACGAAATTTGCATGAAAGAATTCGTGAATTAAATTGTGAATTCCTTCTTCGCATTAAATCAACTCTATTTGAATCAAATAAATTGTTTATTTGATTTTAAAATTACTATTCCATTAAAAAAAAGAAAGATGCGAAATTCAAAGAAGTTGACACTGATAATTCAACTCACGTCTTTAATTTCGATATCATCCACATTTTCTTTTGCAGATGTGTACGTTTCGATGAAACGCGAATGAATCAATCGCGCATACAACAATGTTTTTCCAGCATCACAAAGACCTGTGATGAGTACACTCCGACCAACAGATTTTTTCCTCTGCCATACGATGAATGCAACTGCAATGATATACCATCGATAAGCCCTGAGGCATTTATTTTTGTATTAATAGCATGATAATGTTATCATGTGTCGCGGAGGCATGATGGACCCATTCGTTTATTATATTTATAATTATAATGTACTTTGTAGGTATTTTTTATTTCTCATTCTTATTATGTTTTATAATTACTGTAAATACAATGACATACGGTTTATTTAGATAGGTTTTTGTGGTGTGACTAATGTTTTTGTGGGAAACGCACATGTTGGGGGTGAAATTAAATATATTTATAGAGTTATGAATGGGTGAGGTTGCTTTATTTTGTATGATAATTTTTTTTATTGAATTCAAAAATAATTAATTCACTGGACTTCAGGAAATTTCATAGTTTGATGGAAAAATCAATTGAATATGTGAATTTCGGGTCAATCATTCCATGAAAATGAATAGAAATAAGGAATATTCAGTGAAATTTCGAAGAAGTTGGAGAATTCTTGTTTCCTGCAGCTAAAAAATTTGGAATTCTATTTAATTTTCAATGAAATATGAAATTTCCAATGAAATGAAATGCAATATGAAATTTCGAATTCTATTGACATTCTATTTGAAATCTACTGAAAATCTCTTAGAATTCCATTGAAAAATCTATTTTTTTTTCCAAATTTCTATGGAAAAAAAATTTAACAAATAACTCATATGTAAAAATGAAAATTTATAGTTATTTCTACGAAATATTTGCAAAAAATCACAGAAAAAAAGCGAAATTTCAAGAGAAATTGACGAAAAAGAATAGGATTCCCTAGCAAAAAACGTTAGATTTTCTTCTATTAATTTTTTTTCATAAATATTTATCATTCAGCAACAAAAAAACAACGAACTGATGAGGTTATCCCATGAAAATCTATAAAAATAAAGGAAGTACATAATTACCGATTGTCAAAACGACCGCAAAAATAGCAACAATTATCCCAAATAATTGCGAAGCCTCATTGTCCTCCAGTAGTGCCTCAGCTCGTTTTTCCATAATTCAATTATTCACTGTTATTACCCGAAGTTTACTATTCCAGACGGTCGGAGAACATGTGGAGTCGGCGGTAAACGTAAGCACAAATGAGCGCTGAGTACTGGTAAACGGGTACCCTCTCTTATCGGAGAAACAACAAGTGCTATTTCGGGAGTTCGGGGTGACCTTGACCAGAGAAAGTCATGTTTCATTGCGTTTTATTCGTGGATATTCTCATATCGACGTATTTCACATATTTAAAAATAGAAGGATTTTTGTGTCGATAATTTATCATTGGTTTCTTAGGCATTTTACTTATCATCAGAGTTAGAATTTCTAATTCTTGGGCTCGATTAATTTTCTAATGCATAGTTTTAGTTTCAGTTTTAATTTCTATAAAATTTAATTTTATTTCGTGACTCGAGATGAAAATAATTAATTAATTTTAAGCACTTAAAAAATGCGAAATTGATAAGTCTGGGCGCTGCCATCTTGTTTACATTGGAGGTGTCTTTGAAGATGGCGGCGCCTCACCTCGCGTTTTTAAACATTTACTCAAATTATTTATCCTCTTCAGATCACCTTCAACTCACTTCATCCGGTTTCTATAAAATGAAAAAAATTTTTAATTCATCTCTCAGATTTTTCCATCCCTTTTTGGCTGAGAATTCGTGGCGCAAAGTTTTCCTCGGACTTTAGTATTTTTTTCTCACTCCCGAAGCCTCTTAATACCCTGCGTAACCTTATTAATTAATTATTGGGGGAAAGAATGCACAGCTGAATACAAAAAAATGTAAAGAAACATCAAAATTTTTATTTATAATTCAATATTTCGTGATTCTCCACTCGCGCAAGTAAATAATGCGCGCTTTCTTCAATTATCCATAATGATAAAAAAACACTCATAATCATCTCCTCCCTTTCAAGAACTAGGAAGAGATTTAAAACTAACAATGAAGGTTCGAATTTCCATGGGCTTCAGCAAGACATTAACAGCGCCATCTAGAATCCTCACTTGTGGCCTAGAATTTCCTAAATCCGGAGAGCCTTCGTTAGTCTCACTGGACCACTGAAGACGCCGTTTGTCCTCAATCCACTGGTTCCCGCCGAGGGTGGTTTCCCTGACCTCGACGACATCGAAATCCATAAAGAGATCGGCTATGTTGACCTCCGCTGGTTGCGACATCTGCGCAGCCTCGCCGATTTCATACAGATGCTCTAGCCTCAAAAGAACCTGATCCTCCTTCCACGGTTCAAGCGTCAGTATGTGGATATTCGGGGGCAGCCTCTTCCTGAGTCCTCTCACCTGCATGATGTAATTGCTCTGCCACTGCTCGAAGGTTAAATTCTCCACCGGAGTGACCAGCACCCAAGGTTTCAGGGCCAGTGACAAGGCAAGGGACTTCTCCTTGGAGGCCGCAGCATCGAGATCCTTCAAGCTGCTGCCAACGAGATAATGCACACCCCTGGCGACAAGGCCCTTCCCAAAGGCCTGCTCATTCAGAGCCTCGTTGACCCCAAAAGCATCATCATTCAGCAGTCGCCTGTGTATCATGACCTCCAGCTCTCCGTCCTTCATGCTGCTGCCGCCCTGCGCCCTGTCATTCAGAACACTCATCCTCAACTGCTTGGCATCATCCCTCAACGAGATCTTCGCCGTCACCGGGTAGTAGTTCCCAGCGACAGGTTCACTCAGATTAAGCGTCCACGTAGGCCTGAAGTCCCTGACCCTCTTCAACATTTCCCGTCCATTGCTATCCGTAAAAAACACTCCCTTCGACTCCAAATTACTCGAGAACTTGCTCACAATTTCTTTTCCGATAGAATCATCCACAGAAATGGGTCCTGCGACCCAGTCGAACTCGATCTTGTCCTCCCCGTTGTAAATCCTGACGACTTGGCTGACGTAACTGTTGACGATCAGATGCAACTCCTCGACGAGAGGTCCTTTGTAGAACTTATGGAAGCCAGAGTAGCTGAAGTCATGGACCAGCGAGCTGTTTGGCCGGAAGATGTACGCCCCAGATGCCCTGTTCTTGAACTCCGAGTTGTTTCCTTTGGCGCCTTGATAGTACTTGAAGGACTGGACGACCCGCAGGTCCATGTTCTTCCACTGCACGTGGACGTCACCAGCGTCGTCAACGGAGATGTCGTAGAGATCGCCTCCGATGGAGGAGACGTTTTCGGGACGAGTGATCTCGTCGTAGCTGTCGTCGCCATCCTTCTCGGTTATGAAGAAGGATTGGTAGCCGAGGGGCGGGATCTCCAGAGCCCTGAACACCAGTTCTCTGGTGGCTTTGCTCGTCCGTCCAGGGGCTTGCGACACAGGAGCCGGGACTGGAATCAACTGCGTCACTATTTCCGTTCCGATGTAGTCTTTGACGATGTAGCCAGCTCCCTTCACCGGAATGCGGACGTAGGTCGACACCGGATGACTTCTGGGGTTGTACAAAGTCACGGTGAAGGTCTTGGAGTCTTCGATCGGTTGGCAAGAGCTCACGTTCAGCAAAAGACAGGACTTGAAGTCCCGGGCAGCTGACGGCTTGCCTCTGATCGAGAGCTTGCCGATCGTTGTCGAGACGATCTTCTCACCGCGGACTATGGCGTCGGTTAGGAGACGCGCGTAATCGTCCGCGACCTGCTGCTTCTCCGTTCCGGTCACCGCATCGTGATGCTGCATCACTCCCATCGCTTCTCGGAAGAGTTCCAAGTCTTTGCTGTCGCCGGCGTTCGTCAGGACTGCCAGCTGCTTGACGATCTGCAGGAAGTTGTTGCCGAGACGCTCGAAGTACTTCAGGGTGGGGCGCGAGGTGAAGTAGCCCGTCCAGAAGGCATGGGGGTCGCTGCTGTAGGGAAAGAGGTCGTCGGTCTTGGTGGGAAAGGTCTTCCCGGCTTCGTTCACCGATTTCAGGTAGCAGGACGGCGTGGAGTAGAAGACGTTCGCTTTGTCGCCGTAGATTTTGTTTGTGTATCTGTGATAATGATGGAAATTTTCCTTAGTGGAAGCCAAGATATTGACGATTTTTTTTTACGAAGAATAAATATGTGACGTCATGACATCATGATTTAACCTAATGGATGCGCGCGCATCTGCTTATCGAAATATAGAGAAGTGGATGCTAGCGCCAGCGGCATGTCATGATAAGAAAACGGCCTCCAAGAGTAGAATATTAATTATCAAGGCCTTACAGACCCATTTTCACTCATTATGAAGATTCAAAAAATCCATTACCCGATTAATTCATCAAAACAAGATATTGATGAATTTTTTTTTTTAATAATAAATATATGCCGTGATGAAGGAAAATTAGAGGGTCCGAATTGCTGGCAAATGTAAAAGGAATAGTCTACTACGTCCGTCAAAAAATTCATTTCTTTCATTAAATTTCATAACATCAACGTTTCATGACGTCATGATTTAACCTAATGGATGCGCGCGCATCTGCTTATCGAACTATGGAGAAGTGGATGCTAGCGCCACCGGCATAATAAGGCCTGCAGATCCATTTTCACTCATTATAAAGATTCCAGAAATTAATTACCTGATCAATTTATCCAGATTAGTAAACCACATATGGGCGTCTTGATAATTAAAGTCTTCTCCCATAGTAAGAATGACATTATTTGTGGCATAAGCCTTCGCTTGAACCTGACAGAAGGCCAAGAACAGAGCCACCTGTTGAAGATAATCCCCATTTTGGGATGAGAGCTTATTTTTAATCATGAAAAATCGGGGGAATTGTTGTCTTTTGAATCTTTGTAATTTGTTCAATGGGTATCGGCACCTGTTGAGTCTAATCAGTAGTGAGAACATCGATATTTCGTACCTTATCAGTCTATCCAAGTTTACGAAATACTGTTCAGCCAGCTGATACGTGAAATCACCGCCCATTGTGAGAATTATGTTATTCGATTTGTAATGCCTTCCTTGCTCCAGTACGTAATCGTAAAAGGATTTGAGCTGGAGAGGAAAAATTTTGTGTCAATTCCATGGATTTTCAATGTTTTTCTAAATTAATCTTTCCACTTTCACACATATTTGGGCGACAGTTATGCGTATCCCATGAACAAATTACGAATTCAAAACGCAAGCACAGTCCACACAACAACAATTTTCATAATTGGAGATGAAAAGGCGGAAAGATACCTTCGATTTGATGTTGTAATCGGGACTCTTTGGATCATCGATCAATGGCTCGTCCTGACACAGGATGTCGAAGCAAAATCCAGGAGGTGGACTGTAATTATTGAAGAGAGCGACTGAAAAAAGCTCCGCACTCTTGCCTGAAAGAACAGCATTAACATTTCGATGTCACGAAGAGCCGAATAGAATAACTTTTAATCATCTTTCAATGACAATTTAGAATGCGGAACATTTCGAAAGTATTTTCGAAGGGCCTATCACCTAGACTGGAGCTTGCTTTCCATATGTATTCCGCGGATTTCTCGGACATTCGTTTCGTCTTGTCCTGCCAATCAAGACGTCCGAAGAACATTCCGTCAAATCCAAATTGAGCGAATAGGGAGGCTTGCTCGCGTGAGTGGCCGAAAGGATCTATCTGCCAGCCAATTTTCGGACGAGCGCATGTTCCAAATGTATCGTTCAAGCGTCTGCAATTATCAATCTTCGTTAAGACCGAGAAATTAAAGTGGGTGATACAAATAGCTTCTTTTTTCCCTTTTTTCTTTAAGTGCAACAGATCAAAGCTAAGATCAAATTGATTTGATGAGTTAAGAAGGAATAAATATAAATAAGTTTAGGTAAGACTACTTAATTGTAAGTTACGTTGTAATTGATACTAGTCGAAACGAAAATTTTGTATCTAGTTATTAGAACAGCCCCTATGGCATTTATGTTTTCTTGTGATTACTCAATATTGTTTGTAACACGTTATTGTACTCAATATTTCTATCTGGGATTTAATATTTAAGGGAAGGGAACAAAAATGTAATGACCCGAGAGAGTATACATATGGATGAATAAAATAGATATAAATAAGTTTATATTTATTAAATTTATTCTGAAGTTTTTAGAATAAAAGTGAATATGAAAAAATAGTGAATAAAAAATATAAATGATGTTATTATTCCCAAAAAAGCAACATGATGAAGCTTCGAATTAATATAAATAGTGGAATATATGAGGTGACGTTGAGAAAACAGGAAATAAAAAAATAAAACTCGAGTGCTCACCTGAATCCCCAAGTGGATTGATCAATAATAGAGTGATAATGAGTTGTGGCTTCGTCATTCATACTCCACGCTCCTCCGATGATCTCCAGTCTCCCTTCATTGATGAAAGTCTTCACCTCCTCGCGGATTTTATCATTCTGCCGCAGCCACCACTTCCATAAGAATGCAGTCTCCACGTAGATGAATCTGAGAAATTAATCCGTAATTATGTGGAATATCTGATGAGCGTCGGAAAAATATACCCCAAAAAAAGAAATCCATGAAAGTAGAGAGAAAATGAAAAACAACAAAATTGTTGAAAAATAAAATATAGATAAATATATTTCATGTATGGAATAAAATGTATAATTGTCTTCGATGGAAGTTAATTAGCCGATGGTATTTACCTCCTTTCAGGGTCCTTTCGCAGCGCGTCTACCACTGTATCGAGAATATACTCCACGCCTGCCTTTTGAATGTTATTTCGTCCTTGATGAGTTACCGGAAAATATTAATGAGTCAGCAAACGAAAGAATTAATAATATTGATGAGTTGAGAATTTAGAAAATTGACGAGAGTCGAGGTTCAAGGTCAGATGGGCTGTCTGTAAATATTGACGTTCTAAATCTCGTGAATTAGTCCGCAGATATTGGATATTTGTAGTCAACCGCAATTTCGATTATTAAACTGACAAAACAATTTTATAGGCAAAACTAGCGAATTCGATAGAAAATTATCTACACGTTTTTTGGTAGAAATTTTTAATGGAAAATGTGCTATTGAAAAAAATGTTCGCATTCGATTTGTTTTGAAAATTTCTTCGGCCTTTGTTAAATTTTTGGTTAAATTTTCTTGATTATTTTCTCACTGTGCCCATTGAGTCAGTGTGACCAATGGACACAGTGGAATCTCTGCATTATCGGCCGGCTGCATGACTGAGGTTTTCCATGGTTTCCCTGACAGTCCAATCCCGAATGGGGTGCAGTTGGGGATAAAGTACGTCGGCCCATGGTAACGCAGATAGGGAAGGGAAGAAAATGTAAAAACCCGAGAGGATATACATATCGACCCAAAAATAGAAAAAAAAAAGATCAAAAAAACTTGATCGAGACATTCGTAAAGAAAATGTATAGAAACATGAAATTCCACTCATTTTTTCTGTAAAAAATTTCTATTAGATTTTCAAAACAACTTCAACAGAAATCTAATAGAATTTTCTGTAGAATCCGCAAAGTTGTTAGAAGAAATATTTCCTCTCGCGTAAAAACGCTGAATTGAATTTCAAAATATTCCTCACCTCCGAAGAAATATTGATCAACCGTTTTCAACCATCCAACATCGTCATGTGTATGTGCTACCAAGTGGATATTAAGTTTCTTCGGATCAGGTTTCGGGCATCCCTAAAACCAGTGAAAAAAACCGCATGAAAAAAAAACAGAATAATTCCGCGACAATGAAAATATCCGTTGAAAATAAAATCACTTCATAACCACAGCTTCGCGCTGCCTCTAAATTCCTCGTGAACACCCCAGCCTGGACAATCACCAAGAAACAAGAGATTGCAATGAAGGCGCACAGTATGCGTCCGAACATGACCGTGTGGTATTTGCTGAACGCACGACGATACTACCTAATGAGATAATGAAACCCGTCCTCTTATACTTGTACGGATTATCATGTCGAGAACACAGTGCGAGTGTATAGGTAACGCCGGGCAATGATCATGTTTGCCTGGCTTGACCCTCTCTCGGACAATGCAAAGGCGTAGAGTAAGCAGAAGGATTGAGATAAGTATTGGTGGAGCTATGAGGAGAGTGATAACATTTTCGTGATAAGAATGTTTAAATGAAATTCCATGTCAAGTTGGTGTAACCACAATATTTGTGTGTAACTGGACAAAGATGTTGACTATTTTCCTCACGTATTATTTTTATTTATTTTTAACGGAATTCGTCGCAAGAAACTTGCGACTGGCCATCGCCCGAGGGCCTTCAGACTGGTCTTACGTATTATTTTCGTAGGAATTCGTATCGAGTTTCCCATTTCTTATACTGCGATTTTCATTTCACTTAAACTGACTGTATAATTGATAAAACAAATTATTGGCGGAAAGGACCGGGAAAAAAAATTGATAACAACTCGCTTAATTTTTATTTTCTTATATTTATCATCACGATCGGTGCAATATTATAGAAGAATATAACCATTTCTCAAATTTCTTTATATTTACTCCCACACATAATTTATTTCCGTTTCTTGGCCTCTTCGGCTGCCTTCTTCTCCTCCATCCTTCTACGCCGAGCTTCCATTTTCTTCCTCCTCTTCGCCGCCATCTTCTTCCGCTTCTTCAGAGCCTTTCGGAGGCCTCGATAAGGTCCCAATTGTCGCCTCACCATACACCCCCTCCACAGGGCCTGAATGACTGCGGCTGCGCGATGGATCGCATCCCAGTACGCCTTCTCCTCCGCCATAACCTTCCTCCGCGTGACGCAGTCATCAATGAACTCCTGTCGCTCTCTCGATAATTTCGTGTTCCTCTCCAGCTGCCTCTCAGCCTCCTCAATATCCTGCTTCTTGTACTCGATCTCCTCGTCGAGCTGATCGATCTCGTCATTGAACAGAGTCATCCATTTCCCGTAAGCCGCCTCCATCTTGTTGATTTCCTGCTGCAAGTATGCCCTGAGCTCCTCCGACACGACTTCCTCCGCCCCCTCCTTGCGATCGTAATCGCTCAGCTGATCCTGGAAATTCTGCTCCTGCATCTCCAGCCGCAACCTCTGACCCTCCAATCGCACGCTCTCCCATCCTCTGACGTATCCCAGTTTTGATTTACTCAGGAAAATGGCGTCGTCTATGTCCGCGGCTGACTCATGCACTCCGCTGATCCATTTTCTCACCTCAATTTCACTGTCGAGTCTCTCGGATTCGATTAATGCGACGAGTTGATCCACTTGCTCCGTCCAGATTTCGTGATTGACTTCTAAATTATGCTCGTTCTCTGTGGTTTTCGCTATTTTTTCTATCTCATACTCCAGGCGGTCGTATCGACGGTACTCCCTCAGCTCATCCAGCATCTCCTTTAAGACGTTGTAGATGTATGTTCTGGAAATGGGAGAAATTATTGCATGAAGTCAGTTTTTGACGTGGATACGTCTATCGTTTTCGTTTTGAGGGACATTTTGTGCATAGGTAGATATTTACTAACGCTGTCTGTTGGCGTATAGGGAAACTAAGTCGATAAGTACGGAGTTCACTTTACCGACTGTCATTAAACGTGGACTTGGGTTGAAACGACGTTTTATAGCACGTTTCACGTGGTGATGAGTAGAACAGAGATACAGTAGAACTGGCGAAAGAGTTCCACTGGGAATTGTAGGTTATTCATCGAGCTCTCATTGTCCCATACTCCTCTCAGTGGAACAATCTCGCCAGTCCTACTGTACATGTAAACAAACATTCTCACGCAGTTCTCACACATTAAAAAGTGTTCCCTTAAGACTGTTTAATTTTTTAATTTCCCGAGTATCTACGTAATATAGACGTATCCACGCAAAACTTACGGCTAAATCAGCGATACAGCCAACCAGGATTTTTTTTATTATTTTAAGATTTATGCACGTTTTAGAGGAGAAGACGAACCAGAAAAGTGGAAAATGTGACCCTGTATGTGGGGGGGGGGCTAGCCCCTCTCCCAGACAGTTTAAATTTTAGTTTTAGTTTTAATTTTAAATTTAGATACCTCGAGAATTCGATAGCAAATTCTACCAGATTGTGGCCGATTCTATCGAAGAAAGAAGGAGGGGGGCTGAGCCCTCCCCCCGGAACATTTGAAGAAAAAGGAAATAAGGAAGACGAAATGAAATTACTATGAAACTGGAACAAAAGTCAGCTTTAATTTTTAATCCAGACACTTCAAGAATTCAATAGAAAATTCTACCAGTTTTTGGCCCATTCTAGTGAAGAATTTTTTCGCTTTACTGCGCATTATTATAGAAAATTTAGAATAGAAACTATTTTATAGAAAAAATCACTGAAATTTCATCTTTCAATACAACTTCTTCTATTGACACATTTTCTATAGGAATTCGTTGATATGAGTTTGCCCAGTTTTTTCCACTCTTTTTTCCTCTTTTCATTAAAGAAAACTAAACACAAAGCATTAGAAAATTTGAGGAGTTCTACCGAAAAAAAATGTGTAGAATATTTCTACAGAATTTCTATAGACTTCTTTTTTACAGAAGTCCTCAAATAAATTCGATATAATTTTTCTATAGGGAAATTTTATACAAAAACTCTATAGAAGATTCATGGACATTATTCCTATAGAAAGTTCAATAGTCATCCAATAGAATTGTCCAGCGAATTCTCTAGATTTTCCTCTGAAATGTATCTGTACATGGACCTCTTAGAAGAGAAAAATTCATCCAGAAAAATTGAAAAAAAAATTTCTATAGAATTCCCATTTGTGCACTTCGGAATAAAAAAACCGAAAAAAATTATTCGTGCACCTATCCCTCTGCAGTTTCTCGGCCGCAATCGGGATCAGCGGGGGCAGGCCCAGATACTCTCGTAGGCTGTACGCCGGCTCTTCCGGCACATCATACTTCTCGTCAAAATCCTGATCATCCTCGTCCCACCGCTCATCAACCTCCGCGGGGATTCTGTACCTTATCAACTCTAGCTGATTCAGAACCCTCTCAATGACGTCTCCATACGCGTCCGCCTCTTCCGGGTTCAGGTCCACCCTTCGGGGTATTTCCAGGATCATGCTCCTCACGGGAATGTTGTCGGACAGTCGCAATCGGCTGCTGGATTTTCTGGACAGTTCCGCACTCGGTTGACTAGAATTTCGACTTTTCAACCCTTTCTCATTTGCTTTTTTCATTGCCTTGAAGAATACTGATGACACCCGGGACAAATCACTGCGAGAAGCGAATATTGTCTTCCTTCGCGCCTCGATTTCCTTGAGAGTCTCCTCGTCGTACTGTCCGACATCTCCCAGTCTTTGTTTCGATGGTTTTGCAGAGGTTCTTGTAAAAATCGAAGAGGATTTCTTCGCTAATTCTTCAATCTTCGTGGATTCTCCTCGCAAAGAGGCACTAGGCCCACACATAACAAAAATTATTGAAAAATTTCGCATTTTTTGAAGAAATTCCATTGAATTTTTATTGGAACTCTATACGAATTTTATCTGTCTTATTAGAATTCTATTAAACAATTCTGTTTTTTTTTGCCATTTTTTTATTCATTCATTCATTCATTTATTTATCTCTTTATTTATTAGAGGGCTGCGCCGTCTCGCTCGCTCCCCCTCCCCCCGCGACTGTTCGAGTCCGAAAGAATTGATTTTGTTTTATTTTATAGTATTATTTTAATCTTTTTAAGGAGACTCGATTCATTGTTATGCATGGGTCTTACATGAAGGGTTTCTATATAACCATTTAAAATTATTATGAATGTGTTACCCCCCTTTTCCTATCTTCCCTCCATCCCCCCTAATATCACCTATTTTTTCTCAATATTGAATTGTAACTTTACACAGGTAATTTACAGTTGAATTTATTCAAGATCAATAAATTTTTGAGTTAAAATAAAGTAAGGAACTCCTAGAAATATTTTAAATCTGTTGTATAACAGTTTTATCTGGAGGAATCGTCCGGCCGACCTTGAGCCAACATTCGGCCGACCGTTGGCCGACGTTGAGCTGACAAAAATCTTATCTGAACGCCCCCTATTTTTAATTATATAGAGAGATGTTCTCCGGTATTTTCATTTGTTTCTCATAATCAAAATTCAGTAAATGTTAAACTAGGTTAAGTCGATTTTGACTTTTGCTCAGTTGTTGATGAATATCTCGGAATCTAAGAGAGATGACAAAATTTTTTTCATAACCTTTGTTATAACCTTCAATTCGCTCTACAAAAAAGGTCTTGACCAAAATTTTCCTATCTCTTTTAGATCCCTAGGTATTCGTCAAAAGCCGGCCAATAGTCAAAATCGACTTGACCCGGCTTACCGCTTCGCTACTGACTTCAAGAAAAAAAATGGAACAATTATGTTCAAGAATTGTTTTAAAAAAATCAACATCTATGGACGTTTTTCTGTAGACAAATATCTATTTAAAAACGCGAGAGGCGTTACAGATTTTTTTTATAGAATTGACGCAAAAAGAAATAGAATCATTCAATAAAAATTTTTTATTGAGAAAGCGTTAGGTTTTTCTATTGAATTTTTTTTCATACATCTCATCACTCCTGTCCGGATGATCCCCAGAAGCCCCTCGGAGTGCTATCGACGATTTAAGTTTCTGATCGATATTCAGATTTACCGGTATCTCGAACATGACTTTCCCACTCTCCATCGTTCGCCGGAGCTCTTTCTCCTCTTCCTATATAGTTCATCGAGGTAAATATTTTACAGATCGCCGGGATTAATTCGAGATGCGTTCGGTGCCACTCACATTTTTTATCTGCTCCATTGATCCTCAACATTTATTCAAGCTCAAATCCGCCCAGTACATGGCTGCTGCGATGACTAGGAATATGGGAATGGATATTTTGGATTTTATCTGCTCCCAAGACATCGTTGTTGTTAATTTGGTTATTTTTTCGGTGAGACAAATGAAATCGGTTCGGTCACTCTTTTGGGTAAACGAACATCGATGGGCTTTTTAATTTAAAGGTTTTTGACTGATATTTCCAGTGCATTTATTGGAAATTTTTATCAAGTGACGGTTTCACTGAAATTTCAGGGAATTTTGCCATTCAAAATTCATGATTTGACGAAGTAATCAATAAAAACTGGACATTTTAGCTTTATTTGCCCATGAAAATGAAAAAAAAAGGGGAAATTGTAGTCAATATATTTTTTAACTTACAATTAATTAAAAATTCAAGTAGAGAAACACATTCTCGTCTTCTTGTCTCTAAAAAATTTGGAATTCTTTTGGGATTTCGTAATTTTTTCCTGCCCTAAAAATAGTTCTTTTTCCTCAAATAAAAAAATTACTAAAAAAACCAGTTCTCCTGACAATATTTTTCCTAAACATCTCGGACAGCCGGAGAATAATGTATACACTTTCAGATATCAAAAATAAATTTGATGCTCTAGATAGCAACATCGATTAACCTGTCTTTTTAATGTGAATCAGCTTGGTGAAGGGTTCCGAGCATATTTTCCGGCCGAGTACTGGCTACAACCTGTTGAATTAATTTCCAGCTTGATTTATACCATTATGGAAATCTCGTAGAATAAACTCTGGAGTTTCAGACTTTCGGAGCTGCGACGTTTTATCTCTGGTTTTATTACCGCGATAAAATACTGGATGAGTAATAACAAAGCAAAAATAAAGCAAGTCTTTATTCACAGCAACAAAAACACGAGCAACTTTCCTTTTTTAAAGGACTTTCAAACGAATTACAGTGAAAACAATCGTATATCATTCTGGGAATCCCTGTGAAATTCGGGGTGAAATGATAATTCGGAAGTTTCGAAAATTGTTGTTTATTTTATTCAGCATTCTCACGGCGATTTAATCTCATTCTGATAATTCTGTTGTCTAAATTCCCTGCATCATTTATCTGTCTAATTGATTTATATAATTGAGAAAGCTTTTTTTAATATTGAAGGAACGCATCTTCATTGACATGAAGGCTCGAGTTCCTAAATCCGTATTTTTCTTCAATAATTCCGGCATATTAGTTATTTTCGAGTGTAGAATTTTTTTTTAAAAATCAATGAAAAGTATAACATATTTAAATTTGGGGTGAAATGAAAATTCTGCAGTTTCGGAAATTATCGTTTATTTTATTCAGCATTATCACGGCGATTTAATCTCAGTCTGATAATTCTGTTATTGTCTAAATTCCCTGCATCATTTATCTGTCTAATTAATTTATATAATTGAGAAAGCTTTTTTTAATATTGAAGGAACGCATCTTCATTGACATGAAGGCTCGAGTTCCTAAATCCCTATTTTTCTTCAATAATTCAGTGATATTAGTTCTTTTCGAGTGTAGAATTTTTTTTTTTGAATCAACGAAAAGTATAACATATTTAAATTTGGGGTGAAATGAAAATTCTGCAGTTTCGGAAATTATCGCTTATTTTATTCAGCATTATCACGGCGATTTAATCTCATTTTGATAATTCTGTTATTGTCTAGATTCCCTGCATCATTTATGAATACACTACATGAGTCGAAAATTATTTAAGATATTTTTCGAGTTGTTCCGCACCTCAATATAACTGAGAAATCTTTTCTGAAACCTTTTTTTGTGTTTCTCATAAAACAAACTAAAAATACAATTTTTTGAGAATTACTCTTCATTCCTCTTTAATACTTCAACAGTAGTGTGATTCCTTTTGGGAATATGGTTCTAATGCGACTTCTACAATGATAATGTGCGATTATTTAAACTTTTCGAATCACCGAGGAACATTTATAATGTCTCCTGAGACTTCGACATTGAGTATGGCACAGTATTTATCACCTATTCACTAAAAACATGTTTTATTTCAATCTCTAAATTACTTGAATGAACATTTCAGTGCAGATCTGTGATCATCTTCATTAACACGAAGGCTGGAGTTCATAAACCCCTATTTTTCTTGAATAATTCAGTGACATTAGTTATTAATTTTCGAGTGCAGTTGCCTCTGCTTTCTATAAGAAACAGAAATTGTCTTCGCAAAACTGAACAAAAGTAGAGCGTATTCCACGATTATTACGAGTCTAACTAATTCCATCGTTTACTGTAAAATCTTTACTGACATTATTTCAGTAGCGAAGTGGTAAAACGATTTTGACTATTGGCCAGTTTTCAATGAATATCTCGGAATCTAAGGAAGATAGCAAAAATTTTGTTATAACCTTTTTTGTAAAGCCGATTGAGAGCCGCAACAAATGTAATTATGAAAATTTCGCTATCTCTCTTAGATCCGGAAATATTCATCAAAAACTCAACTCGGAGATAAGTCGACTTAAACCGTTTTACCACTTCGCTAGTGATTTCATTACTATTCTTATTTCATGGCTAATTTAACAGCAAATTATCACAATGGCATATTTCACATAGATCCTACTGTCTTGTATTCAGAATGTCGAAAAGCCATAGAATTGAGCAATGCAATTGAAATTAATTCATTCAATAAAAAATCCTTTCGGAAATTTCGCTAGAAAGTTCTGTTGGAATTATATTCGTTCAAATAGATATTTCATAGAAAAAAAGTCAATGGTGGTGATTTTTAATAAAAATCATTGGGATGAGTTCTCCATTTTTCTCTTCAATTTTATTGTGAAAACGATAAAATGTTGATAAATGAAGAGAAAAAATTGAATTGAATGAAATTTCCTAGCAAAAATACTTGATTTATTTTCTTTTCTATTTTATAATGACAAACAAAAAAATGTTTAAGAATTTTCAATAAAATATTAATGAACGAATAGAAAAAAATTGAATTGAATGAAATTTTCCAACAAAAACACTTGATTTATTCCCTTCAATCAATTATTTTCCCACGAAATACTTGAACGAAAAAAGTCCTAACGAATTTACATGAAGTAGCTCATGTACTCGTGTGGCATGACACCGCGTCGTGAATAAAACGTGTGCGACGTCGAGTAGAATTGAAAATTTTGCAGATTTGCGAGATAATTTTATTGCAATTCTATTTGTTTACAGTTTCAAATTTTGCCAGTCAATGGCATTATCTTTTTAAGAATTCTTGGAGATGAATTTTCTATTTTTTCTTCCATTTTATAATGACAAACGAAAAAATGCTTAAGAATTTCCAATAAAATGTTGATAAACGAATAGAAAAAAATTGAAGTAAATTCAATTTTCTAGTTCTTTAAAATACTTGGTTCATTTTCTTTTCCATTTTATAATGAAAGAAAAAAAAATTGTTCAAGAAATTCCACTAAAGTATTAATAAATGAATAGAATGACATTTTTTACTCTTTTTAGAATGAAAAATTGAATTGAATGAAAATTGCTATCAAAGATGGTGGATTTATTCTCTCCAATCGATTATTTTTCCACGAAATACTTGAACGAAAAAAGTCCTAACGAATTTACATGAAGTAGCTCATGTACTCGTGTGGCATGACACCGCGTCGCGGATAGAACGTGTGTGTCGTCGAGTAGTAAAGCAAATTGGTGATGGAGCTCATGTATATGTCAGCGAATCTGAAGAGTCGTCTTGAGAAATAAGTCGGATTGTGATAAGTCCTGAATACAGAGCCAAACTGCTGATTAAACACCCGTTTTATCTCATTCCTTATCTGATCGCGTTCGTTCATCCATTCTTCGAGCTGCTCCTGCACCTCGGGCCCGTCATAATCCTGGTGATCCTCGATCAGCGCCGTGAGCATTTGCAGCCAATTAGCGTTCTCCTTGAAGGATGGCTCATTCAAATTTTCAATCTCGTGCTGAAATCAATTAGTCGGGCATTTTTAACGTCTTTTTTTCATTTTCTTCTCGGGGTTTATTGCTCGGTATTATTTATGTATTCTCTTTGGTTATCGGGTAATTGATCCAGTGACCCAAATAATGATGCCGCGCCCTTGCATATATTTCGATTGTGGATCAGTGGAGATCATACGCTCACTTTCACCCAGGCTTCGCTCGATGGATTTGGACAGGGGAGGGGAAATAATCGGGCGATGTAAATTCGTTGGAAGGGATTTTTCATTTTATGGATTATAACATTTTGGTTTGAGCATTCGAGACCGAAATTTTTTGTAGAAAAAATACATTTAATCGCGGACGAAATAATTTAATAGACGAATATAAGAAGTAAGATGGAAAATTCGATTGAATTTCTATTGAAAATTCTATTAGTTTTTGGCAGATTCTATTGATGAATTCCCCAGCTTTATTGCGCGTTAAAAATAGCCAATTATAGACCTTTCATTAAAAAATCTGTAGAATTCCATTTTTCTATTGAATTTTTTTTATCAAGACATTTTCTGTAGGAATTCCTCGACGAGAATTTCGTAAGTTTTTCTACTCAATTTTTTTTTCATTGAAAAATTCAACAAAATTTTTTTTATTGAGCCATTTCCTACAGGAAGTCCTATTCAAGAATGTCGTAAATTTGACTACTCTATTTTTTTTCATTCAAAAATTCAATAAAAAACTTCGAAAATCTGAACCCAGAAATTTTCTGTAATTTTCTGAAATCGCTGAAATGCGAGGAAAACTTTGCGCCAAGAATTTTCAGCCGCAAGTGAATGCAAAAATCTCAGAGACGGCTTAAAAAATTTTCTCACTCTATAAAAATTAATTTGAGTGAGTTTCGGGTGATCTGAAGAGGATAAATAATTTCAGACATGTTCAAAAATGCGCCAGACTGTAAAAAATACTTGGATATCCTTAATTGAATTACTTCATTATTGATGTCTGGGAAATAATTTTGGATTAAAACCATTTTTTCCTCTCGGTGTAAGCCCTAAAAATTTTACTACCGCCGATAAAAAAAAACTCACTGTTAACTCCTTGATTATCGCTCCCGTTCTCCAGCCGTGCTCCAGTGTCACGTCAGCCAAGTCACTGTAAGGATGATCGCCGAAGTAAAGCACCTGATGTCCCCTCCACCCAGTCATGTCCTGTAGCTGTTTAACGGTTCCCTGAAGCAGGCGAAGAAATTTCCACAAATGTAAAAAAAAAATCGAAGCAAAAAGCATGAATGAATACATATGAATGAATTGTCCACTTACTTCGAGATATATGACACCTTTTTCTAACTTTGTAACGCGATCCCAGAGAAGTGTCTGCTGTGTCTGGTCGTAGATCCTGAGAGGCCTCGTTTCGTCCGTGAAGAACCTCGGCTTTCTCGCTTGTACTATCACAACGTCGAAATAATTCCTCCAGTCATCGCCAACAAGAAACTTCATGCCTTTATCGCTGCAATAAAAGGAGGAGAAAAGTACGCGGGATGAGGAGGCATGAGTAAATAATTTTGTTGTGATACCATCGTTATTATTTTTTTTACCGATACACTGCGAATGATGCTGCCGGAGATACTGATCGCAATAAAATACTTACACAAAGTGGAACGGGCTGTTTGTTACGAGGAACATTTTCTTTTTTGCGGAGACGAGACGATCGAAGAATTTTCTGAGGTCTTTGTTTGGCTCCAAATATTCACTAACGTTGGCCGACACCATTTGGTGCATTATTGGGTGGCATGCCTGCACTGAATTCTAGAGAGAATTAAAATATAACTCATGAGAAAGGGATTGAGACAAGGGTGGCTTGAAAAATTTGTTCCTTCTTAAGGAATTGGAAGAAATGAGTTGAAGATGATTTGGAGGGAACGAATAAATTAAAGAAATTTTCAAAAATACGAGGTGGTTGACAAGTTGGCGCCGCCATCTTGATTGGGTACTCTCTCCCTCCGCCGTAAGAGACTTCAAAGATGGCGGCGACACCATTTGGTGAATTTATTGGGTGATGTGCTTGCACTGAATTCTGGGTAAAAGTGAAATAGAAGTCATCAAACGGGGATGGAGAAAAGGACGGCTTGAAAAATTTGTTCCTTCTTAAGGAATTGGACGAAATAAGTTAACGATGCTTTGGAGGGGATGAATAATTTAAATAAATGTTCAAAAATACGAGGTGATTGACAAGTGAGCGCCGCCATCTTAATTGGGTACCCTCTGCCACTAGGGGAATTCAAAGATGGCGGCGCCACCACCTCGGATTTTTAAATATTTCTTAAAATTATTGATATTGTTTAAATGGCTCTAAACTGGCTTCATTCGGTTTCTATAAAATGAACAATTTTTTTAAACCGCATCTTCGATTTTTCCACCCCCTTTTACCTAAGAATTAATTACGAGAAGTTTTCTCTTGATTTTTGTCCCAAGAATAGATTTGATTGTTTAAAGAAAATTATATTTTATCTGCAATTTTTCATGAAAACGGGAATTCATGGACGAAATAAAAATATTTTTGTGAAAATTAACCACTGAATTCTGTCATGCAGAAAAATCTCCACTTGAATTGAAAATTACCGACATCGAAATTTTATTGTCAAGATTTCTATGAAGAAAATACATGCCTTCACGTCCCTGAAAAGAATCTCGGGATGATAATCAATGCCATTACGAATGAAGTACTCTGTAACGTTGCAGAGGAGCCCCATCTCCGGTACCGAGAATAGATCGGCTAGTTGTACCATTTTCTGTCGATGTGGTTCATCCTGGGGAAATTTTATCGATCAAATCGACAATTGGAGGTATAGTGATTTTAAGATGAGATAGCGAATTGTTTTGCAACTCTTTTCACTCACCCTCTGTTCTACACAAGATTCCGGATGAATTATGGCGGTGCATGCGGATGGAAGAAGCAGGTTCAAGTGTTAGCAACAGTTATTGATTGCATTGATCGATTTTAATAATTAAATAATTTAATAATTATACACATATTTATGAGAGAATTTGCATAAAAAAATGAAAAAATTAAGTCGTATGATTTTTTTTTGTTGAATTTAACTAGATCATTCGCAGAAAAAACTGTGAACATTTAAAAAATCGTGTAGGAATAGAAAAAATTTTATGGAGGATGATTTCCCACAGAAAATCAGATGCTTGTAAGAAAATGAGACAGAGCACCTCTATAATTTTTATTCCCCCGCGAGTAAAAAAAATAATTACAAATTAGTAATCAAAAGTTCAACAGAAAAAAATTATGAACGTTTTCATGAAAGGATTTTTGTGAGAATTAAGTCTTATGTTATTCTCTGAGGAATTTTATTCTATAGGAAATCTGAATTTCTATAGATTACCCCTAGAAAAAAACTATTATTGTTGTTATTCGTTTCTTATAGGACGATTTCTCACATAAAATCAGATGCTCATAAGAAAGTGCGACAGAACACGTCAATAATTTTTCCTCCACACGTGAAAAAAATTAATGCCGAGTATTAAAATCACAGTGAATCAATAAATCATTGAGCGCCAAGTTTGTAACTCACGTGAGAGTGTTTATGTTGTTCGACATAGGCAATAGGTATGATCCGGTTTTTGTATATTCTGAGAACCTCATCGTCCGGAACCGGATGTAGTCCACGATAGACAGTGCCAAGTTGGATCTGTAGAAAACTATCGAGCTTCAACAGAAGGCCTTTTTCAATGTCATAGTGAAGACCGCGTACGGCAAAGTCCTCTCTGTACTCCAATCCAGCAATTTCCTCTGGATACTGGATTAAATTTAGAGAATCAGTGGATGAAACGGGTCGAACGAATGCCGAATGACGAGAAAGTGTGACCTTTGGAGATGCGACTCGCTATTGTAACGTTTACCTTGTATTTCGATATGAGTTCATCACGACCGAGATTGTACAGGAGATAGTCCAGGGATGGTTTGTAGCAGGCCAGTGTGTAGTCATAATCGAATCCGTAAACTTGTACCTCTTTGAGGTCCAATTCGTTGCAGGCGAATACCCCTCGTGGGTTCACGTCTTGCGGTAATTTTTTGGCTGCAATGGGAGATTGTGATTGGAGCCTTGAAAATTAATACACTGAGAAAAAAAATTTCCAATATCTGAAACATATTTTCTTGAGAGAAGTAAATTATTTGCAATGGCTTAAATCTCAGAATGTGTCCACTTCACGGAACTCGAATAAATTTTCACTCGTCACTATCGTTCCGCGTTACGTCATGAATATTTTACAATTGCAATGTTGGAAGTGCATAACGAAAAAATCATGAAAACAATAAAGACTAGAAGATTGACGATTCTTCTACGCGATTTAAGTAAGTTCATTTGCGACAAAATCATATTTGAGTACAAGAATATTTTAAACCATGAGGCTTTTCTCGGGTCATGTGAGTTGAGATGCCTGAGAGAATTAAGCAATTGAAGAAAATTTACTTGTCTCAAGAAAATATGTTTCCGATATTAGAAATTTTTTTTCTTAGTGTATAGGGGAGATCCATCACGTGGGAAATAAATTCGTGGAAAAACTTAGGGAATTCCGCAGCTTTACTGCGTAGGCTTAATAGAAAATGTTTAATACTTCATCGGAAAAAATCAATGGAATTTCATCTTTCTAGACAACTTTTTCTATTGATATATATTTTCTGTAGAAATTCTATAGAAATCTATAGATTTTTTTTTCTATAGAAGTCATCGAGTACAGTCTATAGATTTTTGGAATGTGAATTCGCTGTAGAAAATTCCATAGCTTTTATATTAAAAAATCTAGTGTTTTTCTTTTGGTTTTCTGTAGAAATTTTATTGAATTTTCTATCCATTTTTCAGCCGATTCTATTAGAGAATTCTGCAGCTGATTTCTTTTATAGCAAATATCTGATAGAAACTATTTCATAGAAAAAATCAGCCGAATTTCATTTTTCTATACAATATTTTCTATTGTGAAATTTTCAACAGAAATTTTCCAATTTTTTTCATTCAATTTTTCCGATTTTTTTTATTAAAAAAATTAAACTAAAAACTTTGAAAATTTGAGTCGAGGAATTTCTATAGAAAATATTTCAATAGAATAAATTCGAGGTCTATCGATTTTTTCTATAGAATATTTTTGTATTGAATGTTTTTACTGAAAAAAAAGCGCAGATAACCTGCGAAGTTTTTCCCCAGAATCAGCCAAGATCTAATGGGAAATTCAATAGAAATCCAGTAGAATGAATGAAATTACTATACTTCCATACATATGTAAAACAAAAAAAATTCATCCACCCAAACCAGCAGCTCGCACTTCATTGAAAATTCCTCGTCCAGACAAATCGCTCCAGTTCCATAAGAATGCCTTTCACTTCAGGATCCAACAAGAAAAAAAAAACTATATCCCATAGTCTAACTCAAACTCAACTTTCTCCAAGTGGAATTCGTTTTGTTCCCTAGAAAATCCATGACAGGACCTCATCACCAGAATTCGGTAGACAATTCTATCGGATTTCTATTGAACTTTCTATTAGTTTTTAGCTGATTCTATTGAAATATTCAATAGAAAATATTTCTGTAGAAAAAGTCAAAAGAATTCAATTCTTCTACAACTTGATCTATTGCCATATTTTCTATACAATTTTCCAATTTTTTTTCTTTCATTTTTTTGATGAAAAGAATAGAAAAATAGAAAGAACAAAAAAATGGAAAATTTGAACCGAGGAAATTCTATAGAAATCCAATAGAATTGTCTAACGAATTCGCTAGCTTTTTCTATTCAATTGTTTCATGTGTGCATCAACTATCACCAAAACAATAAAATATTCACGATAATTTTTTTTTTCTCCCTGTAATTACTGACGCTAGTGGTCTCAAGACACCGACCTTGATGACACCCTGTCCCGTGGTTTCCCCTTGATGCAGCCCAGCCCAGTCTCTTTTATCAGACCCGTATGATCTGACGTATGGAAAAAGAAACAAAGTCAGACTAGTTTTCGCCGTGAGCCTCGTAATGGAGCGATTTTCACCGTTCTAGATTTTTCAAACTCAAATTTCCTCCTTCAATCATCGCATGTGTAAATTTTAAGAGCCTTTTCCTTCTCACGCGCTGTCTGATATATCTACACAGCGAGATATCGATAGTGTCTTAAAACTGATACGTCGGCGAGATAACGGCGGACAAGCCTCCGGGGCTTGAAGCGTAGCAATTTATTCATTCATGATGACGTCAGTCAAATAGATCGAGCCGGAACTTTCGTATTCGTTCATTTGTACGATTCAGTGTCTTTGCGCGAAAAGACATACTCAAAGTGCATTGAAATGCCATTCAATTTTATTCAATTCATTGAATAAAAAAATTATACAGAAAATTAAAATAAAAAAATACAAAATTCAGAATGTGACAATAAAACAAATATACAAAAATATCAATGAATGAAAGACAAAATGCGGAATGTAACAAGAACTTTGACCAATCAATAAATTAATTATTAATGAAAAAGTTAGAAAAATCTCCGATGACATTTTGGAAATAAATTATTCACTCGAGATTGCCGAATTTTTTTTTGCAATTCTTTTTTATTTTTTTTCTAATTCCGCTCGAGGGATTAAATTGACTTCAAGTTACTTTCAACAATTTTAGTTTTCGGAAATTCCAAAGCCAGCAAATTTTACAATATCAACATTTTATTGCTGTTCACCGAGTCCCCACCAAGGCCGCGCTCCATTGACACTTGCCAACTAATCCCCTCAATTGATTCAAATTCCCGAGAGCACGTGGGCTGTCGTACGATGACGCCCGATTGGTGCGCACGAACACGACTGCCGCCAATGCGATCTTGGCGCGCATGCGCGTTCATTCGAAAGATGTTCGCATGTGCAGGACGCACAGTTGTCGGACAGTGTCGTGCGGCTTCGAATGTTCACCTCCAGCACTCCACCATCGCGACCCACCAGCCTCATTCAATTGAAAAAAAATTAAACGTAATTTTAAAATTTTGTAAATCACCTCGAAATTTTGCTTTTCAAATTTCACGAATGTTCCGGACACCGTGGGGCTGCGACGGGGGTTTTAATTACCGCTAATTGCCGCGTGCAGCTACATCCCTGACAAAAATGGCGTCGTCCCCGGGAACAATGTGCGCATGGCTATTATGTACTCACATTGGCATTTTTCCTTCATCCTTTCATAATGCAGTCGCATTTTATCACGAGTGATCTTGCGTCCGGTGACGTGAACCGTCGAGCTGCACTCCCTCGCGAATTCTGGGGTGACATTGCGACAGCTCCTCAGGAGAATACTCTGAATTCCGGTTGTATTAAGGGCCTTCGCGGCTAAGGGCACGAGGGATGCACGCATGACGGCTGCATGCAAACAACAACTGCACCAGATTTCAATTTATTTTGGGGACAGGAGAGGGGAGAGATACAGAGAGAGAGAGAGAGAGAGAGAGAGAGAGAGACTATTCTTGGACCAAGTTTTTGCGAGCCACCACGTGGTGATGACGAGTGCGTGGATCACACTGGGCGACTAGCCGAAAACCCTGAGAATTGCTCCTCTCGGCGAGAGGGAGAGAATTTGATTCGCTGAAAATCACGTGCGAGAGGGGTTCGAGGACGGAGACAGAAACTCGGGGCAGCGGGTTTTATGCCTCGATGCGCGGGCGCGTACTTGGATTTCAGTTGACAGGATGATTCCGTAATCGATAAGAGTGGGAAAACCTTGCACTCGGGTGATCATTGTTTATTGGGTTCAAATGACACGGTGACACAACTTTTTTTTTATTAATTTGTTTGTGCATTCGGCGCGGATGGCGGTGGTTGGGTTTGGGGGGAGTGCGTTGGGGGTTATCCCGCAGGGAAATGCGCGCGCATAAATTAGGTTTGGCCGGGCTATTGCGGTGTTGTGACGTCATGAGGATTTTAGAGGGTTTAAAACGCAAATTTCGGTGATAATTCATCAATTTTTTCGATATTTCTGAATGGAAGATGTTTTATTGGGGTCATCAACTTGAAATAATAATAAAATTAATTAAAAATTAATTAATTCATTAATTATTTTTATAATTTGTTCGAATGAAGAAGTAACTAGTGGAGTTTATGATACATTCCATTGATTATAGCTTCATTTTTGCCGAGATTTTACTCATTCATGTTTATAGAGAGAATGTGGCGTTGGGGGAATCCCATAGAGATGCGCGCGCATGAATTAGGTTAGGTCACCCTATTGCGGTGTTGTGACGTTATTGGGGATTTTACAGGATTGGAAATATAAACTTTGATGATTACTCATTGATGTTTTCGATATTTCTGAGCGAAACACGTTTTATTCAGGTCATGAACTAAAAAAAAAATTCTAAAATTTTAGCGGAATTCACTCTTGACGGAGGTGATTTCTGTAATTTATTCGGGTGAAAGAGTAATTAATTTAGTTTATGATCCATTTAATTGGTGATAACTCTTGTTTTATTAGCGGGGATTTGTAGTGACATGACATGACGATAAGATATGATAATTTATATTAATGAAATGACGAAGAATATTGTAATTGGATTTTTCAATGAAACTTCTTTCTTGTTTTTACACTCCTCTGCAATTTGTATTTATAATCCTGAGGGTGATTATTAATCAGTAATTGTTGATTTAGCATATAAAAATATATATTATTTTTTACAGTGCGCAGAAACGTCGGGAACTATTCCCCTGAATTAAAATATTCAAAAGTTTTTTTTTATTTCCCTTTTCTCCCGAGAAATAAAAATAGAAACAAATATCGGGCTGGTATGTGGCACGGTCCGACACATGACGCCCATATGGATATGTATATGGGCCTTGGCAAAACGAAAAGGCAAAGCGTCCCGAAAAACCGGATTCCAATGTGAAACGACCGATCGGTTTCCTGTCATTCGGGCTTAATAATCCAGAGGTGAAATATATCGCTGGAACAATCAGACAATTCAACGATTTTGGCCTGAAACTGGTGGAACCGCGTGAAGTGGGTACACGCTGGGTTACTTCCGACTGATGACGCTAATGATACCGATATTTTGAGAATTGGGCGATTGAAAAGCAGGCCAGGGGCCTGGTACACTTATTCTCGATCAATCGATCCAGCGGATGCTCTGGGACTCTAATTAGGGAATTATTTTGAAGAGGTTTTCTGAGCAGATCTATTCGACATTCTGGGGACATGTCTGGGTTTCCAATTATCATCTTTGAATTAAATTAAGTTGAACTTTTTAATTAAGAGGTCTCGGACGTAAAAATAATTACTGAAGATATCTTGCTTGAATACCTCCTCTCTCTGTCGCTAGGAGCTTCAAAGATGGCGGCACCTCCACCTCGCATTTTAAAACATTTTTAAAAATGATTTATTCTCTTTAGATTACACTCAACTCACTTCATCTGGTTTCTATGAAATGAACAAAATTTTTAAGCTATCATTCAGATTTTTCCGTCCTTTTTTGGCCGAGAATTCACGGCGCAAATTTATTTCCGCATTTCAGTACTTTTTTTTTACTCCTGGGGGTTCTAATTTTCATTTTTTTTTCATTTCTCGTTTCGTAGAGAAGTATTTATAATTTTTATTACTATTTCTTCATTTATTTAATTGGAAAAATGATAAAATTATGAATTATTTTCGTGGCATTAGACAAATTATTTCGACAAATTCATTTCGCATGATGTCTAAATTTTCTATAAGAATGTTTTTAAAAAAGACAGTTTTTTGTTGTGTATAATGCTGATATTTTCAGCATAGCTCGCCTCGAAACGGCCCCAATAATTCCTCCTCTTAACGATTCTTAACAATAACCTCCGAATTTCAGGCCCGAAAATATTCGAAAAACCCATGTAATTTGGCACAAGAGTGGACCGGGTTTACGTTTAAATTTTCGGCCGAGAAAATTACAGTTGTTGTCGAGAAAAAAACCGACGCTTCAAATTCAATTTATTGGAGGATTCCGCAGCATCATAATCACTACTTTTTACAACTACAATATTCACTGGACCATCCGATATTCATTCAGACAATTCTTAAAATCCCTCGAAAATTCCGAATGAATAATTCCGAGAAAACTTTACAGCGAAAATCATCACAGTCGCAACCTTGAAAAAAAATCTTACGGTCACCTATTCATCACAGAAAAATCACTGATATTATCCACTGGAGGTACTTTCATCCGTAATTCCTGTTTACGAAACATTGAATCTAGGAGCGAACCTGACCGCGACTGCTTGGAGATGATTAAGTCACAAATATTCCACGGAAGCCATGAAATTTTCCTGTTTACGTAATTAATATTTTACCTCAAGGAGAATTATCAATACTGGATTCAATACGTTATACCAATTTCACGATTTTTAATAATTTTTCCTTGCAATTGAAAAAATTCATTAAAATTCAATAAATTTCGTTCATTAAATTTTTTTTATCAATTAGTTTTCATTTGAATTTTTATTAACATTAAACAATTGCTTTTTTCAATGTCAAATAAAAAATTAATGTGTAATTATTGTATGATTTACATAATAATAATAATAATAATAATAATAATAATGATAATATAAAATTTATAAAATAAAATTAAATCAAATAAAATTATAAAATTTCATTTAAAATAATAAATAAATAATTATATAATATAATAATAAATTTTATGGTTGTAAAATTTCATATAATTAAATCATTTTTATCCAAATAAATGAATGAGTCAATAATATTTAGTAGAAAATATTGTTGAAATGAAAAAAAAAAAGCAAATAAAGAAAATTAATTATCGATTCATTTCTCCATCCCTAAAATAACGATTGAAAAATTGAATCCATGTGACATGCGGTAACCAGTACGCGTACCAGATCGGCTCCTCCTGTCGTTTAACAGGTACTCGTTAAGGCGTTGTACCATGGTCCCCGGCGATATAATGATTAATGGGCTAACTCAACCGATCGAACAACTCCCAGTGTCTCTGTGCGCACAGCACACATGTATCAACGACCGGCTCCCATTCCCTCTCCACATGGTGCCTACGTATGTACTTGTTTCCTTCTTTCTCCACCGAGGAGACGTCATACGGAGACGACCACCGCGTGGCACGTGACCCCGTTGCCTTAATCTAGCCCTCCTCTTCCTGCGGGTGTCAATTCGCTCCCGATCGGTAAAGACTCGATGATTAAAAAAAAACATGGAACAAGTGGGTAATTGCATATTTTTGGCGGTTGGAGAACTTATTTTCGTATTAAATTGTTACAAACAATTACAATTGTCACTTATTTTCGTATTAAAAATATCAATATTTCAATAATTTTATTGAAAAAAAATTAAATTTAGAAATTTATTTATATTTTCTATCAATAAATGAGTAATAAACAATTGAAGCAACAATTGTTTTTCAAGTAAACATTTTTTAGTTTGATTTTTTTGTAATTGTTAAAAACAAGAAATTAATGTTTTTAATGAATTAAAAAAAAATTATTCAGTGATTTTATAATTTAATTTATATTCGACATAAATAAATAAACAGTATTATTCAGTTATTTATATTAATACGATTGTTGATGAAATAATCAATTTTAAATGACGAACGAATGAATGCAAAAATAAACCGGAAGTGTTGAAAATGACTTCTCACAATCCTGATTCTGTTTCCATATTAAAACTTGCAATATCATCATCAGTCAGTTGCCAGACATATCCCCAATAGTATGAGAAATGAATGTGAGTGGCACAAAAACAACGGTGATAAACACTTTTTTCGCTCCTGTAAGTGGATACTCATTGAGCCTGTGCCTCAGTGACAATTACTGGGTCGAGCGATGTCGACGCGAAGCGATTCTGCAATTCAATCCGATAATTCGATAATTCGAGAGGAGAAACGAGGTAACAATCGATGGATGCGTCCATGTAATTCAGGGCCTAATATGGGGGTTGGAGAACGGAAGTGGCTCGTGTGAAAATTTCGAAGCTGTTGGACAATGAGGAAAATACTCCTTGTGGAGTTGGAGAGGCTTGCCGGTGGACAAAAAGTGCCGAGTACATTTGCGCACAATGCCGACCCACTAATGGTTTATTTGAATTAAATTCATTGGGCTCGGATGAGACAATGAATTTTTTTTCCAATTTTTTTACTTTAACAATTTTTGCATTCGCCATGAAATACATAAATTAAATTCATAAGTTCGTGGAGTTGTTTGCGAAGGGAATCTGGCGTTGGGGGAATCCCCCGCGGAGATGCGCGCGCATGAATTAGGTTAGGTCAGCCTACTGCGGTATTGTGACGTCATTGGAGACTAAACAATTTCATTAACAAGTAATAATCCTTTATTTAGAACGAATAAATGATTTTTCTTATGCAATTGAAACATGTTCATTAAAATGAATGGAATAATTTTAAATAAAGTGCACAATTCTGACCCACTAATGCTTTATTTGAATTTAATTTATTGAGCTCGGATGAGACAATGAATTTTTTTCCAATTTTTTTACTTTAACAATTTTTGCATTCGCCATGAAATACATA